CGTATGTTTTTGACTCTGACGTAGCGTGACATATGGATGTGACGTATCGTTACAAAACGTGACATAGTCACGGGTCTTGTCGCACTTTGCATACTGGAGGCCCGAAAGTTGGCATATTTCAGGCTCATTTTGGAAGATTTTTGCGACACTCCTATATAGGAGTTGCCCGGGTCCTATTCAAGTTGATCATGGACGTACAAAGGCGCTGGGCCACGCGCGTCGGAGACGATCACGTGGTATATACCCTCAAACAAGCGCCCATTGCTTGTTACAACGTTCAGGTGGGTTTGCAAGTTACATTCTGGTATGATGATCCTGTTAACGACTTGCAGTTGAATCCGCGAGACTTCTGTCAGAATACTGATGACAATATGCGAAAAGCTGGTATCTTCATCGGCGTACTAGGCCTCCAGATCAGAGCAACCTCGAAACGCGTCGGGAAGCGCGCAATCAAAACCTCACGTACAGCCACCACATCTTTTCATTAATATGTGACGATTATACCACATATCGCCATGGCACTCTGTTGAGCTTATCGACCGCTGTTTTCTAACACTGGACTGCTATCGTCATCTTCTCATCTAGCAATGTCAGCTTTCAAAGCAATTTATGATCAGCCGATCGCTAGCATCAAAGGAATAACTTTGGACATGTCTGCATACACGACTCCACGCAGATTTCGCCTCATAGACTGTACACAACTGGTACAGGAAGCGAGACTGCGCATCCATGAATGTCAGGACATCTCGACCGATATCCCGTACGCGGCAATCTCGTACGTCTGGCGAGGCAATCCCATCGATGCTGCACATCCTGCCGACAATGAGGGTACATTCGCGGTCAAGGGCGCGGAAGACGGTGACCCGATCAGTATCAGTGTGCTCAAGCACGCGTGCAAGGCGGCACTGCAGTCTAATGCAATGTACATCTGGCTCGACAGGCTTTGTCTCATGCAAACGAGTCGCGACGACAAGGCATGGCAGATCGCGAGGATGCACAACGTATATCGCCTGTGCGAAATATGCATCATCCTCCCTGGGGGGATCCAGCGCCTGGTCGGCTTAGACGAGGAGACTGCGTGGATCCACCGCGCGTGGACGTTGCAGGAGGTTCTGCTCCCGAAGCAGGCCGTCGTCCTTTACGCATGGAAGCTTGGCTCGGGGTCATGGGAATACCCATCGCCCACGGAATGCGTCGTTACGGAAGTCATCCCAGAACAATCTGCGGTGTCCCCCGTCGTCGACGTCCTCGAGGCCTCGATCGGCTCGCTCTGCTACGGCCGCTTCGCGAGGGGGGACGATCTCTGGACGCGCTGGCCCGCCATATTTCGCAGCACCGTCTCCAAAGGCGAGTCCACCGCGCGGGCTGGTCTCGCACAGGTCATCAGCCTGCTCGCCTCGTTGGACCTCGTCGACGACGACGCAAGGGAGCAAGCGGTCTGGCGCTGCGCGCTGATGCGCACGTCCTCGCGCCCGGTCGACATGGTGTTCAGCATCATGGGTTTGTTTGGTGTCGAATTGGACGCGCGTGCGTTCGGCAAGGACGACCGCCTCGGTGCGACTATCGCGCTCGCGCAGAGGATCCTGAAGAAAGGAGGCACATCCAGCTGGCTCGCGGTCTCGTTCTACCTCGCACCGTGCAAGCAGCTGTCATCCTTCCCTGAATTCCCACGGACGAGCGTCGAGGGGTGCGCATATGTAGAGACGGATCGGGGCGTGCGCGAGGTGGCGGCGCTTGTCGGCGGCGAATACGACGTGGGATGGTCGCTCGAGGGTGTGCCAACGGGTCGGATGGACGACCGGGGATACCTCAAGCTGAACGCCAAGGCGGCGCCGATAGTCCCCACCGGCCAGCGGCAGGAGGGATTCAAGGGCGGGATAGACAACATGTGGGCAGGGAAGGCGCTCGTTGACATAGATGGGGCGGTCTGGCGCGTGGTAGGCGAATCTGAGGAGAGCAGCCTGGGTCCGCGTCGGTTTGCTGTGTTTATTGGGACGCAGGAGGCATTCCCGCTGCGCAGCCAGTCAAGATGGCATGCGGGGTGGGGAGTGCGCGCGATTTTGGTGGAGGAGCATGCGCCGGGGAGATTCCATAGGACGTCATGTTTCATGCTGGGCGATGTCTTCAATGCTGTCGTAGATGGTTGGAAGACGCATGCGATTGCGATTGGGGGCCCAGAGGACTAGGTACGGAGAGGTGACTGTTCATCTGAATTTTCTGCAGGTTACCTATGGATGCATTCACTCGGTACAGGTCACGTTGATATCCTGTTTGTTGGCGAAAAATTCAATCAGGCACGTGTGGGGGTGGAATGCACACAACACAAATTTATATTACATATTAGCGGTCACACCGAAAACGTCGCCTCTGCTATGGAATGATACGTCAAAAAAAGGGGGGAGGGGCGCCAACCCCGTAAGTCAGAACAATGTCAGGACCGAGCATGTCGGAGACGAACAAGCGCACCTTCACTAGCGGACAAAAACAAACGCCGCGCCACAACGGCATTCTTTACCGACCGTTTACGGCACATACTTACATACCATCCATGATCGCGATATTGATCGGCGACCTGCGGCCCTGGCGCACCTACGCGGGTTGTTCCGCGCCACGCTCAATACTCAATACACACCGGGAAGCCTGTCCTTCGACCCAGGCCATGAAGCTCGCACATGCGCCGGCAGCGCTAGCGAGAAGTTCTCATTCCATTGAGAGAACGACCCTCTTTCGGATGGCCGCCCCGTTCGAATCCTTGATCATCCGCAGTGCGACTTCACTTCGACAACGGCTGAGTAAAAACACCACGCATGACAATACAGTACAGGAGCGCTGCCATGGAAGGGGGCGCTCCGTGGGAGGGGCCCAGAGAATATTCCGTAGCCGGCGAGTGGCGATCCGCGTGCTGGATAACGCGGAGAGTTCCATACGGTGATCACATCGCATCGTCCGCCCGCACAGTGTGGAGGGACCGTGCGGGGAATAATCAATACTCGGAGACTTGATGGTCGGCCGAGATTTACCTCGCCATCCAGGAATGGTTTGGCATCATCTGAGAGGAGGTATATTTTGAGATGAGATATATTTACGGCGCCCGAACCGCCTGTGCTCTATAATACACACCCCATGTGCCTGGTGGCGATCACCGCTTCTGCTCCTTCGCGAAGGGCCATAGCAGGCTCGCGGGAGGATGATTACTGTGTCTCTTCAAACGTGTCTATGGATCCGGCCCTGCCCGGGGGGAAACATCGTTCGGTCGGCGAACCCCGCCTGTGCAGCATCCCAGAAGGACGTTTTCGTACGAAATGTCTGCCCCCATAGAAATGTCAACGAACGGCTGCGCAGAAGGGAACCGACGGGATGCCACCGCAACGCAGTGGATTGTTACGCTCATCTTACTCTTCCCGCCTGCTTCTTCGCGTAACGGTGGAACAGCCGCCGACGAGTGCCTGAACTTGTTTTCACCAGGCGGCGTAAAAAGGCCTGCGTCGTCAACGTTGGTAATTGAGTGTAGCGCGAGTGAGGAAAAAGCTTGCCAAATCCAGAACTGGAAAAAAAAGATCATGGACTTGAGCAAAGATCGATGGTCATGCAATGATTTATGGGCGGCCTTGTAGATAATAATCGGCTGAACGACAGCTGGAACCCCAAAATCACCAACGGCGGAATTCAACGCCTGCTGCAACGTACACGAGAGCGATGCAATCTCGGCAATTTATATCTCCCGCGGTTGGGTACCGACCACGCGTTACCGCCGCTTCTTCGCGAAACAGGCGGCCTTGCAACGTGCTCCTATCGGACGGCGGCCAGAGCCGTCCAGCGTGCGGCCAAAATCGCGCGAAGCGCCTTCCAGCGCTGCTCCGAGAGGCCGGACCGAGGAAGAAGGGTGATATCATGGCTGTCGAGAAGTGCGAGGCAGTGCTCTCGGATCTTAGTCGCAGTTGGAACGTGGGATGGTATGCCATAAGTCCCATATCGGATGACCAGTTATTACCAAAATTCGCTCGGAGGTTGAGTGGGTCCTGCTTCATCGTCGTCGAGGGTGAGACAAACTTTGCGCGATGTGTCGGACGAATGGTATTGCAGCGGACATGAAACTTTCGAATATCACGCCCGCTACGCGTAGAGAAGATAACGAAAGTGAGCACAAGACACATCGCTTTGTCTATAGGTAAGGTACGCGAGAGAAGGCTCGTCGTTCACAGGCGCCGAACGCTAGCTGACATAATGGAGGTATTTGCCGAATGGAGATGCAAGACGCCGGGGATCAGGCACGCATCGCCGCCGCGTCGTCGGTTACAAGCCGGCCGCGATCAAAATATTTATTCTCGTTCCCGCCCCTGGGCCACCGGTAGATAGCCAAAACAGGAAATTAATTTACGGACGAAGTGTGCGTGGTTTCCAGCGTGCCGGCTCGAGGCGAGCACGTCAGACGGACGCCGGCAGGGCAAGGGAGACATGACACAAAAGACCGGCCGGGAAGACGTTTCAAGCGAACAGCAGAGGCGGTCGGCCGTCATCTGAGCTGTAGCTGATCGCGAAGTGGGAACGCCAAGGGAACGAGCGGGACATGTAGCAGCGTCGAGGGCCGAGGATGTGTGTGAGTAATGGGGAAAGGGCAGTGGGAATGGGCGAAGCAGGCCCGCGGGGTGATGCGGCGCGCAGGCGGCGACGAGATTTACGGCATTGGGTGGTAATGGGAAGTATGTGAGTGGGTGGGAGGAGGCGAGAGCGCTGTTGTGGGCGGGGAGGTGAGCATGGGAAGGAGAGAGACGTCGAGGCTGCGGAGAAACGGCACGACGGCTGGGAAGAGTGGACAGGCGCCGCATAGGAGCCCCGCGACGGCGTTTGCAGTTGTTGTGGCCTGACCCCCCTCGGCGCGCGCCGTGCGCTCTCCCAGCCGAGTGCCCTTCAAGTGCCCCGCATCCCCTCCTCCTCCCCATCCCCGTCTCCCCGCCCAGCCAGCCAAGCGCACGCACACGTCGCCAGCCGACGCCCACCACCCGGCACCACCGCCCGCGATGGGGAGAAGAAAGATCGAAATCCAGCCCATTACGGTGCGTCCGCCGTTGCGCCCTCCTATTATAGCGGCGGCGCTGCCCAGCACGCCCTGCTATTCTTCGCATTCGCTTACAACCCCGCTCGCCATTCATAGCACGAACGCAATCGCTCTGTCACATTTCTGAAGGTTGGTGCCTATTTTTGCATCCATTCTCTTGGCATTCTCGTGTTTACTAAACCGGGCCTCCTCATCCATCTCCCCACCCAATCTTGCCCCGACCATCGCACTCCAGCGCAAGAATGGCCTCTTCAAAAAGGCGTACGAGCTCGGCGTCCTCTGCTCCGTCGACGTCGCCGTCATCATCTTCGGTGCGCCAGCTCATCACTCCCAGCGAGCACTCTGCTCACCACCCCACCGGCCCGCAGAGGAGCGGCCGGGACACCATGTCAAGCTCTATCAATACTGCTCGACCGATGTGAACAGCATGGTCCAGCGCCATTTACGCGTGCGTCCTTTCCATCTCCTCCCCATCTCCGCTTACCGATGAGCGCCGATCGCACTGCCGCCTCCACAGTTTGATGGCGAGAAGGACACACGGGTACCTTCAGACTTCAACAACAAGCAGGCGGAAGAAGCCGCCGATGACGACGATGAGGCCGACGACGACTCACCCAAGCGTCAGAACGTGTCCGGCACCAGCAAGACCGGCGCAGGAAAAGTAAAGTCGGAGGGCAGCAGCAACGGTACCGTGCCCATCCGTCCCGTGCCTACGAGCACAAACGAGTCGTCCATGACGATCGACGTACGCTCCCCACGCTTACATCGATGCCAGCTCATCGACTCACACGCGCTTGTTCCTATCTCACACAGCTCGAGTACCGCACCCGCGTGTCGCCAACCTCCACGCCAACCTCCACGCTCCCTGTCTCCGGCGAGCGGCACACCGCTCTCCGCGCCGCTCCCGGCATGCACAAGCGCCCGCGCCTTGACGACGGCGCCCAAACGCCCTCGATGCAGCTCCCGCCGTCGTACCCGTACCGCCTCGAACTTGACATGTCGCAATACCCCGTGCAGAGCCACATTACGCCGCTACCTTCGCTGCCGCCAGCGCACGGCGTGACCCATCCCTCGCTGCAGTACCCACACACGCACGTGCCGTCCGTGACGGGTATGATGGGCGGTGGCGGCAGTGGGGCCGGATTCTTGCCGCAGCTCCCACAGGCCCCGTTTGACCTGTCCGCGCACCAGGGCGGACCGCCGCCGACGCTGCGCTCGGTGTCGTTCTCCCCCGGGTCGTATGCATCGCAGGGCATGTATCGGACGCAACCGCAGATGCAGATGCAAGGTGCGGCCGGGATGGCGGTGGAGCTGCTAGAGGGAGCAGGAGCACAGGGCGGCGCGCAACAATTTGCGCCGTTTGATTGGCCAGTGCATAATGCGCAGTCGCAGGAGAGTTGTGCGTGTTTTGCGATACTTTGTTCGTCGTCATCGTTGCTGACTGGATGCCTTGACTGCAGCTCACCCGTCGTCGGCCACGGAGAGCAGCAGCAACTGGTTCGACTTCCTATCTGGTGGGACGAACACATCCAGCGCGCAGGCGAGCAACCTCTTCCCCTCGCACGCACGCGGCAGCCTCAGCAGTAGAAGCTTCGCAGAGTCGCCGGGGGCGGGGCTTAAGCGTGTGCGGGAGGAGGACGCGGGGAGCATGAGTATGAACAGCGACATCGGCGGCGATGGGAATGACAAGCCCGGCGGCGGGGGCATGGAGCGCAGGAGTGTGAGCGTGCACACGCCGCCGAGTTAAAGCGGGTTGGGAGGGTGAGTCTTGAGCCTGGACGTTCTGCCGTTGGCTCGAGCGGACTTGGTTAGGTAGGACTTGGTGTGCTGCGTGCTGCGTGAGTATCATAGATGTACCTAGTTGTTGTTGTGAGTGCTAGGATGGACTCCCGCTTGGTTATGTCGTGCCTCGAGCTTTAGTCGATGGACACCCAGTGACGATCAGATACATATGATTCGTCTGTAGTCATCAAATTGAAAAGTTGGGTTGTACGATTATGGTCGACATGCAACGTCTAGCGCTCCTCCGACCGCTCTGCTCAATATATAGTCTTTTCTTTTTATTGGCAGCGTTCATAAGTACTTGGTTGATTGTGTGCGAATGATCTGCAGGATGATGATGGCTGATAATCACCGCAGACATGAAGCAATTTGCACACGTGGCAAATGCTTAGCAAATGTCGACAGGTTTTTTGCCCTTGTGATCTCAATTTGCTATGGTTCCTTCCCGCATTCCATACTAAGTATTTGCATATAATATTTTAGAGGCAGGAATTTAAAATCATATATTTTAAGAAATGACACCATTTTCAAACTCACCAAATACATTTAGAATTTGAGTGCTGTTGAATGTAATCATACATTTTTGAATTCCAAACTATCACATGTATAAAATACCCAGTAGCAGATGAAGGTGTAGTTATGCCTTCATTCTACTTCCTTACTGAAGTCATTCTAACCAAGATTACTAGAATGAAGGTCATTCACCATATTTACATGTTCATCTGCTACTGGGTTTTTTTTATACGTGTGATAGTTTGGAATTCAAAAATGTATGATTACATTCAACAGCACTCAAATTCTAAATGTATTTGGTGAGTTTGAAAATGGTGTCATTTCTTAAAATATATGATTTTAAATTCCTGCCTCTAAAATATTATATGCAAATACTTAGTATGGAATGCGGGAAGGAACCATAGCAAATTGAGATCACAAAGGCAAAAAACCTGTCGACATTTGCTAAGCATTTGCCATGTGCGCAAATCGCTTCATGTCTGCGGTGAATGGATATGGTCGTGAGGCGACGCGTCACGCCACGTGACGAGAGAACGCGCGCGTTTCACGCGGCAAACGAGATCAGGAGCTTCCAACTGCGGAGCGTACGCCCTCGTCAGCCTCAGTCGAGAGGGGGCCCCAGGTGTAGTACTCACAGCAGACTTGATCTGGCTGGCTGTTCCTGCGCAGTGCCCTGGGAGTCTTCTGGGAGAGCCTGATAGGGTCCGCTCAATGCATGGCCGTGATCACAGGGACGTACCGGCTCGCGGCGGGAACGCAGTGGTTCTGACAGGCCCAATCTCGCTCGGTATCTCCGGTGCTTCCATGGCCAACAAGACTGGGTCTATTACAGCACTGAGGTCACCGACAGAGTCTGATAGAGTCATTATACGAGATTAAGCTAGCGATAAAAAGAACGAAGCAGCAGGGGAGGAGGTAGAGGTAGCCGACGACGTCGAGAGACAGGGGGCGGCAGACGCGCCCTGCGGGGCATGTGACCGTGTCTCTACCAGATGAGGCAATGCCCTGTGCTTGGGGGAGAACACGCCAAGTCACAGCGCGGCTGTGAACCCCGTGCCAGTTCACACGGCGAAAACGTGAACCGCACCGGCGGAGTTTTCTTGGGATTTTGAGTTCTCAAGAAAAGTATTGCAGACGACAAAATATTTTGTGGCATTGTTTATGTGTCGACAGTTCAAATTTTGACTTGGTTCAAGTCTGGATGACTTACATTTCTGATCATATTGATATGTCCGCCCACTCAAAAGGAAGAAGAATGGAAGGACTGTTGTATTCGATTCTAATGTATCAAAGTTCATTTCAAATGGTCTAGCGGAGAACAGGTGAAAACTTCTACTACATGTTGATTTCTATGCTGTAAGGACTTTTCGCCGCGACAAAATGACAAATCTCCCAATGTTATGAGCCTATCGTGCGATGGGCAGTGCTTCCATGGCTTCCCATTCGTCCCCGCGCACCACACCCCTCAGGCCAGCTACTAGTTGCTCGTCCCCAACGAATCTGTCCCTGTACTTGCGTACACACTGCAGCAGCTCCGGCTTATCCTTACCGCGATAGTTGTCGAAGTCGATGTAGAGGTTATGGTCAAGGAGCCAACGGACCATGAAACGGAGGTCTCGCTCGTCATTGGTATATTTCAGTTTGGTCCTTGGTCGCGTCGAGTCGCAAATCATGCACCAGCGCTTCAGCTTTGTCAGGATGAGGACCGACGGGTGGAGGATAGGTAACTCTAAGGACGACCACATTATAGTCATAGTGCCATACAGAGGCAATGAACTCACGCGTTTGACCGTCCTTCGTCGTGGCAGTATAAATGGGCTCAGCAGCGACAGGTAATCCCAGCGAGCCTGTAGGCAGCGTCTCAATGACCACGCTGGTCTTACTGCTTCTGACAGGGTCACCATTTTTCACGTCAGGACCTGGATCCTGGAGCATCCTCAGCTCGTCACATTGACGACTAAAATTACAGACCGACCTGAATGAAATAGAACTTGATGCCAATCTCGGCGAACTGTCTATCGACGGTGCTGATCTGCTCTCGCAGCAGGCGCACGTCCATCGAGGCGCGGACCTCAAGGAGTCAATATCGTGCTGAAGCAAAGCATAATGAAGTAAGCAAGCATCGGTGCGTCAGACCCATGCCCTTGTACTTATATCGGTAGGCCTTTGACTGCCCAACAGGGACCAAGCAAAACCACCTATGAAGGCATGCGGACACTCCAAATTGCGCAGGTGGCTTGAGAGAACGAGAGCGGCACGGGAATGATCCTTGTGAAATTTCGAGATGGATATGAGTAAACGGGCCTTGGGTAGCGCAATATGGTTTTCATTGTCTGCCGCATTTGCCTCTAGCGATAACGCCCCAGGAGTATTGATAGACTCGTAATTAGAATCACTCTGAGCGTCGGCCATGAGTAAGTGAGGTAAGTCTGAGGCATAGGCATCATCATCCACAGTGTGTGACTCGTAAGCAACCGTGATGTGACACATATTCGTGACGCCCTGCGATCCCATTGTGGCATTCTTGCTTCCCTGCCTCACACCATCACTATGTACGATGTACGACGCACACCCATCCGACGTGCAGCCTGTACAAGTCTACAGAGCTGAGCTTGTCAATGATTTTATTGTTCGTGCCGCGGGCTTAGATCCCTCCCGTCACTCTGATACGGAGCTGCTGCCGCCTCCGCCTACACCGCTCTTCAATCAAGAACCAGAGGAGCTAGTCGACATGGCCCTCGCTAGGTTGCAGGGTGCAGATTTGAGACCAGTGGAGTGGAATGGGCTTCTGTACAGACGGATGGGCGTCCCTGTTCTGATAAAAGTATGTGTTGTGTGGTCTGATCTGTCATCTGCTGCTGACGAGATTTGGGTGTAGGATTTTGCTTTCATTCTGCCGGACAACTCTATAGAATATGCCTCCAAGATCTTGACTGATATGGGTCTCCCACGAGCACAGAAATCCTGCTCCCTCTCGTGGACTGAAGGCGATTTCCACACGAGAGGGGTGTTTCATCGAGTCACTCGGGAGACCTCTCCGGTTGCTGTCCAGCACATCGTACTTTACCCTGCGTCATTCGCCGAGATCTCGGTACATTCCCTGTTGGTAACGTCTGCGCCTTCGATTCTCGGCGTCGACAGTCCCCGCACCCCAAACTATCTCGTCCCGCAGCCCTCGGCAATCTATGCATCGCTGGTGCGTATGATGCAGCGGTATCCCCGCCAGTGCTCTACACGATGTCGTCTCAACTCAGACCTATCCCAACTCGTTGGCTATGACCTCCTTTGTCTAGAAGATGACTTTATCGACCCGCACGACGAGGAACAATGGCAGAAGTTGGGTATGGACCGGAGGATAGAACAGGCAGTGTGCGAGCTCAGGGGCTGGATATGGGAACCTGGCGAGGAGTGGATAGTAGACGCGTTGGAGGCTGCGGTCAGAGGTTCTGCGGAAATCGACTTTCTACCTTGCGTTCATAGCACTGGTACGTTTGTCTCTTCCAGTATCCGGCTGCGCAGTCTCTGTACTGACCTCTTTACAGCTATCATGTCTCCCAATGTCCGATGTATAGAGATTCCGAATGGCCTTAGTCATTTTCGGGTTATGACGAGCTATTGCAGAGCCTGTGCTTACATCATTATGACCCCCCCCCCCCGCGTTGCCCGTTCCCACGCTTGTAGCTAGGTGAGTGCCGCCAGCAGGGAGCCTCTGTCTTTTGTCTAACCGGAGCTCCGGAGGCTATCCGTCGTACCTGACACACAGTGGGACCTGCGCAGGGACTTCGTGATCGGGAGGGAGCGCCTGCAGCAGGTCGAGATCACGAACATCCTCGCATTCTTGGAGCCGACATTTTTACGCCCCAACTGCCAGACCTCCACTGACGCGACGACCATCTTGAACACTTCGAGGAAAGGTCTACGCAAGATTCTTGATCCCGAACCGTACCATCAGTGGTTCAAGGAGGGCAGGAAGAACGTCTGGAGCCACTTGCCTGGGCTGTTTGGTCTTACCAACTGGGGAAACCCTCAGAGCCAGAGATGGCATTACGCAGTGATTTTACCGAGGTTCTCTTGATGCTGATGGATGAAGAGTATGCACTCGCTTTCATAAAAGCATCCTTGATGAACACATGCTAGGTCGCCTGTGATCGCATCCTTGAACTGCTGTTGCATCCTGACCCCGTCTCGCACTAGCTATATGCAAAATTGACGTCTATCATGAGGTCATGTAAAGTACGTGAACCGTTCACTCATGGCTCCAGGTCGTCTAGTATTCTATGGGTTCATGAGCAAATCATGGTGGTAAAATTAGATCTTGCGGGAGAAATGTCGATGATGACACATTGAAAAGGACGACTAAGTATCGCGGCATCAACATTTCCCCACCAGCTTGTGGCCGAGCACGAAATATCTCGAAATGATCAGGAGAACCACAGCGACCTCCACTGCACTACCTATACGTATACACGAAGTGTCAACGCGAGCATCTCGAAAATGGACGCTCAACGCACCTGCATAGTAACCCACTGCTTTGTATGAGCCTGTCGCCGTGTAGATTGCGCCAGATATCGGTGGGCCTGCGAGTGCGCCGAGCGCAAGGACAGTGAAGGACATCCCAATACGCGTCCCGACGTCCCATCGCTCGCCCATGCTGACGATCGGCGGTGCGAGCAGAGAAGCATAGATTCCTGAGGACATGCTGATGGCGTAAGGGCATCAGAGATGTTCAGATGCCGAGACAAGTGGTAGACGTACCCATAGAGGATCGCAATGACCACGTACCCGGCTATTGAGCCAGAGAATGGCCATGCGTACGTCATGATGCCTGCAACGCAGGTTGCGGGCGTGATGACGTTGAGCGGTCCTGGGCGAGACAGTCAGGATCCGCGGACGCTCATATGAAACATGAATACTCACCCCAGCGGTCGGCCATGAAGCCACCGACGATTCGGCCAAATAATGATCCCACGTTCGCGATGGGGAGAAGATAGAACGAGAAACTGGTCGGTATGCCCGAGTCGGAGGCGCTGACGTCTATGTACGTAAGGACCTAATCGTCGCCAGATCAGTATGGCATAAGGTGGTTTTGCCGATGAGCAACCCACAGTGTACAGCCCGAGGAAGCTGGCAAAGCTTGCGGCCGTGTAGAATGAGTATGCGGGATTCTTGAATGCACGCGGGTTGATGAACGGTCCCTGGTTGGGTTTGGGAGGCAGCCGTCGCTCTGTCGTCTGCGAGCTCATATCAGGTCTTGATAGCAGGGTGGGGAGAAAACCTGCAAGACTCTCACCAGATTGCAAATGCCGAGTAGGAGTACGAGGATGAATCCGACGATGCGCATCGTCCACTTGAAGCTATGCTCAACGGTCAATAATGACGTTACCGATATTGGATTGACTGTAGACGTACCCGACTTCGTCGATCAGGTTGCGCACTGCAATAGGGAAGATCGTCCCTCCCAAGCTCGACCCCGTAGCCGTCAAGCCATAAGCAACGCCCAGCTTCTTATGGAACCAATGCGGCAGGATGCCTAGTGTCGGCCCAAAGATCGCACCGCAAGCAAGCTGCATCGTGCGATGTACAATGTGAGAATTTGGAATGTAGAACTAGAACTAATAGATGTTCGAAGTTAAATCTGTGCTCACTCCCACTGCGATACCTTGGCAGAGGATGAGCTGCCAGAACTGTGTGCATTCTGCAACGAGAAAGGTAGCAGTGACAAGCAGAGAGGATGCTCCCAGCAAAGGAAGCTTGAAGTAGCCCATATCGAACAACCTTCCAAACACGAGGCCGGGTATGAAGACGAGTGCATACTATTATCGTTGTGTTAGAACGATCCTCATGGTTGAATTGGTTCTATGGCGGCTGCTCACCTGCACTGAGCCTATCCATGCGCTGGCAACATCATATGTCAGGGTGTTTTCGAGATACTGAGCAGAGCAAACTTACATTGTTGAAGGAGGTGTGTCCGGGAGCATAGTTTCCTCATAGTAGGCTTGGAAGACCTGAATTTGAACGCATACATGAGTAGGAAAGCATACATCAAAAACGTTACTCACACCCCATGCGTTGACGTAGCCGAAGGTGGCCATGATACCGCATCCGACCTAGTCATACCTTGAGTTCAGAAACATACTTCGACGCGGGGGGGCACTGGAATAGACGTACGCCAAGAGCCACAAGCCATGCTCGAGTCCCGCCATCGGGATAGGTAATAGGCGATGGTTCACCGCTGATTTCCTCCGGCTCGAAACCCTCCTCGGCTTTCAATTTGCTGACCCCCGCATTACCGGACCCCAGGTTCTCCGCAGATCCGTGGATGGTAGAACACGCTCGGTATCGGTCCTCCAAATCCTCCAGAACCTCCGACATAGTCGATGCAGGCTCCATGCCATGCGACTCTTGAACAGTCATCTCTGCGGGCATACCGATAACCTGGAGGACTGTCAGCCACCGACGGCCACCCAATGAGCCGGGAGGGTACCCACCTAACCACCTGCTCGGCGCAGGGCTGTCGTTGCACGAGAAGAGGGAAATATTCGTCTGCTGTACATTTTTACCGGCAGCGGATGGCTGGACTTTTGTAGAGCGGCAGACCCGCGATGCCGTTGGTTCAAATTCTTCCACTCTTGACGCCGAAGTCACACCAACTGATAGACGGGCGTCACATGGATTGCTTGCGCGCGGTAAAACAACTCGCCCCAGGAACGCAGGGTTAGCGCAGGCCCCGTATCATTCGTCCAAGAGGTGCTTTCACTGCGAAAACAACTATGGCGAGCGCAATGCTGAACTAGCTCTGGCATTGGGAAAACGTCTGCCTGCTATGTACATGATCCGTCCTAACGGTCGAGCGGATTGTCTTTTTTCCCATAAGTGCGGGCTCCGTGCCGCTCATCACGGGCTCACTTTGAAACAACAGCAGGCGAAGCCAGCAATGCATCAGCTGCCCCGCGCCAGTCTCCTCCGTGCGTGGCTTCGAGAAGAGGAACAGAAATGACTCGGTATGTGTAGAATGTAAAGCGTGTCCAGCATGCAGTGGCCACCTGAATAGACAGATGAAATCGCGCTTCGCGCGAATTGTTTCGGCAAGGCCTTCACGACAAATTTTCGGCCGATCAATGGTACCGCCGGTCTGTCAGAGAACTTGCCAAGCGTGAGTAACGTACGTAGATCAATAGCTGAGGCGATCCGCACGCTCTTGCATAGTGTCCTTTCGTCACCTACGGGCCGGTTCCGATGACTCGTCACTTGGAGCAACCCATCACGCAGCAACGACCGAGGACAAGATACACACGCTGTGCAGTCGCCACTTGTATGAGTATTGAATACTGAATGGTTGGGCGGAGCTCAGAATAGACTCACCGAGCGAAGTGTTGCCGTGTAACCAACTGCGAATGTCTTGAAATGTCCAGAATGTCCGATAAGGAGTCAACTCGTCGCACTCAACTGCCAGTGACCAGAGTTGGTGCGTGGCAAACAATGCCACCACAGCCATCATCGTTTCAGGGCGGTATTACGACACGAGCGTTCAATAATTGCAGCACGCAAGAATAAGTTCTTTTCCAGGTGCATGAGGTCGAGGTCTGTTCAGCGGCATCAGTCAGAACACCGACCAAAAGATTGCAAATGCTCGAGCCAGTGGCATGGTCAGTGTATAGGATCATTCAGCACGCCGGACGCGAGTAACGAATGCAGGAACTGCGAAGCGTTGTCGGCCCGATGCCACCGATACCTAGCAATCCCTTGGGGTGCGGGAATAATGGGAAGAATGAGCGGTACGATTGCCAGACAAGGCGACGATAGGGTCACGGAAGCAAGGTCGTCAGAACGAGGCGACACGAATTCTGTGGAGTATCGAGTTAGAAGGGGAGGGTGAATAACTGATTAGTCGCGCCTTTCGATACGACAGGGATTGGGCTCCAAATGGATCAATTGGCTGCCGGAGACCTATGGAATCTGTGTGTCTTGAGACGTTCCTCCCATCCATCGCTTTTTCGGACACAGTGGGCAGCTTCTCATTCAAAGCACGACATTGATTCTGGGAGACAGCGTAAGATCCGTGCGCTATATCAGCGCTGGGCGAAGCATGATGAAACAGAGAAGAAACGTGGGCCCTAAGTACTAGGCAGGCCGCGAATGCAGAGGTGTTCGGAGATCACCAGTGCTTCGACAAGTCTAAGTTAGAGTCTAGGTATGACGTTCAGGTCCAAGAGCCGCTGCAGTGGCAAAATTTTGCGACGTACTCCATAGGAAACATGAAGTGATCCGTATTCTGCGCACTTTTAGTTGGGGTTTCTGTGATGGTTTATTGTGCGAGTGTTCGTCAGAATGAGTGGCCTATCGACGCGTTCCGTCACGACCGCGTCACGTGCACATTCAAGTTCACACGGACGTCAAAAAGTCTATTTGCTTCAATTCGTTCGACCTGATGTACTTACTACTGAACATCCCGTAACAGGCACCTTGGGTGATTTTTTAAAGATATTGTTGGCTCTACGACCCACGGAAAGGCTGCTCCTACCGACGACGCTCTTGCTCGGACTTTCTCTCAATTCGTGTCGCTAAAGGGTCATTGTCGAAGACGTATACCAACCCATCAACGATAACATCACAAGTAGGCCTAACATGGACGAAGTCATTACCAAGCGACTTCACGTCTCCGGATTGACACCAGCCATCACACCAGCGGACCTATCACAACGTTTATCTGGTTTTGGGACAGTGAAAGCACTTGACGGGTTCGGGCTACTCGATGCACTTGGACAACCGCGTAAGTTCGGATATGTCACCCTTGAGACGACAACGAAGAACTTCGGTCGATGTAAGAACGTTGCTCATTCTCTTGTGAAGTAACAATATATACTGAACTGATTTGAACTCCAGGCATGAATTTGCTTGGTGGGGTCACTTACAAAGGCGCAAAGCTGCGCATAGGCGAAGCAAAGCCGGACTTTCGGGAGAGGTGCATTCGATCCGTCATTCATTGGTAAGCCCTCTTTGACTTTTTACACAGAATTGCAAAAGAACATGAAGCCGTCAAGCGCGCTGCCGCTGAGGCAGAAACAGAACATCCGAACAAACGACGCCGTCTGCGCCGCGGCGTACAAGGCGTGTACGCGGAAGATATGTCTCTTGTGACCTCAGAGAACGCATCCTCCCGTCCCGGCTGGAAGGTCACTGCTACGGGACGAATCGTGCATCCCATCACGATGCGCCCCACCCACCCGTTGCCGGAGCCCTTGCCCATTGCAAGGCGCGCTAAGTCTAAGGACAAGGACAAGAAGGAGAGCGGTAGGGAGAAGAGTGCAAAGGCCCCGCCCACGCGGGCTTGGAGGCGGACGATCGACCCGACGAAGTGGGGTTCTCAACATTTGAAGGGGGCATTCTTGGATAGCGGCATACCTGTCCCTATGGTACCTATCAAGGCAGTTCGACCGTTATCGGCCGAAGGCGAGGGCGAGGGAGAGGACGATGGAACCGAGTCTAGTGAGGATGAGGACTCTGAGAGCGGGGAGGAGGGTGGAGCTGGCATTGGCGAGGAAGTCCTGGACGATCAAGAGGAAGACACCCGGCGCAGGAACACAGGCATGATGACCAGCGCAGAGCATCGTCCCCGTTCTCCTTATCAGCAGACGGAAGCATCAGGGGACGATGCGCACCTCGTATCACCTCCACCTCCGGCCATCTCATCTCAGGACAAGTCTCAGCCAATCACTCGCACTGAGTTGCTTGAGGAGAAAGAAAAGTATCTCGGCTTGCTGCGATCACTCTTCGGTGACAAAGATGATGACTGGGGCGGCGAGGAAAGCATCGGTTCAGATGTCGAGATGGATAACATTCAGCCCCAGCCCGAGGAAACTCCGGCAGCACACTTATCCACCGACGATGAGGGGAATGATGAAGAGGTCCAAGCAACGACGGATGCTGCTATGGATCTGGACTTGCCCGTCTTCGCTGAGAATTATGCCGCAGACACGCAGCAGGAGAAACCTGCCGTTCCCGTGCGGAAGACAAACCTGAAGGACCTCTTTGCTCCTCGAGAGGAGGAAGGTACGTGAACGATAATCGTCTTACCAGCTCGCAATGCTGAGCTATGACTGGTCGGGACAGCTGGCTTCTCCCTGCTGGGACATCTCGACGTCGATTTCGAGATTGACGAAGATGTCGACCTCAATTTACACCCGAAGACACAGCCTGCTATGGAAGCACAGCATGAGGTGGCTCCTGCGGTTCCTTCCGCCCTTGCCTTCGACCCCAACCGGCCGATGTTCTTCCCTCTGCCGCCTGAGGAACGAGCGCATGGACTCGTGCGAGATGCTATCGATCCGACGAATTGGCGGAGTTGGTTCTATCGCACGGCTTCTGATGAGGAGATACAGAAGCGGTGGGAGGAGACGAGAAGAGAATTGACGAGCGGGTGGAAGCGGCGCCACCGAGAAGCTGTGAAGAGTCGAAGACGGAGAGGTGGTGGCCCGGGAGAGAACGAGCCATAATGAGCCGTTGGATGTTGGGTTCTACTTGCTGCTATTCATCCTAGATACCTTGCAGTTCTGCGAACAGAGGTAGTTCTGTTCGGATATGTACGCGCTATTGCAGCGTGACCGCGTATACCGATAACGGACTCGTTCGGTTTCGAGCCAACACATGTAGAACACGAAGCACTCTTTTAGTCATCACGTTCATTTTGTCGAGCCCATCTCCGGCCAGTTTCCACTCCTGCCGGGCAGCATGCTAAGTATCTTTAAGTACCGCCCGCATCAGTGGCGTGTAGGTTGTGTTTGCTCTCGACGATCACGACGATGAGCTCGCGCTGGGGGCCCGTGAGATCGCTGCTGTGCCTCAGTCCCCTCCTGGTTGGCGTCCCTCTCTTGACGTACAAGATAAACTATGGCGAGTCGCATGACCTCTTGATGTAGTTATGTCACCCCATCCTGAGTTTTTGATGTTGTTGGACAGCACTGCCCGAGCCCGTAGTTGACGCGTACGTGCCATATCATGGTGCTTGAGTGCATGCTGGACTTATTGCAACGCATCTGACCTCCTTCTGTGTTCCCGGATTGTACCTGCTGTTCTTAGAATCCACCCTACGACCGGTCTTCCTCAACTATCTGAAGCGAATGTCCTCGCACACGCAAAATACCTCTCAGAGGACATTGGTTTCCGCACGGTCGGCACTTTGGAACATGCACTTGCCGATGAATGGATGGTGCAGCAGGCGGAGGCCATACGTGAGCAATGCGAAGACGTGGTGCGCGCGCATGCAGAACGAAAGCTGGAATGCGAGGTTTGGCATCAGCAGGGCAGCGGCAGTCACCGGTGAGTTTAATTTCAGTTTTCTAAGCGAAATGATAGTTGCTAAGTGGACGCATAGATTCGACATGATGGGCCATCGGTTGTACAAAACGTACGTGGATCTGACGAACATCGTGGTGCGCATCTCGGATGGTACACCGGCTGGAAAGGAACATGCAGTGCTTGTGAATGCTCATCTGGATAGCACATTGCCGTCGCCTGGCGCAGCAGACGATGGACTCGCGATCGGAATCATGCTGGAGTGTATGCGTGTCCTGGTCAATACACCTGCCTGGCAACCCTCACATGCTGTCATATTCTGTAAGCAGACCTGTGCGCTTGTGTGGCTTTGATTGGCTGACAATGTATAATCTTTAGTGTTCAACAATGCGGAGGAGTCGTTGCAGGACGCTTCGCATCTCTTCTCCACTCAACATCCCATCGCAAAAACGTGAGTGATCCTGCAACGTGCTGTTCAGGCTGTCTTACAATCGCCATGATAGTGTTCGAGCTGTAGTCAATCTTGAAGGTAAGTGTCGAAGTGATGATGCAGAGCTTGTGATTGCATGTGCCAACGCATGTCTCCGAAGCGGCTGGGACTACCGGAAGGGAGCTTCTCTTCCAAGCCACATCCGAACAAATGATTCGCGCTTATGCGCAGGTACCAAGGTTAGAAGACTCAGTCTTTTGCTGTTCCTGTGCTGATTATATCTTGCAGACCCTTCGGCACAATCGTGGCCAATGAGGTGTTCACTTCCGGTATCATTCTCTCGGAGTAAGTACTCGGATCATATTCGCGCTTGCTGCGGACAAAGTGACCAGATGATGCGTCTGTAGTACGGATTTCCGACAGTTCGAGCAGTATCTCAATGTGACTGGACTTGATGTGAGTCCCGCGGCGCACGCGTCACTGACGTAGAACTTAAAGGCATGCAGATAGCCGTCGTAGGCAACAGCTATTTATACCATATGCGCAAGGTACCCAGTTGTTAATTACACGCGAATTTGGCAACGCTGACGGGACTTCCAGGACCTGGTAGAGAATATCGAACCTGGTGTTGCGCAGGTAGATAGCATATATATCACAGGAGCCCACTTGCTAACGCACTAATCCAGCACATGGGAGAGAATGTTCTCGGTCTTCTTCTCCATCTTTCCTCCTTTGAATCACCCCTTCCGATGCTCACCGAAGGCTATACTCGTCCCAGCACAGTCTTTTTCCAGTACCTCGGCACCTTCGTGGTCTACTCATTTCGTACGGCGTCAATTCTGTACATCGCATTGTTTGGAGCCTCGCTCGTGGCTGCCCGGATGCTTTACAGTGACCCATTCCCAGCGCTGAAGAAGGGCACCGGCATATTCCGCGAGCACTTCAAAGGTGCAACGGCAGTAATTGCTGCTGTTGTCGGTGCATTTGCTGGCGCGAACGTGGCCGCTGTGATTATGGCGAAGGTCCTTGGAAAGGGAATGAGCTGGTTCTCTTCTGAGAGGGCGTGCATGGTCTTATACGGTCCTGCAGCATTCTCCGGTATGTGTTCACCTTTGATGGCCACCAGTACAGATAATTCATTCCGCGTTGTTGAAGGCGCACTCGCATCTCAGCTGCTGGTGGGCCGCGTGACGGAGCATACGGCGTTCTCTTCTTTGCTACTTCTTCAATCTTTCGTAGCTTGTGCAGGGCAACTCTTGCACTTCGGATCTGCCGGTGTCTTTGCTTTGTCTGGATACCCAATCTTGCTCGCTCTCGTTCTCAACCCCTTTTTGACAAAACCTGGAGAGGACATCTCACTGTGGAGTTATGCTTTATCCCAATTCACGCCGCTCTCGCTGGGTGCACAGATGTTCTACATTACCTTGGATGTGTTCGTGCCTTTGGTAAGTGACTCGTATGCAGCGTGCAAGGTACCACGCAATACAATGAATCCCATGAATTGTCAGACTGGCCGAATCGGTGAAGAGGCACCTGCGGAAAATATCATTGCATCTATTGTCGCAGGCGCGGGGTCCTACACTCTCCCCTTACTTGTCCCGTTCGTACATCGCTTCGGACGGCGGACGATCAAGCGCGCTTTGGTAGTATGTTCGATCCTCACAGCGGTGGCGATGGCTGTGTTCTCGATGAGATCGCCCTTCGACTCAATGCACCAGAAGAGGGTCTTCGTAATCCATATGGAGAATGTAGGTTAAAGTATGCCATGAGCACCAATTTTCTTGAGCTAACGTTTCTTATACACAGGTTACTACTTCGGAGCAACACCTGCATGTAGCTGCTGCGGACAGTGCTCCTGGCTTCGATCTCCTTGTAAGTCGCATCGCTGAGACCTTTAGCGTGTCCGGCGCCCTGCCAATGGCGATGCCGATGAACCTCTGGAATAATGACTGGGACACGATGTATCCTTTCAGCGCGGTGAGCTACGGCAGTCACGCTTCCAATAACGGTGTCCTGACTTTATTTGCAGTTTTTGACGCCGTATAAATTTGAACTGCCCCTTAGACCAGAATACCTCGAAGCACCGGAACACGACTTCACGATCTCGGCAGTCAATGACACGATAGACAGAGTCGCAGGGACTAGGAGCTTAACAATCTCTGTCAGCCATCCTGGCATCATATGGACGGGTATGGCCTTTTACTTGGTGAGATACTGGTGATACTGACGCCCTACGACAGCCATCACTTTCAATGCGCACGTTCTCAGATGGACACTAGACGATAACCCTCCAGATGAATATGCGAGACACTATATAAAGGAAGGCTCATTCTATGGCTATGATACATGGACAGTCGATCTGGTCGTGAGGGTTCCGGAGAACAATCCGGATGCCAGAATCAACGTCAATTTCGTCGGAATCCACGAGAAAGCTATGTGGCCGGCGAAGAAAGCTGAAAAGGAGTTCGGAGGACGAGCTATGAAGTTGTTTGAAGAGTTTGACGCTTGGATACATAAGGAGACCGGTGGGAACGTGGATGCATTGTTGATCGGATGCGTAGGAGGAATCACCACTCTTTAGATACGCTGCATGACAACTGTTACTATCGCTAATTGACGACCTTCATATACGGCGTACAGGAGATTGTCCAAACAAGCACCAAGTAGTGCATGGGGTATTATGTCTGTCTCCGACTCGAACAAAGTCGCGGCTAACGCGTTATACAACGTCAATGCGTCATATTGATTGTAGTTGTTTGAGTGTAGCGTTTGTCCCTCTCTCAATGCTCAGGGACTTCTATATCTCGGAAGGCCTGCGATCGCGTTTTCCCATAATCCTCGTGGCGTCACTAATGCATGCGGCTATAGCATTCCAAGAGTATCACGACATTTAGATGCAACCACAAACTCAAGGTACTATGCTGCTGCAGACGTATCAGTTAGCTTTTATTGAATAGCTTTAAAGGGTACACATATACTCAAGCCGCTATCCGCTCCTCGGTAGTGTCATCTATGAACGTTACACGCCACGCTATCTCATGAGTGGCGACCGTGTACTGCTCACTGAGTTGGACAAGCAACGACTTGACGTCCGAGAATAGTGTTTAAAGGTAAAGCTTGGTCGGTCTATATAACCTTCAGCTCGAGTTGATCTCCGTGCATAGTATGTGCATTAATACAGACAAAGCGACTAAGACGTCAACTTTCAGTCTCTTTACTTCTGGATTCAACCATTACACAATTAGAAGGATAGGTAGTAATCATTCAGCATGATTTCGATGCTTGCCATCATCTATATAGGATAGGCGTTCGACTACACATAATTCTGTGGCCTTGAGCCGCTAAAGCTTAGCCAACGAGCCATCCAACATGACCTTAGTCCCGCGATCAACAACTTCACAAGCTGTTCAGTGCATAGGTTGCGAATTGTCAGTCTTTGTGAAAGTGTATCATATGTGCCGAACGATCATTCCCTGAACTGTACGAGTCCTAGATTTGAGTCCACAGCCATGATCGTCGCGGTACGTGCCCTAACGGGCATTCGTTGTCAGGCGCCCGTAAGCGAGCGCGAACACGTGATCGCGTTATTTGACGCTCCGCGCTCATTGTTCGATATCTCAAGCCTCCACTGCCACCCTCAAACCGTTACTGCACTGCTCGACGCCACTCAGTCACATCCCCCTTTCTTCTTTTCATTGTTGCCCATTATTGCACGTTGCTCGACGCAGGTGCCCAGCCCTCCAGCCGGTTACCACGTTTTTCTACGTGCGCCACTGCGAATTCACCCGACGAGTCACTATTGCCCGATTCCGACTCGCAACGCGTCCACCTTGAGATTCCTGAACCCTCTTCCGAGGCGAATTGTCACTGACTTAACCATTTTGGGTGTGAAACATTGTCCAGTCATTGCCGAGTGGCTCTGACGGCGAACACGTTCCCTTTGAAGATCGAGCGTACCTGCGGCTATAAAGGCAAAGGTCGAGGTGAGAGCCCACCCATTCTCCACTGAAAGCATCATGACGTCCTTTGATACATCTCCTTTTAGGAAGCAAGGTACTAGCGACCGCAATTTCTCTGCGACTCAGTCTGAGCCCATCGACAAGATACGTGCGCGCCACAATCTTGACATGCAAGGAAAATACCACTACCTGTGCGAGAGCGACGATCAGTTCCTCGAAACCTTCTTTCCTGCCAAGAATTTCGATCCTACGATCACGAACAAGAGTTTCGCCGAAGATACGTTCAAGTCTGTACGAACTCTCGACGATCACAAGCCTGGGAGCCGACCCATCCCTCTGGAAGATGCCATGTATCGGGACTTTGTAAGTCGCCACATGACCACTCGCTGTATGAGAAACTCACGCCGGCCATAGAAAAAGTGTGCAGAGGACGTCGATATGATTCCTCAGGGCTACAAATTTGCGATCACGGCGGACAGGCCAGGGCCTGAAGATCCTTCCAAGCAGAAGGTGGACGTTGCATTCTTCCACCAAAGTGATTTCGAGGGGGAGATCCCTGACCATGGTCTGCCTCATTGGTCGAAGATGAGAATGTTCATTGAGTTCAAGAGGTCCAATCTCTCTGATCCATTCGGTGGCCTGAAGGAAGAAGCTATGACCGGGGTTAGGGCGTCTGTACGTGCGCAGGTGGTTTCATACGCAGAAAACGTCTTCAATTTCCAGCAACGCACTCGAGTCTACTCCATTATCATCTTCGGCAACTATTTGCGTATCCTGATGTTCGACAAAGCCGGCTGCGTCGTGAGCGCGCGCATCTCATACAAGAAGAATCCCACCATCATCGGCCAGTTTTTACTCCGCTTCTGCGATTCGAACAAGAGGCAACAAGGCATTGACACGACTGCATTGCGTATCCCTGAAGGTTCGCTTGAATATGCTCTCATGGACAAGGCTCCCGAGTCTGTCACGCTGGAAGAGGACTTTGAGTTCATCAAACGCTCATACAAGGAGTCATTGGACAAGAAGTGGCCCAGATGGAAGCTCGTTGTTGAGGGGGATGATTATCTGGTCGGGAAGCCTCGCGTCAAGGCAGCAGGAGTCGTTGGCCGTGGGACGCGTAGCTATACTGCGTACCACGTCAAAGACAAGGCATTCTGCTGGCTTAAAGATGCATGGCGTGTTGAGCTTCCCGGAATCGACAAAGAAGGTGACGTCCTGTTGGATCTCCACCGTGCAGGTGTCGAATTCGTGCCGACCCTACTCTGCCATGGTGACGTCGAGGATGAAGGCGGAGTCCAGCGTACGGTCAGCCAGGACTATCCGAAGACGGCGAAAGAGAAGAATGCATCTGAAGAAACTACCTCCCAAGGTGCCAAGGCCGATGGGCCATCGTCTAGCAAAAGCGATGAGCCAGCTCCAACCCAGCCGGACACCATTATTCCAGATAGGAGGTTCACACACTACCGGATGGTCGTACGCGAGGTTGGAATGCCACTGGAAGACTTCGAGAATTGTCGAGAGTTGGTTGAGCTCGTCGCAGATGGCGTTGAGGGTTAGTGTTTGTCTTTTCCTTCGGCTTAGCTCATGATACTGAAAACTGTTTGGCAGCTCATGGACAAGCTTGTAACAAGGCAGGTTACCTCCACCGCGATGTTTCTGGTGGCAACATGGTCATCGTTCCTCTCAAAGCGAAGGGGGACACCGAGCGCAAGCGGCATGGCCTTCTTATCGATTGGGAATTTGCGAAGCGCCTCAAAGCCATCGAGGATGGTGGCGCAGTCCAGAACGACATGCCCCGGCAGACAGAACGAACTGTAAGTTGGTTCGTTATGTACTTCAGCGACATGTCCTCATAGTGGTACTGCAGGGTACGTGGCAGTTCCAGTCGGCGAGGATCCTCAACAATCCCCGTTCCCCTGTCGAGATTCAAGATGAACTAGAATCGTTCTTCTACATCATCCTCTATAACGGCATTCGTTACACGACACATAATTGTCCGGATGTGCCGAGTTTTCTATATCAATTCTTTGACGTGGCTCCCGTCTACGACAAGCAATACTCTTCCCCGGCCTGGAAAAAAATGGCCATGGCAACCGGTGTCATCCAAGTGAAGCAAAATGGCGAACAGCTGCGCTTCTTCCCTCGGGCGGTGGATTCTGATTCTCCAACGCCGTCTGCAGATCTCAACGTGTTATGCATCGAGCATCCTCTCAATGCAACCGTCGCGGTGCTTCTATCGTGGTTTTATGCTTTGTACTGGCTGCGCATCCCGGTCACCACTTCCACAGGTGTGAAAGGCGATGATGACATCGAGGCTAAACGCAAGAGATTATTGGCTCAGCTGACACTCGAAGATCGTACCGCGACGGCCGAGAAATTAGCTTCGCATCAGCCAATGATACGACTCCTCCGGGGACAGGCCGAGTCGGAGAAGTGGCCCATGGTGGACAAGATCGGCGACCTTTTGCCGAAGAATTGGAATCCAGAGAAGGCCGCGGCGCACGTGGAGAGTGCTTCCTACCCCAGTGGAAGTGGCCGGAAGCGTGACGGCGATGCGATGCAATTGGACCCGCGACCCGAGGCTAGCAAGCGTCTGCGAATGGAGGCGGAGACTGGATCGGACTCTGACCGCGTCCCTGATTCTCCTACTCCTGCTCCGCGTTACACTCTGCGCTCCTCCCTCGGTTCCAACTCCAAGGGCAAGGGCAGAGCGCGGTAAATCAACCACCATTCACACTGCACGTACATCGCTCTTCGCAATGGCCGGTGGAGACTTAGGACGGTTGCAGTCTGCTTCGATCGAGTCTTTCATTCCTATCTCTGTCTGATGCACATGCACCATCGAGCTACGTACATTAACTGAACCTCCCGATACTCAATCGATTGTTTGCGGATTATGATAACACGGAATCGGAACGCATGTACACTACCATTACTAAGCTTGTGCTCGATGTCATTTAGTTTAAGGTTAGCAATTCGAATCATGGTACCGGCCTATCTTCGCAAGATGCATTACGTCCTTCGAGTCCGCATTTGTAGAGACCTGAGGACCGTGACTCTGAGAACGCGTCGCAGGGAAATGCAACACGTGATCGCGTCCCGCAACAGCTATTGCTTTGCTTCCGCTTAGCCGCCCATAAAATCCGTTTCGTATTGTCGTCCAGCTCGCTGGTCGTGGAAACCCATTCATTCCTATTGCGTTGAACTCGCTCTGGTAACCAAAAGAGCTCGAGAGCCTCGTTCGGGTTTTCATCCTCGTCCTTCGCACGTTCAACTCAATCCAGAGACAATATGGGCAGAAAAGGCGTCATTTCAGGCCTGTCTCGCTTCGTCAGTCGAGGATTTGACACGTCGGAAGATCTCTCGCAGGCAGCGGCGGAGGCAGCCACCTTGCAGCCATCGCTTACTGCGAATGCCGCTGCGAGCGACAAAGATGAGGACATTCGACCCAAAAAGAGACGCAAGACCGGGTTGCTGGGGCCAGGACGGGAGGAGGTGGATGCGACGGGTCTTGCTCCCTTCTATGTGGATGCATTGGAAGTGCCTGACCACTTGCAAAAGTGTGCGTATCCTCACACGACTCGTCACACCAAGTACTGATAGTATGGAATCTCATGGCGCGTTCCTACAGACTTCTCCCAGCGGGAGCGCTATTTCTCGTTGTACTCTTCTGGTTGCTTGCTTGACGAGGAGGGCTGGTACAGCGTCACACCGGAGCGTGTCGCAGACCAGATTGCTGAGCGATGTCGGTGTGGTGTGATCGTGGACGCGTTCTGCGGCGTCGGCGGGAACGCTATCGCGTTTGCTCGCACGTGTGAACGAGGTGCGTCTTCCCGCTCTTTCAGTTCTTTCATTGCCTCATGTCCTTTGCCACTGTTTCATCCCCATTCTCGCTTTATCCCAGTCATCGCAATAGACAACTCGCCTGTGCGCCTCGCGCTGGCACGCCACAACGCAGCAATCTACGGCGTGGCCGATCGGATAGAGTTCATTATCGCCGATTTCTTATCCTTTGCTCGTACGCTCGCTGAGATTCAAGACTTTCATAACTCTAGCCAGAGAACAGATGAGGCCGCGACGGAAACTTCCAGCCTGACTTCATCAACAAAGTCTCGAAAAATCGACGTTGTCTTCCTTAGCCCTCCTTGGGGTGGCCCTTCATATCTTACAGATACACTGCCTACCGCAAATGGTGTAAAAGCTGAGGTTGCAGCGCAACCTGCGAGCACGCAATTGGCAGAATACTCATTAGCGAGCATCAAACCCGTGCATGGGAAGGAGCTATTCCAGCTTGCACGGAGGCTCACGCGGAACGTAGCGTACTTTCTGCCACGGAACGTGAATTTGGAGGAGGTGGCATCTCTGGTCCGCGAGGAGGCTCAGGCGGAAGGTAATGGAAACGCGGACAGTACGACGAGACAGGACGATGACGTCGAGATGGTGGAAGTAGAGGAGGAATGGATGGGCTCAAAGCTCAAGGCTCTCACATGCTACTTCGGTGGACTTGTTTCTGGGCAGGAGAATCTATTTTGAACCTGAAGCTGATGTTCATGGAGTGCCTCGGATCGCTGCTCTGTGAGATAATTCTCGCCTTTTCGATAGCATCACTACAGACGAGAACAGCATGCGCCTTTGACAGCATGAACTAGGTACGGCCTCGAATGTATGACTACGGTGAGCAGATGTTATGGGACGTCGTTCGCATAGTGGACGATACGCATATCGTCACTCGTCGTCATCGTCAGCAGCTTGTGAAAGGCGGCTGAGTAGCGAGCCGTTCAACGCACCTAGATAAGTAACACGTCAGACCCGTCCGTGCTGAGTTTGATGGTGCGGACATCATCAATGTACTCACGGCCTGATGTTCTGCTGTATTTACCTCTATATGCTGCCAATGGTGAGGACGGAGATCCAGGAATCGACCCCATTGATGTGGAAAACGATGAATCGAATGAGCTAGATGCAGATGGCGGGAGTGTGTAGCTTAACGTGCGCGATGGTGTGGAAATTGGCGATGCTGCATATGTGAATGCCTTCTGAGGTCGTGGGCTTACCTGTGGCCGCGTCTGTTCATTGGGCATTCAAGCGGTACTGCGGCAAATCTGACACTCACACTCGCTGCCAGGTTCCATTTGCGGGTAGGAGGTGACGTCTTGAGGGATTTGGCAGGTGACGGGGGTGGGGGAGGCAACGGGATGGATGTTCGCGGGTATTTGAGCGCGTACGATGCTTGCAAGATGTTGAAACTGAAGAAGGATAGCAAGAGCGTTTCTGACCACCCACGACGCGTCAATGATCAGTGTCGAAATTGCATGCTGCTAAGTAAACGTTGAAGAAACTTACCGATAGCACAGAGACCATACCAAATCATGCTGACTTCTTCTCTACGTCGCACAACCGCAATGGATTCCCATGGAGTGGGGAGAGGGAGGAGATAGGTCACGATGGTGAGGGTGACGAGTCCAAGCATGTTAGCGCGCAGTCTCGCAATAGCTTCGCCTTTGGGAGGCTTAAACCGGTCAATGAACGCGGAAAAGTTAAGATGTGTCGGTATCGAAGACTTCAAGGTGGCCAGTGGCTTCGCGAGTTGTGACATCGTTGGTTGTTGATGGTGTTCCGTGTCCGTGAAAGAAAGGCGCAGTAGGTAAGCCGAATATAGGGTTCCACGTCCAGTCCCGAACGGATGCCTTTGCTGGAATGGGACGATGATCGTGTGAGTGGCTCAAGATGAGGACGACAACAAACAATAAATTCGCGCTGGAAGCACTTTCGAGCGGATGGTCACGTGTACCGCGTCCCCCATCCCCACCGGTTGGCCACATATCGTGGAACGGATCGTCTACGAGCCTTTCTGCTCGCACGACACCGCTCGCGCTGCACGCATAGTTTGCCTACAAGATAACAGGGTCTTGCTACTTGGTCATTTATTGAGCGGCTTCTACAGGCTCAAACACACCCGGTGAGAGACAGCCGAACTATGCATGAATATCCTGGCTAAGTGTCCCCCGTAGGCCGCCTACAACTAGGTTCTTGTGAATCAAGATGAAAGAGGTCAACCACCCTCCCCTGATGGACGCAGCATCCACAGTTAGGACTGACACAGGGTCATCTCTAAACGTCTTCACGCCAATTGCGCTCGTTCCGGATGACATATTGCTCGACATCTTCCACGTCGTAGTTGCAAGCATGTGGGAAGACCACAAAGTCACACCATGGTCATCGCTTGACAAATCTGCCCCCACTTTGCTATCCCAAGTCTGTCGCTATTGGAGACATCTCATTCTTACAGCGCCGCGCCTTTGGGGCTATCTCATCCTCGGTACACAGTCAAGCAGTTCGGCACTCATGACATATCTTTGCCGCTCGCGAGACGCTCCGATATATGTGAGCTTCGCGGGTCTTAGGCTGGTTCGCGATGCGACGGAGAAGCTGACCACCCAAGCACTGTTGCTTGTGGGACACGTACATCGCTTTGTCAAGTTCCACGCTCTGCACCTACAACCCAAAGAGATGACAGCAATACTGTCGCCTCTCATGATTCCCGCACCACGTTTGTCTTCATTGATGTTACATGCCGAGCGGCAGCTATTATCGCCATCAATCTTCTCCCGTCAGCTACCATCGCTGCGGGAAGTTTCTGTGAAGGGCGTCTCCATGGCCTGGCTGCCATACAAGAATATGACCGCAATCATTCTAAAAGATCAGCTCACACCTTCGCTTGACAAGCTGCTGTGGACGTTAAGAAACTGCCCCATGCTCGAACGACTAGATCTGGGCTTCCTCGGTGCAATCAATCATGAAGATGCCAGTAATAATATGCCAACCGAACGTGTGGTGAATCTTCTATATCTACAGGACCTAGCTTTACGGTCTTACGTCCACAACGACATTGTCGACATCCTCGCGCATTTATCTTTCCAGCCTTCCACTGCCATCGACCTTACATTTTACGGCTCACGTCGCACCCCAATAAATCTTGCGAAAGATTGCCCTTCTTTACGAGCCATCGTCTCAAGAATGCGGAGCCTACAACTGAGGATGATCGCGGCATATACGTGGTCTTCGAGTCTTTCACTAGAATCTGAAGACGGCAAGCTCAGGTTGCGGTGGGAGTGGTATGAAGAGGATAGTCTAGGTAGCATCCTCCCTTTCATCGGATTCTCCACCATATCATTCCCTGCACTTCGGCACCTGGCAATATACGCGACTTCGTATCGCCTCAAAGCCGAGCAATGGGCAACCCTTATCCTGGCGCCCGTATCCACAATCGAATCATTGGATATCGACTTCCAAAATTCCCGGGTTATGGAGTTCTTCAAGGCACTCCGACCGCGTACCGGTGCACCAATCACGGTGTGTCCGAACTTGGTACACATCGTAGCATCACACGTGGACGAGCAGCACCGTGTCTTGCAGGAACTGGCCGCCAGCGTCGGGAGTCGCGCCTTGCAAGGCAGCCGCCTGCGTGAATTTGAGATTACCCTACATTCCGGAAAGAACCTCCCTAATGATGTCTATGTGACGCTTCTGCAATGGATTGGCAAGATCACCATCAAACTCGCTCAGAAGGTGCATGGTCACTTGTCAGACGATTCGAATGCATGAATCGTATTTGTTTTTTCACGAGGCGCATCAAATGTAGCCGTGCAGCTAGCTAGCGGCATCCTGGCTGCTGCATCTCAGAGGCCAGGCATCGCAAAGATCAGTCTTGGAAAGAGGGTTGGAGACCTGGTTATATCAAGAAAACGTTGGATTGACCGCCAGATCTAAATCATAGCCACGTCGCATAGTACCCGGCCCCCAATATGACGGACAGTATACTAAGTGGACGTCACAAGGCTGATGGATCAACTCCTATCGTACAACGTCTTCATGCGAAGCATTCATAGCGATATCCATGGCTTATAGTTAGCAGATGTGGTATAGAAGTTGTACAACACAGTAGCACACAGAACAAGGACAGTGAGGTGATGTTTTGGCGGGTTGTATGCACCCTTCAGCTGGAACCGATCAGAACTATACAAGCGCGTCAGTAAGATTGCAGTAGCTCCGAGGGCTGGCGCACCTATACTCATGCCAGTCCTTTTCAAAGAGTACTACATGTGCTTTGTCAGTGAGGTCCCATTAGCTACGGCACGAAATCAGTACCTCAAAATCGACGCCCTCGCAGATGAGGACGTCTCCGTGAACTAAAGTTACGAGAACAGTCTTCAGCGGCTGTTGCTCAACAGCGACACCCTGTCCGGTAGACGTGACGATAGTGACCGGTACGCTTGGACGCTCCGGCTCCACATTGATATCCAGCAGAGTATCCTCAGCTCTAGGCCCCTCCTCTCCATTCATAACTCCCTCTGGAACTACACTCACAAAGACCGTATCTGCAGGCTCCTCGGGATCTTCGACGAAGTCCACCGGAGTTTGTGATGGTGTGGAGTCGGTCTTGGGTGACAGGAGCAACTCCACGTCTGCACCTAGGCAGAGTATCATCACGGGTGATTCTTTCGCTGGCAGATAGCACCCCTGCAAAACGAAAACACATAACGATGCTAGAACGCCCGCGTGATCTCAGAGAAGCGCATACCTTTCGAGAACCCGTACTGACCCAGCCTAGCAGAGTAAGGCGACCGATGGAGCATGGGGTACCGTTGTTTCCAATGGTACAACGAGATTGTATGAGGTCGCGTGCTCTCGTGATACACTCCGGAACATCCGCCCAGGGTATGCACCACTCCTCGGCCGTATTGTTGTCAGCGGCCATGTAAGTGTAGTACGTGCCTGCCCTCATCAACTTATCAGCAACGGCCCGCATATGACTGCAACAGGAGTAACAGACATACCGGTCGCAAGGCCTTTGGTCATCTTCCGATGCACTAACTCAACGTGCAGCTGAATATCTCTAAACAAGCGATTCGGCTCTTGCTGCAGCTCATTCGCATTACAGGTGAAGACGTGTTTAATCACGCCTGAACCTCCCATGGCGTATGAAAATGTGCGAGATCCGTCTGCGCCTTCCGACGTATTCGATTCAATTCCAACGGAGGGCCTGTCCCACGGCCAAGATACAGGCGCGTTTACGAACGGGTTACGTACAGCATTGACATGTACAGCTGGTATGTTGTTTGATTTCTACCAGGGGATGTCGGAGCACGAAGCGATGAATTGCTCGCGGTACTCACCTGGCAAGTCGCGCATTTTTGAAATCGGAGATTGCGCTGCGCGTTCAACCTTCCACAACCCGTGCAATGCCAGCCAGTAGTCGTTGTCGACTCCGGTAGATCAGTCTTCATCTCTTCTTCGGAGGCGGCACTTGCGGCAAGCAGGTATAAAGGAAGCAGCGTGAACGGGTGTGATATCATCATGGAATCCTCCTCTGAACTGGCATTGATATCTTCCGCCGTTGGTACAGACATCCACCATGGGTGAGATGGCAGCTCGTGGGGAGCTTCTCCCCCTGGGGTCCATTGCAGCTTTAGCTTATACTTGACTTGGCCATTGTATCGCACACTATCCGTAATCACTACCTGCATGGTCCAGCTTCGACTTGCTGAGTACATTTGAGATAATCGGATGGACTCACCTCTGACTGCAGATCTGCAATGGTGAAGAAGCCTAGAAATAAACAGCCGTACTCAGACGGAAGTTCGAACGGTACCAAAGGACTATCCCTGAGCAGTATCACACTGATAGGTACCCCTGCCGTCTGACATTCACGCAAGGCATTGAACTCCGGAGGTTGATTTTCTGCAATCAGGGATTCTGATATCGGGAGCGGACGATTTCGCGAGGCATCTAGCGACACGTCTGTATGATCAGGTAGCTCAACAGTCTCTACGGTAGGTGGAGGCATTGCTACCGCCAATGTGGGTTCGAGGCATGGGATATCGACGGACATGGATTCTATTAACTGGGCCGAAGGCAGTTGCTGCGTATTGGACAACTCATCGACGGCATTGCCGCTCCGAAAGCCGTGCTCGTGATGTACCTCTCTAGCACTCCGCACGATTTCTTCAGCGGCCATGACACAGGTGCTGGGCTGAGAGAATGATCCCGAACCGTCTGCAAGGGCTGCGCTCGCTGAGGAAGGTGTGGCAGACGGCATCGCCTGCTCAGTGGGTTCCCATATCCGCCAGCTTGGCAGGCCATCGTGAGCTTGTGGCCTCGGTGGCATGGAATCGGAAATCGTATCCACGTCAGGTGTGGGAGACAACCTATAGAGACCTGATTCGTCCAAGGCGCCGCGAACGCCTTGCACTGACATCGAGGAAAGGATCGCGGGTGGTGGCAGGGCACTGTCTCGCGGTACGGAGGACTGGATAGGCGAAGGATGTGATGCGAGTGGTATGTCAGCTGGAACTGCTTCTGAGTGTTCCATGCGGCTGGAAGGCGAGATTAAGTCACATTGAAACGCTGCAAAGCCCGACGATGAGTCCATAGACTGTCCTGCTGGGTTCATGCGGTTGAACTCTTTGACTCTAGTGTGTATGGTGATTAATGGTATGAACCTCATAGCTATAGGAGAATGTGCGCATACATCGTGAGCTGAATCGACTTTTCACCGCCCCATGAATCGCCGGGCCATGTGGGTCCTCCTATGAGGAGAATAGGCGTCTCGACTTCTTTCCAAATAACGCCGCTCATTTCCTGAGAAAATGCGGGTAGGATCTCGCGAAGCTCCTCCTTATCCTGATACAATGAAGCTTGAGTACGTACCACTCGACGTGCATGTCGTAGTGCTCACTTTGGCCCAGATACGGGGAATGTTAGGTGGTGCTGATAGGTCATTACAGATCACGACTTCTGCGGGGCTAGGAGGGTGAACTGTCGTCCATTTGATTCCATTCTCAATGGATTGCTGAGCTGCTAACAGATATTTCAATTTAAGCCTTGTCATATAATGGCAGATGGCAGAGGGGAACGTACATTTGCGAGAGGCCTGGCTCACGAGCCCCGACCTTACTTTCCGCTTCTTCTGCGTAGACGGGGTTATATTTTTCTTCCCCTTACCGATCACCTTCATGCGGATCTTTGCTGAATGAGCCCGAAGAGCATTCTTTCCCTTCTTTCGTTGCGCTGAAAGCTGTTTCGCGGCATATGATGCAAGTGGAGTGTCGGAGTCACTCGTATCCTCAAAACGGTCGATTCTGGAGGAGAGAATCTGTCCATAACGTAGAACTGGCTTGATACGGATTCTTAGCGATCGTGTAGTCGATCGGACAGTCGATGTAGACCACTTTGCACCTATCCATTCAGTGTCTCCCTCCGAGACTTTCTCGAGCGTTGTCTTTCTGGTATTAACTTCTTTATTCGGTGCAATCTTACTACGTTCCGTTTTGGGTCCCGGTAAAGGCAGATAACGAACATCGCTTGTACGACACAGGGATTTGCTTTTCGCGCATCTTGCACATACCGGACGTGTGCGAGAGCACGCCTGCGACAGGTGTTTGCACCGGTTGCAGCGTTGTGGGACGATATACGACCCTGCTGGTTCAGCAGAGGTATGGTCGGAGCCAGCGTGATCTCCTCCACCAATAAGCAGATAGAAAATGCTCTCAGGCAAGATCCTAGTGTCATAGTGTTCGGGTAAGAAACGAGGGCGTTGGACAGCAGGACCCCATGCTTTCGCGTATTCAGGCAAAGGCACCTCTGCCGCAGGATTCGGCTTGCCCGCACCAAATGTAGCGGCGTTCTTCATGTTAACTAAGACTATTCAACGACAATTACGCTCCAACATACAGAGACATACCACAGTTCTCAGTAAACAGAGCGCCACGTTCTGCTGCTTAGCTTGCGGTCGAGCTGATCGGATGCGGATACCACCAGTTGGCACTGCCGTTCTGCAACGGTTAAACGAGCGCGGATGGCAATTCACGTAGTTGCGATGCTCATAAGAGGAAGCAAGTCACAAATTTTCATCCCGGGGAGCTGGTGGGAGCGAAACGCACTCTAAAATCAGCGCCTAAGTCGCGTCCTCTCTTGTTTGTTCCCATCAGACAAGCTAACGCTGCGTACTTCTCGCTCATATCTGCACTCTACGCGTCTTCAACTTATAAAAATGGACGAACGTTTTGTGTTATGCCGTACAGTTCCATCGCGTACATTCAAGCGGATCTCAAAGTGGCAGCCTCTTCGAACTGGTTTAACAATCGACACTCGATAAAAAGGAGAACATCCGAGCACTCAAAGTCTCGCAACCGGCGTGCAGATGCCTTATATGCATTTGACTACTGTTCATCTTGTGCTTGGAGCTGGTTGCGACAACCTTGTAGATCTCTTATTGGTATGGGTCTAAGAACATCACTGCCTCGCTTTGTTTCGTGTAGACCTTATGCTGACTAGCTGGCACTTAATCGGAGTGCTTATTAGACGAGGTGGTCTTTTGAGGAATCTTTGGTACACTCTGCGGAAGCTCTATTGCACCCTGTCCGCCCAACGCGCAATGCACTTCAACGTCCTTCAACTGTCAGCGACGACGCATCGCCTCGCTGGACTTCACGATCCTCAGGAAAGCCAAACCGGGACAGTCGATGCCTACATAGGAACGAGCTATGTATCCACGTTTAAGTCCACTGCGCAAGCAGAAGAATGTCCGGCTTGGCCTGCTTCGCACTCTGAAAATCGCAAGGCTCCGAAATGCGCTTCTCTGATGCACGCGATTATGTTTGATCTTCACTCTTAGTTCGATGGGTCAAGAGATCGCTCAGACGAAGTTTGAGGTGCCGTGAGTCTTTGCACTGTGTCATTATTTCTTGTTTCACTTATAATGTTATACCTCCATCGCAGGTCAGGACGTGTGAGACTCAAAGTGCAATATCATGTTCGAAATATTCAAACTTCAGGGCCATACAGCGAGGCCTTCCTCCGTCAGCGTCGTTGGGCATTCAGAGCTGCGGACATAGAGGAAGAAATAAGCAGCTCGTTCTATAGGTCGCTTCCTGGGCAACGCTTTGAGGGCTGTTTTGATTTTGGAAATGCAGCCCGACCTGCTGTTGTATGTTCGACGGGATGGTTCCCGGGAGTGAAAGAGGATCTAGGAAGCCAGAGATGGACGTGTGCACTCTTTTCTGAACTATGTGATAGTTGGTATATACTTTGTTCTAGAGCAGGTAGTGCAGAGAAGTTACTTCAGGCAAATTGCTCTTCATGGGCCTACCTATAGGCCCGCTGACGAGAATCGGGCGCACATACAACTTTGCTTCCGCCTGTCAACATGAGTACCTCAGAAACCAAGTCACTGTCTGACAAGCAATCTGCTGAGCCTCAATCAACAGAACAATGGGGCAGAGGTGCATCACATCCTTCATGTGCCGTTGATACTAGCTAACAAGTCTGCTGCTGGTCGTCGATACGGCAGTGTTGTTGTGTGGTGGCACAGACTGGTACGTCTCGATTGATCCCATCTGCATCGACCGCATTCGTTTGCGGCCATACTCCATGTCGTTGCACACATCTCAAACACTCACAATATGGCTTGTTCAGGCCTAAATTAGGACGGAGAGAGCGGGGTGGAGGCAGTAAGAACGCTCCGGAAGGTGACGAATCGTGCGTTGCTCGTCTCATTTATATAATTCAAAGCTGTGGCCACTAACAGCAAATGAGCAGCGGCCCTGACCTCCTGGAGCCGCACATCCTTCGCTCTCTCAGCAATGTCAAGATTACGTCCATCCATACATCGTGCGTGGGGTGTCACGTCGTCGCCATCGATATCGACGGTGCTGCATGGCTATTTGGCCGGAACGAACGTGCTGCACTGGGTTGTACGGGGATGGAATACATATCTGAGAACGCACCGAAACGCTTAACGGCTCGGGAACTCGGCGCCCCGAAGGGAACACGCTTCGTCCACGCTGCTTGCGGCAGAAATCATACCCTGCTGGTAGGAAGTGGAGGTCAACTATGGACTGCAGGTGCCAACAATCACGGACAAGTGAGTTCAATCCAGCTTATGAACGCCGGCCCGATCTGCGATCGCATACTGATCCTTGCAGTGCGGGCACCCTGTCTGCTCGGAGATCACCTCTTTCAAGCTCGTTCATGGACCGAAAGTTGCCGGTGAGAAGGAAGAGGTCATCAAGGCCGCTGCCGGAGTGACCTTCTCCATAGTACTTACGACCAGCGGGAAAGGTGATGCGGTTCCTCACAAATATGCACACAAGCGGTAGCTCACGCTCGCGTAGTGTTCTCTTTTGGTAGCGCTGAACATGGTCAGCTCGGTCAGGGGAAGACGGGGGAATACATCGTCACTGCGGGCAAAACAGCTTTCGACATCGAATGGGACCCTAGTATGAATTATATCAACCTCCTGGTTCAACCTCTTACGGAGCACCGTAGTTCTCATCAAGGGCCTGGAGGACAAGCGAATAGTCAAGATTGCATGCGGGCAACAGCACAGTGTGGCTTTGGACTCCGAAGGGTGGGTTTATCCTGTGTTATGCATGTCAGGTCTTCACGTTCGCGCACCTCCAGGCTTGTCTACGTGTGGGGTTACAATGGTTACTGTCGCCTTGGACTGGGGAATCAGCAGGATGCGCTTGTACCGAAAGTGGTACCACAGGTAATATCATGCATAAGCACGAGTCTTCCAAACGCTGTCTCACATTATTGGATCAAGTTCGCTGTTCCAGATGAACTGACGATGGGAGATGATATCGTCGCTGGCCCATCTAATACTGTCGTCATCGACAAGCAGAGAATGTACTGGATGGCTGGCAAGGTCAGTCAATTTTGTAGAATGGATGTCGTCATGCAAACTGATGACATGTAGTGGAAGAATACTGGAGACGGTGCGTCAATGTGAATTCTACTCAATCGGTAGCTAACCATCTGTTCTCAGGCTCCTCCGGCCAACCATATTCGAGCTTCCGCTACATCCAGGATATTGCGTACGCCGCGCCATACCTCTGTGTCATGCCCTGAGGTAACGTTGATATTACAGGGCGTGCAAGGTGACTCATGCAGCTTGCGGTGGCGTGACCCATTGGGCTCTCGCGCCGGACGAAGACGACGGCGGTGTGATGACAATCGCATTCGGCCAAGGAGCAGCAAACGGTACGTGTTGTCATCCAACTGCACGCATCATATACTTACAGGTGACTCAGGCGAGCTAGGGTTGGGTCCTGATGAGACTAAGAGTGCCACCAAGCCTATCCGTAACCAGCCACTTATTGGTGTGGATGTCTTTCAGTGAGTAAACCGGTCTCTTCTTGGCTCTGACTTGAGAATCACCCGCTATCCCAGAATTGCAGCTGGCCAGCACACGACGTTCTTCCTCGCCAAGCCTAACGAGAAGATGTCCGAGCTACCGCGACATCCCGTTGACGTCGGTGCACCGGACCTCTGCGTCGTTTGCAAGACTAACAAAGGAGAAGACGACGTCCTCCTGGAATGCGACAAGGTACGTGTGGAAGGTGTTTCGCCAGATCGTGTTCTCAATTTGCAATCTCAGTGCGATCGCCCGTATCACCTGAAATGTCTGGATCCTCCTCTTGATGCAGTCCCGGAAGGCGAGTGGTTCTGTCCCGAGTGCGTGGAGTACCCCGGTGCTCCGATTGGTCCGGAAGGCGTGGACACGAGCCAAGCACGCCACGGCAATCCAGAGACCACGGACGAGGAGGAGGCAGCAGACGAGGAGAAGAAGCCGGCTCATAAAGCAAGCCGCAAGCGTAAGTCGTCTGGTAAAGCCAAGACTGGAAGTGAGTGTTGCTTCGCCCTATTGACCACATCGCCTCATCATTCTCTGCCTCGACAGCGACAAAGCGTCGAAAATGATAATAACTCTTCCTGCCACTACCGTCGAGCTTAGACCATGCATTTTTGTGGATCATCATCCCATGGACTTCTGTATACAAGTGTAATCAAACTTGGTCTGTGTAATCATTATTCTCTCCGCACCCCCCTCTCCGTTGAACAATTAGATAGTCTAGTTTTGTATAGTCACGTTCAGAAGTTATTTCGTCCGTGCCGCCCGCTCATGTAGCCCTTGTGATATGCAATTTCTACAATAACGCGCAGAAGCGAAAGCATATGTAACGCGAAGCTCAGGGTATCAACATATACATCACGAGCTAGCGCCCAAAGTCACTCTCAACGTCCTTAGGTACACCTACGCGTTCTGATGCTGAAGGTATTGGACGACCACCCAAACAATTCCGACGATGACGGAAAAGATGAGGACCAAAGCGGCAATCACGTAGTACATGATCTCCTTGCCATCGTCCGGCCGCTCGTCGCGGGGCACCCTGCCGTTTGCCAGCCCGCGCTCCTTGAGCCGCTTCTCGATCGCAAGCTCCTGGTCCTTCTTCTGCGCTAGCTCGGCGATCTGCGTGCGTGCGTCTGAGGGGTCGAATACCTGCTGGGCGTTCGCTCCAGACGCTGATTGCGAGAGGGTCACGAATGAGGGATAGTGGTGTTCGCACCACTGCTCGATCTTACGAGATGTTTGAGTTTGTGTGCACTCTGTTCGAAGAGATAGACGAGCATTACCTTGCCGCATGCAACGGAGATTTGGAGGAAGCTCGGATCTTCGGGCACGGCTTTGCTGTGAATCTTGCGTGCGTAATCTCGGAAGATGTATGAGACATCTCGCGGGTTCGTAGACCGCATGATCAGCTAGCTCGTCTGTTAGTCTTGAGGGAGCGGTCATGGTAACGAGGGTTACGCACGGATGCCGCCTCGGCCTTGCGAATCTTGATATTCCGCTGGAACATCTCATAGTTCATGAAACACAAGCAAAGCGTCGCCATCGCCATCGTCTGGGGGATCGCACAGAAATTGAACACACTCTGCGTCTTGAGCAGGCGGAGGTAATCCAGAGAGTCCACAGCATGCGCGAGGACGTTGGCAACCATCGCGCTCTGCACCCACAACGCCTGCTGCCGGTTCTCCGGCTCGTACATCTCCGCCATCTCCTTGAACCCGGAGCGCCCGACGGCCTTGCCATACAGCTCGCGGCCCCAGATCTCGCGGGGCCAGAAGAAGCGCCGTTCGTCGACGTCCTCGCGGTAGTCACGGATGATGTTCGTCTTCTGTAGCATGAGGCCCATCGAGTTGGCGAGCTCGAGCTGCTCGCCGAGCCAAGGCACTTCTTTGCCCGAGGCAGACCAGAGGCGCGTGGCGCCTTCGCCGACGAGGCCTGCGACGTAGTGGCAGTAGAGGTCGTACTCGGCGACCTTCTCGATATAGAGTTGACCGGTTGTCGCCGCGCGGTGGGCGTAGTCGGCCATGCCTGTCTCCATCTTTTTGGTGATGTCGATGATGACATCTAGGTATCTGTTTCTGTTGTGAGCGAGGGGCGGATGTGAGGGATGGGATGCAGAGCAGACCTTGCATCGACGCGGTTCAACTCCTCGCTGACGACGGTGTACTCGACGAGTAGCTGCCGGTCCTTCTCATCTGGGCCGTTCTCGTTGAACGTCCATCCCGGCGTGAGGGTCAATTCATGGAAGGAACGGAGGAGGGGTTGCTTTTTCTCGTCTGGTAATGTCATGTCATCTTCGATAGTATCCAACCCTCGGAGGACGAGGTAAAATAAGCAGATCTAAGAATGCACGGCATTAGCGTCCGACTCGTCACTCTTACACCGACTAAAGGAGGTTGCAGGTCAGAGCCTGAATATGAGAAGTCTCCTCGATACATGAGACACGCAACTGAACAGCGATGCGCGCAGTTACGACGTGCATGAGAACGTGTCAGACAACGACTCACAATCCTTGCCAGGTCGCCTTCGAGCTCCTTAATCACGCCAGAAAAACTCCTGCTCGTCAAATCCAGGAACTCCCAGCACCTCCGCATAGAGGGACGGTCCCATCCTGAGTGTATGTGCTCGCTCGGCGCGCTGACGTCGCGATTGGACTCGTGGTATAGCTTGTACTGGATGAGAGTCCGGAACTCGACCGGATGTGTGAGCAGCAAGACGAGCATCGACATGGCACCCATTGTTAGTTAGTTCGTCGACACCACACGTTGCAAGTGGCTGGGAAGGAGACGCGGGGTGAAGGGGCGGGAAATTGTATGCAGCAGCGTGGTACGATATATTATGCGAGGACCGTGTGTGATAGTGGAGATTGGATGGCGATTGCCCACCATGACAGACATGGCCGAGCGGTGAACGGTTCCCCGCCAATGGCGCAGCGAGCGCTCTCTTCCATCGTCCCATTTCTCTTCCTCCGCCAATCGTCTCCCGTCCACACTTTGTTCCTGGCCTCGATCTACATATCTTCACAGCCATGGACGCCGCAAACACGCCGCCGTTGCGCATCCAAGTCGCACGCTCAGAGCCCATCTCTCCGTCCGAACTCTGTGCGCGTTTGCAGAACTTCATGACCAACTACGAGGGCCGTCGCGGCATCGCGTCGAACGGCGCTGATTCTGCCGTCTCCCCTCAGATGCTGAAGCTCGTCAGCGACATTATGGAGGAGAGCGAGGCTGGAAGGAAGGCGAGGCTGTCATAAGAGGCGGAGTAAGTCTGCATTCATGCTGTTCGGGTGCAACAACTGATGCATGCGTTGGTCCAGATTCCTGGATCATGGAGGATATATTGAGTGTGGTCTATTTTCAATGAAGTGTAGAAGTTTGGTCTCGGTCGTGCGCCATCTAATGCGCTATCGCATATGTACTCACCACTCCGCGATGCATGCTTTGACGTTCATGAAATCTGCCAATTCACATATTGTGCTGCATCTCACCATATACTCCTCCCCAGCTCTGGGCTCAATGCTTGGCTCTCGTCGAGGCTTCTGTATACGGATCAAACGACCAGAGCGGAATATTGTCAGATTGCGCATGTCATGTACATCCAAAGATCGCCGGCCTTTCAACATCGGAACATCCCGTAGTATGCAGTCACAACGCATTCCAGAGAGCGCTCACAAGTGGTAGTACTACTTCAGCCTTCGTGCCTCATGCTGCATATATCTATAGCAGGTTTGCCTCGGGCGAGAATGCGAGTTGCTGAACGAAAATCGCAAGAGGAGCCGTCTACGTAGGACTCCAGTCGATGGGCACGGCTCTCAAGCTGATGAAATGGTAAAAAGCGATCGTAATGCCTTGCCAGTAAATTCAATTTGCAGGATAGGATGGATATCGAGAAGATACATTATGGATGAGTGATACGCTGTGAATGGAGAGATCTTCGAACAACACAGTGTAATGTAGTCGAACGAATGTGCAGGATAAATATCGAGTGTGATCGACTGTCAATTGCTTGCCGGTACATCTAGACAATTATGCGCCGCGAAGTGGATGCCGTTATAAACGATGATGTACAAGAAAGACTCGAGTTTTCGACAACGGAGCATGGTTTGTTAAGGATGACTGGAACTGCCACATTCCCTGCGACATCGCTGTAGGTCATGACAACAAAGCACAGCTGCACATAAACCTACAATTCATTATGCCTGCCGCGGCACGTTATTCTGTGCTGCGTTACCCTCCCGGATGGCCTTGAGGCGCTTTGCAAACTCCCAGGCGATAAGAAGGCCATGCCGCTTGCGCTTGGTGTCTTTCTCCTATCTGGGATAATGCTCCGCCTAGGGCTGAGCGGTTCGTCGCCTTCACTAAACGATGGCTCACCGGCCTTGCTGTCTTGGGAGGTAGTTTCTTCAAATGCTTTCTTCTTCTTCGGAAGCTTCCATTTCAGATAGTCCTGGCTGACCGTACGCTGGACTCCGCCTTCATGCTCGACATCACCACGGCAGAGTAGGGTCGGCACGAATTCGACATCTGCATGGCGGGAGAACCAAGAGGACGTCACCTTCTTTGCCGATCCCAGGAAGCTAAATACGCCACGCATCTTGAGCCCGCAGAATGCGTTGTCCTCGGAGCAATACGCAGTATAGCTATGCGCCCCACGGACAACGACCGCTGCGGCCTTGATGCGAGGCTTCCCGATCAGAAAATCACGCCCATCAACAACCAGCTCCCATCTGGGCCACTTTTTGTCCAACGATTCCTTGAAATAGCCTTTGATGTAGTACATCAAAGGCTGTTTCAAGGTAGTACTCAAAGTCCTCATCCAGCGTGACAGACTCGAGAGCGTTGTCCATGAGAGCATATTCAGGAGAACCTTCAGAAATGAGCAATGCGGTCATGTCAGTACCTTGGTCCCTCTTTTTTCGAATTGCAGAAGCGAAGTACGAACTGGCCGATGATGTTGGGATTCTCCTTGTATGAGATGCGGGCGCTGACGACGCCAGCCGGTTTTGTCGAATACCAGAATACGCAAGTAGTTGTCGAAGGTGGTAATGGAGTAGACACGAGTGCGTTGCTGAAAATTGAAGATGTTTTCTGCATATATCTCCCTTGAATGCATTTTGGTGAAAGAAAGCAATGCACACCCTCTGTTTGGAAGAATCTGCAGGTCCTGGGTGCCTATCATCCTCAGAGACTAGTCACAGGCTCTTGCCCTCATGACCTGCATGCACTCATCATCACGTTGAACATACCGTGAGGCGCCCTCAGCACAGGTGATCTATGGTTGATATGAGTTCCTCATACTGTCATGCGGCGAGGGGTCACCCAATGACTTACAAAGTCCTGCCAGTGATACATCATATCATCTTCGCGAGGGTATTCGGGGCGCTTCTCGGTGCTCGTCGAGAGTACATACAGAGTTGAATGCGCATTTGGCAAACTTCCGCCTCGCGACTTTGGATCCTTGCCGGAATAGAACGTCTCTGGAAGCCGGTCAACACTGTGACAGCGACGTCCAGTTTCTAGATGCTGTCCCACAGGAAGAGTGATATTCTCCTTGCTTGTCGATTTTGTGGTGGCTGCATATCTTCAGTTGCTACTATGACTGCCTTCAAATAACTTGACAGGAAACGCTGAACCAGTCAATTTAGAAACCTTCTCTGCAGCAAGAATTGGTACTTTCTTTGCCGTGTCGGTGACCTGAATATGGGAAACGATGCTTCAAGCTTCCAGAGGGTCGCGTAGACTCTGTTCAAAATGTAAATTTGAAGCGGAATTCTGCCGGGGTTATCTCGTCCAGTCACCTTGCGACTTTTGGGATCTTCCGATCACAGATCCTCACAGATCACATACTTCGGCGTCTTCGTTTCGTGACCCTGAGCTCACGCTTATACCTGTCTGTGGTTTCCTTCCAGCATAAATAGAGCAATAATGTTGATGGTTAGGATCTTAAAAATTCAACCTACCGCTGCGAAGCAAGAAATCCCTCGGGGTTGCGGAGTTGCTCAAGAGTTGCGCCTGGGACCTCCGCAGTTCGCACGTGATTGTGAGAGCAAAGCCACATATCAGGCCAGATTCCCATAAAAGGGAATCATGCTCTAGCGCTGCTAGTCATTCGTGTGGCGGGCTGGCGGTACTCGTTGTGTCTACGAGCAGCCCGGATTTGGTTGCGATAGTACTCAAGTATTAACCTCTCGCTCGCAAGTGCGCCTTGTGTAGCTGGTTGTTACAGACGACATGTCGTCGGCAGCAACCCAAGTCGATGTCCTGGACGACATCTTCAAGAGATTGAGAAACAAGGAGCACGAGGTCCGGGTGAAGGCTGCAAGCGACTTGCAACGCTATGTACGTTTTTAGCTAGGACGCTTCGAGCTCTTGGCCGATTGGCTTGCTAATGACGTGCGCAGGCGTCGAGCTCGTCCCTGGATCCATCTGCAGACGGAATCACCAAACGATGGGATGAACAAATCTCTCGGAAGCTGTTTGACTTGGTGCATAGTCCGGGAGTCTCAGAGAAGCTAGGAGGCATATTGGCCATCGGTGTGTTTTGCTGATCATGTATACGAGGGTCACTAACACAAACGCAGACTACCTACTGAACGCGGACGGCGAGGGCGCCATCGAGGCAAGACGAAACCTGTTTCGATTCTACAACTATGTCAAGACGCTGCTTCCGTTCTCCGACATCAATGTCATGCTTGCGGCCTCGAAGACGCTTGGGCAAATTGCAGCCCTGGGCGGCTCCCAGTTCGGCGACCACTGGCTTGACTATGAGGTGCAATCTGCCATCACACTATTGCAGGCCGACCGACAGCAAGAGACGGGGCGTTATGCCGGCGTGTTGATTCTGAAGGAGTTGGCTCGCAATACCCCGACATTCTTCCATGCACATATTGGACTTGTATTCGAGAAGATCCTGGTGGCGTTGCGGGACACACGTCTGATTGTCAGGGAGAGCGCGGCAGAGCTGCTCGCGGCATGTCTCGAGATCATCACTCAGCGTGAACGGCAGGCACACAGCCCAGCGCTGATGAAGATTCTGCAAGATGCACAATTAGGCTTGAAGATGGCGCAGCCGGAGATTATTCATGGCTCCCTGTTGACGTATCGAGAGTTGCTTCTGCATGGCGGGATGGTCAGTATAAATCCACTCCATTTATGCATCCTATCATCACTGCTGAATACGACAATGCAGTTCATGAAGGAACATTTCCTCGATGCAGCGGCACAGATTATGTTTTTCAAGACTCACCGTGATGCTCTCGTCCGCAAGATGGTGATCACTTTGATTCCTAGTCTCGCGCTCTACGACACGCAGAGCTTCTGCGAGCATCATTTGTACCAGGCAATGGGACATTTGCTGACTCAGCTCGACAAACCAAACGAGAGATCAGTCGGTACGGCTACGAGGCTCGTATACATTTTGATTATAGGCTCATATCACGTTCAGCTTTTATCGCCATCGGGCACGTCGCGCGAGCTGTAGGCAGTGAGATGAAGCCATTCCTTGAGCCCATCATGGGCCACATCAAGCAAGGGTTGCAGATGAGAGGGTACGTCCATGACCCCCTCCGTTTTGACGACAGGATTGATGAAACGGAGTAGCAAGAAGAACGCTCCTTCGGAAGAGCCCATCTTCCAATGTGTCGGGATGCTGGCGTCTGCTGTGGGGCCCAATCTGACAAAATTGCTACACGATCAATTGGACCTCATGTTTGCGTGCGGACTGAGCGAGCCATTGAGACAGGCGCTGACCGCTATTGCTACACATATCCCGCCACTCCTCAAGACGATCCAAGGTAGGGTATCGGCTTCACAAGCAGACGGATGCCATTGCTGATCGTTCTACTAGATCGTCTCCTTGATCTGCTCTCAATGATCCTGAGCGGACGCCACTACAAGCCGCTTGGTTCCCCACCGTTCCATGACGACAACTCCACTCCAGAGGTAAGATATGCAGCTGTTTCTAATTGAGCAACTCGTGTGAACATTCATGACGTTGCAGCCCGTCCCGAAGAATTGGGATCTGATCACGCTTGCGCTGATCACTTTGCGAGATTTCGACTTCAGTGGTACGTTGACTCTAGATAATCCCGCTCTTTCCTCACAAGTTGTTCTAGGACACGTACTTAATGAGTTTGTTCGGGACTGTGCCCTTCCATACCTTGAGGAGGATACGGCCGAAGTGCGACGCGCTGCAGCGGAAACGTGCTGCCGGCTCTTCGTTCGCGATCCTATCGTGTATCAAGCGAGCAACCACTCCATTGAAATCATCAGCGATGTCATCGACAAGCTGCTCACGGTGGGAATTGCTGATTCAGGTATTCGCTTGGTCCGATGGGAGTTGTTTCTTACGAAAGCTGACCTGAGTTCAGATCCTAGTATCAGGCTTACTGTCTTGTCGTCCTTGCATGAGCGCTTTGACAAGCACCTCGCACAGGCTGAGAACGTCCGCGCCCTATTCATTGCGGTGAATGACGAGAACTTCGAAATTCGCATCGCTGCTGTTGGCTTGATTGGGCGACTTGCTTTGCACAACCCTGCCTATGTGATGCCTTCACTGAGGAAGACGTTGATTCAGCTTCTGACCGAATTGGAGTACTCGACTGTGCCGTAAGTCACTACGACTTATCCCTATCAATTTGCATCTCATACATTGGTGGCAGACGGAGCCGCGAAGAGTGCACCCGTCTATTGACTCTCCTCGTCAGCTCAACCCAACGTCTCATCAAGCCGTACGCTATTCCTATGCTCCGCGTTCTCCTACCAAAGGCCAATGACAACAATCCGACGGTAGCGGCAAACATACTGATGTGCCTCGGCGAGCTGACTAGAGTCGGTGGAGAGGAAGTGCTTCCGCATGTTCCGGAATTGATGCAAGTAATCATGTCGAAGCTTGCGGATGCATCGCTCCCAAAGAGAGATGCAGCTCTACACACGCTAGGACAAGTCTGCTCAAGCACCGGCTACGTCGTGACACCTCTCGTGGAGTACCCTCAATTGCTACAGATTTTGAGCAGGATATTACGTACAGAGTCAAAGCAGTCCATTCGCAGGGAAGTCATCAAAGTCCTTGGTATCCTTGGTGCACTCGACCCTTACAGGCGGAAGGCTTGTATCTCTTGCTATAGACGTCTTGCGTTCACTGACCGACCAGATTAGACAAGGCCGGAGGACGATGGTATGAATGAACTAGCCGCGACCCCTGTGTCGACTGTCTCAAGAACTTATCCCGGCGGCAGTACTATCACCGACGACTACTATCAGACTGTTGCCATCAGCGCGTTACTGGATATTCTGAAGGACCAGCAAGCAAGCGACCGTCACTACAACGTTATCGAAGCGATCATGTCGATATTCAAAACCCAAGGTTTGAAGTGTGTCTCGTTCTTGCCGCAGGTCAGCTCCTGAATTACTTGCTTCGCAAATTAAGTTGACTTCGAGACGTCTCGCAGATTATTCCTGCCTTCGCAACTGTGGCGCGTACTTCAACTTCCGTGTTCCAGAGGTTCCATCTTGAGCAACTTGCCATTCTGGTTGGAATTATCAAACAACACGTCCGCAATTTCATGATGGTGCTGATCGCGCTTGTAACTGATCTGTGGGACAATCCGTCCCTGCACTTGCCCTTGGTATCTCTCATCGAAGCACTTGGAAAGGCCCTTGATGCCGAGTTCAAACCTTTTTTGCCGACCATCTTGCCTCTGTTAATTAGAACATTCGACAACGAACAGATTAGCGACAAGATCGCAGGTACTCGGATCAAAATTCTTGATGCATTCTTAACATTCGGGGCGAATATCGAGGAGTACTTGCAATTAGTCATCCCGATCATCATGAGGACAATCGAAACTGAGCCACAGAACCTGGAACAAGACGCCGCGAAGTATATGAATGCTCTTCGCAAGAGAGCCATCCAAACGATCGAAGGGTTGTCGCGTAGGGTCAACTTCTCTGATCATGCGTCTCGTATCATCCATCCCCTTGCTCGCGTCTTGAAGCGTAACGGCAACGAGCTTAAAATGGCGATTATGGATACGTTATGTTCTCTTGTCATTCAACTTGGTTCCGATTTTGCCGTGTTCGTACCAGCCTTGAGCAAGGTACAGATATGACTGTTTGTTCCGGGATTCCTACTGATCCGTACTGCCAGATCCTGATACAAGAACACATTACACATCCCAAGTACGAAAATCTGATATCCAAGCTGTTAAATGGTGAGCGATTGCCTCAGGAGGTTGGCATTACAGAGCTTCCGTGCGTAGAAACCTAGTTTGTTTTGGTACATCTCTTTTCTTACACGCTCCACAGTGAGAGTGCAAAAAGTGCCGAGTTCTCCGCTCCTGCAGAGGCAACTAAGATGGCGGTCAATCAGCAACATCTCAAGCAAGCCTGGGATGTATCTCAAGTGTCCGCGAAGGAGGATTGGATCGAGTGGATGCATAGAATATCTGTAGAGTTCATGAAGGAGTCGCCATCTCATGCACTGCGAGCGTGTATGAGCCTGGTTGATGTTCATCCCCCTCTTGCAAGGGAGTTGTTCAACGCTGCCTTCATTTCGTGCTGGGGAGAACTGTATGATCAATATCAGGTATGCAGTACATACACGTTATGTTGAAGCAAGAGACTCACCAGCGATGACAGGAAGATCTTGTTCGGTCTATCGAATGCGCAATCACTTCTACTATTGCTCCTTCTGAGGTGGTTCATCGCCTCCTGAATCTCGCAGAGTTCATGGAGCACGAAGAGAAAGCATTGCCTATTGAGAATCGAATCCTTGGAGAATACGCAATGAAGTTCCATGCCTATGCGAAGGCCCTTCACTACAAAGAACTCGAGTTCTTCACAGAGACGTCTCCAACCATAATCGAGTCTTTGTTGAGCATCAACTCCAAGTTACAACAGCACGACGCTGCATGGGGGACGCTCCTGATTGCTCGCGAGCAATACGATGTCACCAAACATGAGGAGTGGTACGAGCGGCTGGGTCGCTGGCAGCAAGCTCTCGACACCTACCAGAAGAAGGCTCTGGTGGACCCGGACAATCTGGATGTCGCCATGGGGAGAATGCGTTGTCTCCATGCGCTTGGGGAATGGAGCGATCTGGCAGCTCTAGTGGAAGAGAATTGGGCGAAGGCTAATCATGAAGACCGCAGAGAAATAGCTCCAATGGCTGCTGCCGCTGCATGGTCCTTGAACGATTGGGACTCAATGGAGGATTATATTGCAACAATGAAACCAGATTCTGCGGACCGTCCTTTCTATCGAGCTATTCTTTCTGTCCACCAGAACCAGTTTCCGAAGGCAATGGCTCACATAGCGAAGGCTCGAGACCAGCTAGATCCCGAACTAACATCACTGGTTGGTGAAAGCTATGGCCGGTCCTATAAGTAAGCTTCTTGACCTATTCAATGCCTTTCGTTACTGAAGGCCACCTAGCACGATGGTCAGAGCTCAGATGCTGTCCGAATTGGAGGAAATCATATCCTACAAGCAATTTGCGGATCAACCGGAGCGACAGCAGTCCATGCGCAAAACTTGGATGAAGAGGTATGTATTCAGCGACACCTACTTTGCCTCAACAATCTAGCTGATGAGATCTTCAAGATTGCAGGGTTGTCAACCTGACGTCGAGGTTTGGCAGCGAATTCTTCAAGTGCGAGCGCTTGTGGTCAATCCAGAGGATGATCCGACGATGTGGATCAAGTTCGCCAACCTCTGTCGCAAGTCAGATAGAATATTCCTCGCTGAGAAGACAATCAATTCTCTCATATCGCCAGAGAGGGTGATTTATCTCAGGCTTCGATTCTTCATGAGATTGACACTTTTGTTCGCATCAGACATACCGGGACAGTTTGAAGGCACCACATCCGGTCGTATACGCTCAACTCAAGTCTGCCTGGGCAACGGGTGCTCGAGAAGAAAGCCTGAGCTATTTGCGCCAGTTCACTGCGAACTTGCAAAGAAGTTATCAAGCGGAGGAAGCGGCCATCAAGGCGCAACCCGAGTTTTCTAGGCCGAAGTCCAATCAGAAGCTGGAGGACCTCTCTCGACAGTTGGCACGATGCTACTTCAAGCAAGCTGAGTGGCAAGCTGCTCTGAAGGATGAATGGGGCTCGGTGAGTTGCCTTCAGGTTCACACGTCGTTCCTCTTCCCGAAATCGACTAAACACTCTACAGCGGAATATCAAGGATATTTTGCACTCATATTTCCTTGCCACTCATTACGATCGGAATTGGTACAAGGCGTGGCACACATGGGCTCTGGCAAATTTTGAGGTGGTTGGCTTCATGGAGAGTCAGACTCAGAATAAAATTACCGAGGTCCCGCGAGATGACTTGGCCGTACACATAGTTCAGGCTGTCAACGGTGAGTCCAGAGATATCGGATTTGCCAGCGGATGTCCATGACTGACTTTGTTCGCAGGATTTTTCCAGTCAATCTCGTTGAAAAACGAGAACGCCCTGCAAGATACACTGCGCTTGTTGACGCTTTGGTTCAAATACGGCGGGCATGAGGACGTGAGCCATGCAATGAGTGACGGTTTCACCAAGGTCGAAGTGGATACGTGGTTGGAGGTGATCCCGCAGGTGTGGATACTCGCTTATCGGTTCATGTTTCTTCGCTGATGACAAGCAGATAATTGCTCGCATCCAAACACCGAATGAGAACATCCGTCGTAATATTAGCAACCTCCTCAGCGATGTCGGGAAGCATCATCCACAAGCACTCGTCTACCCTCTCACTGTGGCCTCGAAATCTTCGAGCGATGCGCGCAAAACCGCTGCTATGGCGATCATGGATCGCATGAGAGAGCACTCCAAGACGATCGTGGAGCAGGCATGTCTGTCATTGTGGAAGAGAGTTTTTGCTCATTGTTGTCTCCTTAGGCCTTGCTTGTCAGCCATGAGCTCATCAGAGTCGCTATTTTGTGGCATGAGATGTGGCATGAAGGCTTAGAGGAAGCTTCGCGTCTCTATTTCACGGACAAGGACCCTGAAGGGATGATTGTGTATCTGGAACCTCTGCATGAAATGCTCGAAGCTGTTAGTAGCCATTGCAGGCGTTGTGTGCAGCCGCTCACATCTTTGTAGGGCCCTAAAACTGCTCGGGAGACATCCTTCGCACAAGTATTCGGTAGGGACCTGCACGAGGCGCGCGAAGCCTGTAGACGCTGGAGGGTATATGGCGAGCAGAGAGATTTAGACAGAGCATGGGAGATCTACTATGGAGTAAGCCTGCCGACTGTGAGAGCACGCCTGTACTGATCGCTCTCATTCAGGTCTTCAAGAAGATTGAAAAACAGTTGCCTCAGCTAACAACATTGGATCTGCAGTTTGTCTCGCCAGAGTTGCTTAAAGCTCGGAGTCTCGAGTTGGCAGTACCAGGTCTGTTCTATCCGAGCATGCCCAGTGGCGATACCCTGATTGTGTTGTCGATGCAGGAACATATCAGAGTGGACGCCCTGTCATTACGATTGTCAGCTTTGCGACGAAACTATCTGTGATTCAGTCCAAGCAACGACCTCGCCGTCTGTCTTTGAGAGGCAGCGACGGCAAAGACTACCAGTATGTTCTGAAAGGTATGTATGATTTACCCTTATTGTGACAAAGCTACTCACATCTTCCCCCGGTAGGCCATGAAGACTTACGCCAGGATGAGCGCGTGATGCAGTTGTTCAGTCTCGTCAACAACCTCCTTTCAGTTGATACAGACTGCTTCAAGCGCCGTTTGCATATCCAGCGCTACCCTGTCATTCCGTTGGCGCCAAACGCTGGTTTGCTCGGCTGGGTGCAAGACAGTGATACGCTTCATGTGCTTGTTCGAGACTACCGCGAATCTCGCAAGATACTCTTAAACATCGAGTATCGTCTCATGCTTCAGGTGCTTGGAGTGGTTTCGCGAGAATATTTCCCGTCCTGACATATGTTGTTAGATGGCACCTGACTACGAGAACCTCATCCTTCTCCAGAAGATAGAGGTCTTCGAATACGCGCTTGAGAACACGACAGGACAGGATCTCTACCGAGTGCTCTGGCTGAAAAGTATCAGCTCGGAACATTGGCTGGAGCGTCGAGCCACGTACACCCGCTCTCTAGCAGTCAACAGTATGGTGGGCCACATCCTGGGTCTGGGCGATCGTCATCCATCAAACTTGATGTTGAAGCGCAACACGGGTAAGGTAGTGCATATTGACTTCGGAGACTGTTTCGAAGTAGCAATGCACCGCGAAAAATTCCCGGAGAAAATTCCGTTCAGACTGACAAGGATGTTGACGCACGCAATGGAGGTACGAAATTGTCTCATCAGGCTGTTGCAATCCTCACTTTCGCGAAACGTTTCCAGGTAAGCGGCATTGAAGGGAGCTTCAGGAATACCTGCGAGATCAGCATGAGAGTGCTGCGAGACAATAAGGAGTCTTTGATGGCTGTCCTGGAGGCCTTCGTATATGACCCGCTTATCAACTGGAGGTTGATGCAGACCGACGTTGACACACGACGGCCAGGTACGTTTTCAGCTGTGTTCTTATGCTTTGCTTAGTAATGCGAAACATGGCACCTTAGTGGGCCGTGTAGAATATACACGCGCTGCTCAATACCCACAAGGTCCCATCAGGAAGCTAAAAGCAGATGAGAACGACATTTTCAACGGTGCGTTAGATATACTTATCGAGCGCCGACATGAACTGACTTTGGTGAGCAGAGCACCAAGAGATACGCAACGAACGTGCATTACAAGTGTACAACCGTGTACAGAACAAGCTTACAGGTAGATTTCTATTGTGCATCCGCGCGAGCCCCCATTGATGCACACCTTCGTAGGTCGTGACTTCGATCCTGAGGAGTCTCTTACGGTTGAAACGCAAGTCGATAAGCTCATCATACAAGCCACCTCACTCGAAAACCTCTGTCAATGCTTCTCAGGATGGTGAGTTGTCGCCGAGGACGACTTTGTACTCCGCTGACTGGGCTCGTTAGGTGTGCGTTCTGGTGATGTTTCTGCGGGTTGGATCCGGATGTATCTATAGATCATCGTGTTTCCCTAATCTACACTATGCACTTTGTACATCGTCTCTGGGACTCCTCTTCGTAGATACCTTGGAAATACGCTGTAATCACTTGCTTATCTCTCGCGTGTGTCATGATTCGATAGACTCTATACACTCAAAGATGCCGACATCAATGGTTCAATGTGTTGCAAAACTGCAAAACTGCAATAATAAGTTGCTGTGTTCTTGAGGAATGTCGTGAGCCCAAGTATAAACTTAATAATATATATACTACAGCTGCAACCTGCATCGGCTTGGTGGTCTAGAGGTATGATTCCTTCTTAGGGTTATCAAATACTCGTCTGGAGGAGGTCCCGGGTTCGATTCCCGGCCAAGCCCTGATTTTTTGTCAATTCTATTTGATGAACGGGAATCAAACTCGTTTGCACCTTGCACCTCGTCCAACGGTATGTACACTCGTTTGTATACGGCTATAATATAGTACACATGATGTTTCCTTACAAAGAGCTATTCTAATTCTGGAAAGACTTACGAACCTCCTCTTCCTCTGCCTTCTCCTCGCCACATACCACGCGCAGGAAACCCCAGACGGAACGGCCGTACCCCACGTCCAAAGGGCAGCATGGGATATTCCCCAGGAGGCTGCAGTCCGATAGACGAGGGAGGATTCGGAGATACATGGACAGCCGGGTAGGCACCAGGCATGTCCTGTACAGAGTCCTCCGCCGGCCCTTCCTCATCGGGCTGTTCAAGAGAAATGCAAGATTTAACAGCATATAGCAACTTTGCATGACATCAGACGGACCTCAAGATCAATGACAAGTGCACCCATGTGCCAACCTGCCGCGGTCGCAGCGAAGCAGTACCTCTCCTTCCTCCTATTCTCCCCGTGATCGAACCGCACCTCCGTAGGGAGCGTCACCTCAGGTGGCGGAGCGCGGAGCATGCCCAAGCGCGTCGCCGCCTGGCGCTGCTGCGCCTCGTTCGTGAAGCCACCGGGCTGGCCCAGAGGAATGGTCGTGGGATCGCCGAGGCCTAGTGCGCCCTTGGAGAACGCGCCCCATGTGAGAAGCTTGCCATCGGACGTGAGCGCGCCGTAATGGTAATCTCCGAGCACGACGGAGATGACGCCGCGGTTCTGGAGGCCCGGGAGAATGATCGGGTGGATGGCGGGTGTGGGCGCCTGCGGCTGGGGTGCGAATTGGTGGCCCTCGGGCGGCTTGCCCATGAGTACGACGGAGCGCGTTCCCGTTGAGTACGCGAAGAAAGTGTGGAATTGCGCGGAAACCTGGGGAGACTGTCAGCGTCCGTGAGGCCGAGGAGAGTGGAGGTGGGCTTACGTGGGTGATTAGCATAGTTTCCGGTGGCTCCGGCTTTTTATCCCCTTCGACGAAAGCGGGATGCGCTCTAACTTTCTTGACTTCGCTGAACTCGGGCAGCTAAACCGTCCGTCAGCGAAGGCAAGCAGAGAAGGCCAACGCACGGCCTACATATTGCCAGTGGCCGCGACTGTACGTGTCCTCGCCCGCGAGCATATCGTATCTGAGGACATGGCCTTTGTTCGTCAACCCAACCAGCGCATTGTCCATGCCCGCGATCTTGATGAGCTTTGTCTCCTTGCTCATCTGTTCCTCCGAGAGACTCGTCCCCTCTATACACGGAAGGTCCCCACTTGGAATAGCAGGCAACCTCACTGGATCAATGTCGCGCAACTCCCATGTACAGCATGGGATGACATCCGGGTGCTGATCAGTGGGCAGTGCCCTAGTTTCCGGCCGCACGTCAAGTTCTTCGTTCTTCGCGGCGACCGCCTCGTGTATGCGCCCGGAGAACGGCCACCACACGAACACATCGCCGGACTCGACGAGCACGGTAGAGAATGCCCAGCCGCTCTCGACCTGCACGGGCATGCTCTCCGGAGTTGATTTGTCCAGGAGCGGCGATCCAAGCCGGAAGGGCCGACCCCAAGATGTGAACGTCCACACGCCGGCAGATGCGTCGAGCGCGGCGCAGTGCAGCCGCCCGCAGCTGTGGGTATGATGTCCGTCAGTGAAGGATGAATGGACGGGCAGGTGTGGGCGCGAACCTAATGCTGCGGATCTTGACAGGCAGGCTAAGCCGCATGGGATGATCAGCCTTCTTAGAGGAGGTAGAGAAGCCTTCGCTCCGGAGGGCGCCACCGAGCCCGTCCAGCGTTCCTACAACAAGATGAAGCGCGAGCAGATACGAGAAGAGATGTCGCCACCTACCCCAGACGTACATGTTACCGTCTGAATCTAGCGCATGGAAAGACCTAGGAGTCGCGTACATGAGCATGACTACTGCCTGGAGTAGCGATACTCACATGCCACCAGCGACGATGTTCACGATCCGGACGTGTGGGATGCGCAATTGGACGGGATAGGGAACACCATCGCGCCGGATGGCAGTGTCGGGAATATTTCCGTCTGTCAGACCAAGTCGTCCATGGGTTCGTTCACTGTTGCGATACAAGGTGAACAGCATGACAACACTGAGAGAACAAAGACATACCCCCATACATACACCCTGGGACGGGAGAACCGCTTGTAGAGAAACTTCCAGCCAGTGTTCCGCGCGGTCTCTGCGCCGGTGAAGTTGAAGTCCTGCTCGATCTTGCCATGCCAGAAAGTTTCGTCCGATGCTAGCTCGTAGAAGTGCCGGCTAGTGCACGAGAAATTGAGGAGATCACGGATGTGGAGCAACGGCAAGATGTTGTCGAGAAAGAGCTCGAGGGGCAAGTCGCTCAGGGTAACCATTCTGGTTTTACCAAATTAGTCGAGTGGTGGGTGGTCGTGATCAAGATGCAGGTTCTAGCAGACAGCGGACGCCCGACAGTTCATCGTCAGACGGACAATCTAACAGTGAACGGCTGCATGCGGCGCGTCTGCGCGTAATCTGTGCAGTGCCGCGCTCGGCAAAGCAAGTGCCGATTCTTGTTCCAGGAAAGGTGTTAAAATTGAATTAAGTAATCTGGCCTTTCCCATTAAGTGAAAAAAGGACCCTTCCTGGAGTATTCATCTGAACCAAACTGCCTTTATTGATGCAGAAAATCATACCGGGGGGTCAACAAAAATTCCATACCTTTCTCACTGTGGGAATTGGTGCTTTCTTTGCAGTGACGCATCTGGCTGTTCATCAAATGTCGTCCGCGACACCAGATAACGTTCAATGCAATTTCCACTGAATGAATTGGGCCCGGTGGGCCGCCAGTCGCTCAGTGACTACGAGGGAATTCGAGGGCGATAGCGAGTGTGATGTGACATTATCTCACATTCGCGCGTTGTGTCACAGAGATAGCGATCTGACGACGCGTCTGATCTCGATTAGACGCGCGACTGTGGCTGAACACTTGCCACATTCCAGCACTGCTTACTGCTTACACCCGCTACGCTACTGGCCACCTCTGGACCTCATCTCACCTCCAGCCTGTTGGGCGCTAAAATTGTGCTCACATTCTCAACCGTTGTCGCTCAATATGCCGCGGGGGATTCCCAACGCTAGGCGAGACGAGAATGCAATGCGATACACCTCGTTCCATGTCCCTTTACCGTCAGCGGAACTCTCCTGATATACAACCTCACTGACTAACATGTGAATAATATTTCAGGCTAAATCCGAAACACTCTGGGACGCACTATTACAAGTCAGAGTCACAGACTCTCTGGTATAGGAATGCTGCTCGTGCTGCCGTAGCGAGCAGAGGAAGGGCTATCACAGAGGATGTAGTTTCTGAGGTGAGCAGTCTGCTATATGTTCATGTAAATCTGCTGGTATAAACGTGTGGGCTACTTCACTTTTATGTCATATAGGGAAGACGAGGATCGAAAACGCTAGTAATACATCCAGGATCGCGCTTTCTACGCGTAGGAAGAGCATCAGACGTTACTCCAGTGACCGTCCCAAATGTTATTGCAAGGAAGGAAAAACCACCGGTCCCTGAACCCACGTACGTCGAGGGCATTTCACGCCCGCGCAAGGACAAGGCTCGCGTGCAGTCGTCCGCTCTCCCACCGAACGGCGATGAGTATTCCGTTGCACTGAACTCTGACGATCCGGTACCGATCAATCAGCAATGTTGGACTCCGGCTTTCGCACTGACGATTTGTTTCTGCAGTTCGACATGAAAGTCGCAGCAATCACGATTTCGTTACGAGACCGTATGCGATTCTACAAGCTACGTGTGACTCAGAATGCCGCGACGATCGCATCCACGTTCAATGAGCAGTTCGTACCAGAGGTCATTGCCGAAGATAACGACCCCTTCCAGATAGACTGGATTGACGAAGCGACGGAAGATTACTTCGTTGGCGAAGATGTAAGCACCGCATATACTCACGTTCTTACACTCTTTTATGCACGACTGACTCTTTTGGTAGGCATTCCGGTTGGCAGATCCGCACAACATGGGCTATGCGGTCCGGTGGCCGGTTCACGGCGGGCGGTTCAACACACGCGACTACCCTTCCAACGAGATGATCCTGAACGATGTTGAGACCATCCTCCGCGCGACGCTGAAGAATATGCTGGGCATCGAGAGACGCTCGTATAGGGTATGCTGTCGACATCTTACATCTACATGTTGGAAAGCTCACAGGGGGTGTACGAAACAGGAATATTCCGTTGTGCTCGTGATACCTGATTTCTACGACCGCTTCTACGTCGAGTACTTCGTGCGCATGCTCCTCGTCACCATGGGCTTCAAGCAGCTGTGTGTCCAGCAAGTAACCGCAATTCCGCAATCTGTCGACGAATCACTTGCTTACTGATTGGCCCTTCTCAGGAATCTCTCGCGGCGACGTACGGCGCGGGAATTTCCAACGCATGTGTCGTGGACATGGGCGCAACGAAGACGAGCATCGCGTGCGTCGACGACGGGATGGTCATCCCCGACACCAGGTATGCTAACCTGCATTTTTAAGACACACAAGTATACTGATGTGCCTTGCGCAGGATGTCGCTCAACATGAGCGGAGACGACATCACAGAGTTCCTCTACGTACTCCTCGAGCGGATCAGCTTCCCATACAGGGACGTCAACCTTGCGCGCTCGTACGACTGGCACGTCCTCGAGGACCTCAAGGCGCGGCTATGCACGCTTGCGGAGGTGAGCTCCAGAGTGCGCGCAGTTGGAAGTTGATTTCTCAGTCATGATTATCAAGGGTGATGTTGCACTTAACCTATACGACTTTGTCGTCCGGAGACCAAATAAACCGACAGAGAAGTACGGGCTGCGGGCATACGATGAGATTATCCTCGCACCGATGGTACGTCTTTTCATAGCAATGGCTTTTGGTCACAAGGTGCATGTTAACATGGACGTCGTGGGTATAGTGCCTTTTTGAGCCTCGCGTCATCGAGTTCGACAATAAACGCTTGGGCATGCGCCCGTTCTCGAACCCTGATGTCTCAGAGGACATCATCGAAAGCATCTCTGACCGCTGGGTAAGTGTATGCGTCCTACTTCACATCTCAATGTTGCTGAAGGTACCATTAAACAGAATCCCGATCGATGGGTAAGTCTACCGTATTATTGTCGAGGAAAACATGTAGTAAAGCACTCGCTGTCTCCAGACCCAAGCCATGGTGATCTCTACGCAGCACCTGCTACCGACGGCCGTGCCAATCACCATGCCCGTGGACGTGCAGTCCATCCCTCCATCAGGCCCCCAGACGCCGGGCATCGGGGTGCAGCCGGCATTCATAGTTATGCCCCAACCAACACCCGCAGGCCCGTCTGTCGAACCGACCGACGCGGGCAGCACGCCAAAAACGGCACCCGACACTCCCGTCGGCGGCGCCTCCACGACACCGGTCCCCAGCGATTCTACCCAAGCGCAGCCCGAAGTGAAGGAAGAAGCGTCAACGACAGCGGACACTACGCCCACGCCGGGCCCCGCGTCCACGGCCGGCACAACGCCTGTGCCAGGGAGCGCACGCACGGTAGGCGAGGGTACTGTGGACATGCCGATGGAGATCATCGACGTAGAAGACAGCAAGTCGACCATACCGTCGACTCCGGCGGGCGCGCCGCTCGTGGCGCCTACGCCCGTGCCCGTGCAGGCCGTCTATCCCGGTGGGTACCCGATCGACGTGTGCTTCGAAGCGAGCAAGCTACCGCTGGACGTCGCTATCTTCAACAGCGCGCGTGCAGCGGGCGGGGACGAGAAGATTAAGAAATACTTGCAGGCGGTGCTGGTTATTGGCGGGACGGCCCTCGTTCCCGGGATGGCACATGCGTTGGAGAGCAGGTACGTATGACTGCATAGGGGATGTTGTTTGAGGCTGCAGTGACACATTCGTCATTGTATTTTCACATGCAGATTACAGGCGATAGCGACGCCGCTGGTGCCCAACATGGAGAAAGTTCAAATTATTCCACCACCGAAGGACGTCGACCCCCGCGTTCTCGCATGGAAGGGAGCAGCGGTGCTCGCGAGAATGGACGGGGTCTCCGACCTCTGGATCACACCCACAGATTGGGTCCGTATGCTATCCTATTGCCAGTCTAGAGTTCAAGATTAGCTCATGATCTCCTGTATTTCTCTAGGACATTCTTGGGATGCGCGGCCTGAAGGAACGCTGCTTCTACCTTTGAGCTTGCCACCCCCATTGAGTCATACCCTTGATTCGGTGCCGAGCAGAACGCCCTGTGAATGTATGGCAGCTGTTGTGGGTATATATACAGAACTTTCTTCTTGTATTATACAGCGGAGATAAGCCGACAGCAGGACTGTATACAACCACGACCCACACAACCGGTGCGTCGGAGCCGCGCATGCGGTCCGGGCATGTGACGATGGCAGTACATGTACCGCTCTATAGACGGTGCCACAGGGCATTGAAGGAAATAAATTAGGGATAACAGACGACCAGGCACAGACGATCAGGATGCTGTCAAGCCATTCAACCCACCCAATAGTCAAGAACGAATTCGTCTTCCTGTTCTTTCACGCAATCCAACCTTCCTCGTGCGAATGCTCGCCGTGCTCAGCGTGCGTTGTTTGCCGGGGGTGCGAGCCGTCCCTTCAGCACTTGCATATCGTTCTGTGTCAACCTCGTCCATGAGTTGACCACGAACTGCAGTTCTTCGCGTCCTCGTCTGCATGGATAGCCAATGATTGAAGAAACGTCGAAATATATAGGGAAATCATTATAACCGTCAGCATCAGGAGAACAAATGCCTGAGGAGAGACTAACCTATCTCGATCCTTCCACTCGTTCCTGGACGCGCCTCCTTCATTCCAAGCATCGGATATGCTTGATCCCGCATCAACAGCTTTCTTCTTCCCCTTGCCACTGCCAGTGCTCTGGTTCCTATTGTCTGGCCCCCGCAGACCATCGATCAGATCCGTCAGGACCGTGTCTGCAAGTCTGTTCAGGGAGAACGGACAAGTGTACATCGGGCGCGGGGCGACTTCTGGCGGGACAGGGAGGACCGTGCGGCAGAGAGGGCACTCGAGTGCGAAGTGCCATCCGCCGCAATCGTCGTGAAGGTGAGTAAAGAACCATTTTAGAATACAAAGAGCGCAGAATGTATGGCCACACTGTGCGGGTGTAAGATTAGCAGGGCATGCCCTAACAAAGTCGTCAGCACATCCGCTTGATAGAATGTGTGCGTGAACATACATTATGTCATAGCAGCTGCCCAAGTTTGTGAGCACAGCACGCGGGAATATCATGAAATTAATGCTCACAGTACACAAGTCCATTGCTCCTCCAGCTGGGTCATTGCCTCCTGGGTGCGATCGACCGAGAGGCTGAGGGCCAAATCGTTCGTCTCTTGTTCGCGTTTCTTGAAAGCTGTCTCCTTCTTCTGGATAGCTTCCAGCCGCTTGTCAAGTTGCTTATCTATACGAGACAACTGCCCTTCTTTCTTCTTGATTGCGGTCTCGCGCTTGTCCAGCTCGGCACGCATCTTTTCAAACTCCATCTCAAACTCGTCGCGTTTGCGCTTCAGCATTCGCTGTCCATCGCGCAGATCGGCTGTCTTCTTCTTCAATTGCTCTTCATCTAATTGATTGCGCTTTCGTCCCGCTTCATCTACTTGTTTGAATTTCGGAGCTTCATCTGCTTGATCTACCGTCTGCGCGTCATCTGCTTCATTCGATTTCTCTGCTTCGTCTATTTGAATTGACTTTCTAGCGGTAGACTTCCGAGAGGATCTACGGATCGAAGAGTCCAGTTCCGCCCTCGTATTACGTCTTTGGGATGACGCTGATGGCTCTGATAAGTTTGGAGTGAGCGTCATCCGAGCCAGTTCCCTCGCAGCTGCCTCGGCGACTTTTTCCTTCGATGCAGCTGAGGCAGTGGCCGAGGCTTTGGCTCTTGAGGCAGCAGAAGCAATAGCCGCGGCTTTGATCTTCGAGTTAGAGAGGGCCGATGCTGCGGCCTTGGCCTTGGGTGTCGGCGGTGGCACTGAATTCGCCTTGTCCAGCCTGGGCTTCTTCGCCACAGGCCCTTCTGGCAGCTCGACCCACATATCAACGTCCTTCTTCTCAGCTACTACAAATTATTCTCTCAACAAACTTAAGGCATCTATGACTGGGCATCAATCACCTTGAGATGTGAGTCGAGCGGACCGACGGCGTGTCGTCTTCTTTCTCGCTGCCACGGTAGCATCTCGTGTCCGAACATCCTTCTTGTTCTTGGTGCGTGTGCGGCTCCGGGTGCTGCCAGATCTCGTGGAAACGGGCATGATTCACGCAGATCAAGAGTGATGAAGATAGGAGATTGAGGACAGGAGGTCGAGGAGGACCGCTGCGGTGGTCGGTGGTCGGTGGCCAGGGGGGAACGGGAACGACGGCTGCCACGCGGTTTCCGCACGTGATTTGATGGGGCGCTTAGCACGAGTGGCTCAAGGTTGGTGGCCACGGCCACGAACGGGTAGTGCGAGTCGAAGTGTCTGATTTTCACGAGCTCACATTGTTCGGCTCGAAAAATGCACTCTTTGCGCCCGCGCATCATGCACACCCAGGTGGTGCGGCACCGCTGCGCCCACTTGCCTCGCTGGCTCATGATGATGGTATCAATCATAGACTCACTCACGCTGCCAATTTGCAATCCATTGCGGTCCATGTTGTGGCAGGCGAAGGCAGCGAAATCGATCGCAGCAGGAGGAGGTGTACCTGCCGCGATGCTCGGCGAGGCATCATTCATCAGAACTCGGATCCCAAGAGGGCCGATTGATCAGCAATGCCTCTTTGATGACCACAAGTAGTAGGAATCGTCGAGCCTCCGATGCCAAGGTGGCAACGGCAGCCTGCTGACGTCCAGCGTTGATGTGAGGACGTCCAAAGTGTATGTGATGCCGATCGCAGAAGTCCTCGGCGGTAAACCCATCGTCCACTCTATCAGAACTCCCGTTGATCATGAGTTGACTCGAATATCCGTCTCGTGGCCACTACTGCGATATTGAGGGACCACGCGCGAACCGAGCGTGCATCTTGAGGTCTTATGAGGACTTTTGAAGCAATCAAGAACACAGACAAGTAGGGTAAATCTTATCTGCAGAAGGCGTCCGTGCCGATCGGCGACGGTTTTTCTGTTCTGTAAAGCATTAGAATAACACAACGCACGGAATCCCTTCCTTCAGGCGCACGAGGCTACGGCCCGCCTGCGGCATAAAACCACCGCGGGCTTCCACCGCTGCGCCACTGATCAGCTACGAGATGCGCGGTCTGCAAGATTTGGAAACGGAGCCGTCTCCTTACATGCTGAGCAATGGCGGATGCCTAGGCTATGTTGCTCGCAACGAAAAGATCCGTAAAACCGGAGGATAGCTGTAATCGCGTGAAGCAAGTCCCGCTGGAATCAGACGCGCTCGCACCGCTCCCCGGCTCAGTGATAAATTCCGGTGCGGCGGCCGGTACCTCATGTTATGTACACCAGGTTCTTGGACAGCCACTGTGCGCTCTGAGAAAGACGAATTAACGGAGATGTTGTCAAGAACTGGTCAGAGGCTCTCACCATGTCTTATCAGGTGAGCTCGCGGCGCGCCAGCACTGCGCAGCTGCCGAGGTCGGTCTATAAGCTCGCGGACTTTGTGTTGTCAAGCACACAGCGGCCAACAGTTGGGGGACGCGTCTCGCCGCAAAAGAGAAACAAAAATCCGTTAATTTCAAAATGGAGCCGAATGTGGCACGTACATGCAGTATAAAGCATGGTTTGTGCATTGTGTGCTTCCGCTTCCCCAATTGGTATGTTTTCACTCTCTGCGTCTTTGCGAAGCCGCAAAGATGAATGGCGCTCGGAGCGCTGACAGAACATTCATCGATGGCACAACTTGGGCTCGGAGTCGGTAAAAACATATGAAGGGTGCATCTGAACCCCTTGTACCTCGCAGAATACGTAAAAAGGGTCCCATAATCGCTGAGAGCAGCCGACAGAAAATTTAAGAGCTTCATTTCGCCGATGCACATCGGAATAAGATCGGTAATCTCATCGTGTTCCACCAAACGGTCCGCAAGGTTGACATCGTTAATTTGACAAACTCACCTGGTAGGGCACTCAACTTTACTCCTGCGCTCAGCCTCGCGAGAGATTTCAGCCGTCTGAATACCTGGAAAACGGATCTAGGCTCAACTGAATGCACCACGGCATCTAATCTACATTGGGAAGACAAAATTTTAGAGGCCTTCGCTTAGGCCAGGCAGAGCACTTACCGCCAGCAGGGCGTACCACCTCGCCATGTAGCATTGCCGCTGTTCGTGCTTGCCGCCACAGCTGTGCGTTGAACACCGATGACAATCGGCCAGCAGGCAGCCTGAAGATGCGGGCCGCAATATCCTGACATACATCTAGACGGCGCCGCAAAGTCACGGCGAATATCATTGTCCGCGACCTTTTGAAAGAATTGAACAACTTCAGGGTATCGTTGAGCCCGGCGTCCTGCTAGAACGCCTTGCATCACAGCCAGACCGCACAACCCCCGCTACGCGAGCGCGATAATGAATAATTGGCAAGTTGAAGCGGACGTCGACTGGAAACCATCTGCGGCCAATCGCGACGTTGACAGGCCCTCGCAAACTTTGCGACAGAGAAGTTTCACCGAGGAGATGACACTGGCCGGAAGCAGATGTTGGCCCGACATTGAGTCTGCTATATTGGGCGCAATGCAGTCCACGATTGCGAAGGTGTCGAAGCACTGTGTTCTCGGCTTCGCTGAAACATGATGATGTGAGAATGTACGTAACCTTCCCAATTTGAAACGCTGATCACAGCTTCTTCGAATTTCCCTGAACTATTTCTCACTCCTCCCTTCATTCATTTCATCGTTCGAAACGCCACTCTCATACGTACGTTCAGCCAATTTTTATTATTGAGATCTCTCTGCCAGCGGTAATCGCATTCAAAAATTGACTACTTTAGATCTCGCCGAATTTGCGGCCAGCACAGGGTTAGCCGCTATCTATGCCCGCCCTGTGGCTAATCGAGCATTCCGTTTGTTCTGGGGTTCCGCGACGGTCCACGGACGTGGCGCAACAGGAAGAAGACAGAACCGAAGTGTAATGGAGCTCTCGATTTCCCTGCCAGCCGCTGGCCGCGTTCCGTGGTGCCACACGGCTCTCGCAACGCGCGTTCCTAACGGCTGCTGACCTTGCCCTTCGTTTCTTGCCCACACAGGGCCTGGCCCATGTGCATCCGTCCGCTGCCCACCCACGTGCAGCAGCCAGGCTCGCTGCGACACGCCCCCACCTATCTACGTCTTGGGTTCTGTCCTCGCTGCTCGATGGTAGCACGGGCGTCGTCGTCGTCATCATTCACGATATCATTCATCTGACCAACAGGCGCCGTCCGACTCCGAACACCCACGCGCGTCACGAACCTCCTCCACTGCTGACTGCTGCCATATGGAGGAAAAACCCATCTGCCTATCCAATCTTGCTTCTCTCCACTTCTGCTTCCGGAAGTCCTCGTTGTGAGGATTCCGACCTCTGGAAGACACGGGGTCGGCCTCGCAGACAAAAAGCAACACCCATAAGCGAGCTCCTGCCTCGCGTATCCGCACGAATCGACGTCAACACCCGTCTCGTCTCGCGCGAAACCCCGCACTCCGCAACGCCTTCCTGGACAGAGGCCTTTCGCCCAGCGCTGCAATGCTCCGGCATCCGCACCGCGGCGGGAAAACTCCTCTCCCGTCGCCCGCGCGCTCCCACACGGAACGGAGCTGCAGCGCGCAAAGACAGCCTCCGGCGCACGAGAGGCAGGAGGAGGTCGCATGTCTGCCCACGCCAGGGCTCGGATCCGGCGGGCGCTGCGGCTGCGGTGCCGGAGGGGCGTGTTGGATTGCTGTGATGATGGCGGACGTGTCCAGCGGTGGATAGCCCGCTTCGCTTGCTGGCATGTCACGATCGGCCTCACGTCTGGTCGCGATATTAGATGATGCATCATGCACCTGCCAGTGCCTATCATAGACCTGTCACTTCCAATTTGCGCCGCCTGATCAGGACGCTCGCGCAGAGATAGCGATAGCCGGGAGATCGCACACGCGCCACGTAGTAGAACAATAGTTGCATACGCGATCCCTCTACTGTACCAAATACAACGTATGTACCTCGAATGTGAGTAAACCACACTATATACAGACCGCAGGCACATCCAACCTGCGCACGGCCGTGGGATATAACGAACGAGAGAACCTATAGCTACTGTAGCGCTGCACACGCGCAGATACAGAGAAGACAGAACGGGCGCGAACATCGCCAGACCTACACGTACAAAGGAGGAAAAATACACCATACAGGCCCTGCAACTTGTATGAGCTCGTAACCATAACGCCCGGGCGGCCGGACGACCGGTGCTTGTAAGTTGCGAAGGCAGACAACAGGGAGAAAAGTCGCAGCAGTGCGCGCGCGGAGCGTGTCGTCGCAGCGTTCGACGCGCGTGCACATGCGCGAAGGTATGCGTGGGATGTGTAGACGAATTCGAATGCGAATGCGCGAAGCGGGTAGTCCAGAAGTCTTGAATACGATGCGGAAATAGTAGGGTAGGCTGATGGAATAGCACTAAGCGCGAATAGTAAGCGTAGCAGCGGCAGAGTGGAGGAACAGGAGCGACAGCGCAGTGGGATAGCATGTGGGATATGTACAGTAATGAATCACAGAGAGCGAGGGCCATACGGGTGAGCGAGCAGCGCGACGCTTGGTTTACGGGGACACAAGGACCGTGCGTTTCGATACCGGCGTGGAATCGCCAGCATACTTCAGGACACTTGACGTCCGTCAAGCTGTATTATTCTTGCGAGGGGCAGGAGGGAGGAAACCATAAGCACCAACCTGCTGTCATCGTTCGCCTTCGTCGACTCTTGAAACGAGCCGCCGGGCATGCATCGACAGCTTTCATTCGACCGCTTCAACGGCTCCAGTCGTCTTCATCGTCAACCTCCACCGATTTTCGTCAGCTTCCAACCAACAGCACGACGAACCTCTAATGCGTTTCTTCCACACTGCCCACTCAATCAAAGTACCCCTCCGGGCTCCTCCCATACGACGTCCGTCCTTCTGCGCCTTCCTCCTGGTGCTGGCCGGGGCCCATCACCTCCGGCTCGTATCCCGGGAGTGGCGTCAAGAGCGTGCTGTCCGGCGGGAGCGTGTTGCGTCCGAGGCTCACGTGCGCCGTGAGCTGCGGGAGATCCGAGTTCGACCCAGGCAGTTGCGGAGGCGGGAACGCAGAAAGAGAGGACGGTGGCGGGAGAACGGTGCCCCCACTCTGCTGGCCCTGACCCTGGCCTTGCGCTTGGTAGTACCCGTGACGCGAGCTCTGCTGCTCAGGATGCCCGGGCCACCCCGTTGGCGCCGCCATGCCCATTTCCGCATGCGTCGGCGTCTGCGCGTGGCGGTAGTAGCCCGCCATCTCCTGCATGTCCTCCTCCTGGTGCTGGGTCGCGTACCGCATCTGCTGCTGCTGATGGTGCTGCTGCTGTTGCGAATGATGCTGCTGGTGGTGATGCGGGACCTCGTCCACAGGTGAGGGCAGCGCGTATCTCTCAACCGTCGAGAGCGAATACGCTGGCGGGCTGGAAAAGCCACCGTGACCCTGCGCGTATGCCATCTGGTCTTGCATGTGCCTGCGCTGCGAGCGGTGGTGGTCCAACCCGTGCTGGGGCACAACCGCATATGGGTGGAGCGCTTGGTGCGTCTGGACGTGCCCGTGCTGCGCGTGCTGGTGGTGGGCAGGCTGATGCTGGTGGTGCGAATATGATCCAAGAGATGAGACCATCCCGGAGTATGCTTGCGCCTGCGCCTGCGCCTGTGCCTCGCGCTGCTGCACCTCACGTTGCTGTGCCTCCTCTGCCTCTTTCTTTGCCTGACGCCATTGTTTTCTGAGCTCCTTGAACTCTGTGGAGGAACCTATGAGCATATATTGAGTTGGTTGAGTGGGAGACGCACCGCCCGGGCTGCGCTTTTGACCATGCTTCTGCATCGTGACGTGCGCGTTGAGGTGGTTCAGCGTCCCGTACGCCTTTGTGCAGTTCGGCCAGCTGAAGGAAATACGGTATATGCGTCAATATTCCTGTAAGCAGATCACGGGTGGCACACGCGCCTGCAATGATACAACCGCTCAATCTCATCGTACCTCCGACGTGGCCGCTTCTTGACCGCGTTCCCCGGGAGACTCACAAATGAATAGGTCTTGCCGTTCGAGCCCCGCTGAACCTGACCCTGCGCGCTCGTCGCGAGATTCTGCGTTCCCCCCGGGCGTTGCGCGCCAGGTGTCCCGCGGAGTGGAGGCAGTGTCGGGCTACCGCTGCCAAGACCAGACGTGTCCGAGCTCACGCTTCCCGCGTAGATAGGCGAAACGGGAGCCACGTCTGAACCCGAGGACGTGGGCCCGGAGAACGACGCGGCGTGATGAAGCAGCTCGACCTTGCCCGGCCAGCTAGACGGAGTCACGGTCGTTCCCGAGTCATTAGAAATGCGCGAGTGTGCTTGTTGGTACACATCGTGGCCGTGGCCGAGGCTGTTGTACGAAGAGGACGAGTAGGACGAGGAGGGCCGCGGAGACAGGGAGGTGGGAACGGGCTGGGAAGGGGAGTGCGGGGGCGGGTGGAACGCAAAGGGCGTCTGCTGCTGTGCGTAGCGCTGCGAGAGGACGGGCTCAGACATGCGGCGGTCGAGTCCGCCGAGGGGGTAACGCACCGAGTCGGTCGGGGACGGGCCGTACGGGGGGAACTGGTGGCCGGTCATCGACGGCGGGGGGAACGAATACGCGGGCGCGCCGAGGGACATGTGCGCGCCCGGGCGGTGCTGCGGCGAGGACGACGGCGAGGCGGAGAACGCGCCGGGGTGTGCGTCGGGCGAGAGCAGGTCGTCGGAGAAGAGGGAGCGGCGGAGGGAGTACGCGGAGGGGTCCGTGGAGTCCGGGTGAGTCCCGGCGGAGGCGGCGGCAGGAAAGGCGGGCGGGTACATGGGGCTGAGCGGGGAGCTTTGGTCATAATGGACACTGGCAGGAGATGCCGAGTCGCCGTCGTCGGCGGCGGGGATTGGGAGGGCGGGGGAACGGCGCACGAGGGGCGGGATCTTGGGGAGGGAGGCCGGGGCGTGGAGGCCGTCAGAGCGGGAGTTCCGGCAGGGGCGGGCGGCGGGAAAGTCGGGGAAGCCGAGGGGGTGGACTGGCTGGGGGAGATGTTGTAGCATGTGGCGGCGATGGAGGACGGGGAGGCGGAAAGAAGGACTGGAGGTGTTTATGACTGGCCCATCGCGCGGGTCCTGCGACAGAGAGAGAGTCTCTTGAGCGCGTCGGCTTGGCTGTTGAGCGAATCGTCTGGCGTCAACGACATCTGCCCGATCGCCCATCACCTTCAATCTCCGCCCCCAGATCCTCCCCAGATCCCTTCCAGAACAATTCCACAGAACACACCTGCTTCCCTGCCCTTCCCACGCTCGCGTCCCCATTGGCTGCTGCCTTTCCTCCCTTTCCGGCTCCTATCTCCCGCGCCCGAGGCAGCGGCTCGCCCTCGATCCTCCACGCAATAAATCCTTTTCCGGTCGCATTGCAGGTGGCGTGACCTTCCTGCCGCTTCCGGCACTGCTTTCATCCGCGTGCTTCGGACCATCCGCCCCCATGTCGCGCATCGTCGACGCCTGCGCCCTACGCTGTGATTTTTGCGCGATAACCCCTTGTCGGCGCGCCACCGCGTCCCGCCTGGTCCGTGCGCACTTGGGTCCCCCGTATCACCCTGCCCACTTCTCTTCTTCAGATTGGCGCGCAGTCCCCAACACGCGTCACCAGCATGCACAATATGGCAACAGAATCAAACCAGCTGTGTCCATCTGAACCCAGCGCACGTCCGTCCAATTCATTCTCCCCCATTTTCTCCCCCATTTTCCTCTATTTGTATTCTTCGGTCGCTCCGCGCTCTGCGTTCCTTCCTCCTGATTGCTGTTGCAGCCGCTCAATGTTCTTTTCCATGTTTCACCCTCTTCCATCACCTCCCCTCGGGCTCAGCGTCCCCCGCACCTCCCGCGACACTCCACGGCACGCAGCGGCTTGCGCCACCGTCGCAGCACGGCGCCGCTGGTCCCTGCATGCCATCTTCGCTCCCTCCTTATCCGACTACCAGCCGTATCTCCCTTGCTCCCCAGCAATTGGACCCGCTCCCGCCCAATTCACTCGCCTGACGCTTGTCTGCTTGGTATTCCCCACCGCCCCTTCCCTCTGTAGCCGACGCTCTGCTCCTCGCTTGTCCGGGCCAGCTGACAGCGCCTCTGATCCCCCCAATCGCGCAGATGACGCTGCGCCTGGCGCTTGACGCGTGCTCAACACGCTGGCCCGTGCACGTGTCGTCGCATCTGGCCTCGCCCTTCTCTTTCCTGCGCATTCCATCGGACGTTCGCTCGATCCGATTGATTCTGTCGCTCTGCCCGGCTGCTGCTCTCCTGCTCCTGCCATCTTGGGACCCCTGCCTGCGTAAAACACAACCTTGATATCGGCGCGGCACGAGGCCAGCTGGCGTGATACGGGCGGTGCGATACGTGATAGACGCGATCTTCACACATCGATGCGTTGCGCCCTGTGCGTGCGCGATGCGATGATGTGTTGCCTCGGCTAGCTCGCGTTCGGGAGGATCGACATCGATGCAGGCCACCGCGTATAGCTAGCCCCGCTGCTCTGATTGCAGTCGTGATCGCGACCCGCGTCTTTGATTCCTTACGGCATGGCGGGCGCCTCCTCGACGTTGCCAGCAACGATCGATGACGTGATACGAAACATTTTCCAAATCAAGAAGGTGTCTCCACCAGACTCGCCGTGTCCAGTCCCCCGCCACGCGCCTGCTGCGACGGCGCTGCGTGACCGTGACCCCGACGCCGGATCTATGTGTCACGTCACGGCCATCGTTATCGCGGAACTCGTCCGCCCGAACGTTGGGCCGTTCTCTCGTCGTCCTCAGCCACACCGCCCGCGACGCTGAGGGCGGACGAACAAAATTATTATTCCTATCTAGCTGAACAATCATCTCGCCCAGTGCTGATCTGCCAGCATGCTTGTGCGTGGCTGAGGGCCCGCTGAAGACATCAGCCTGCTCGGGACGAGCGTCTCCCGTTTCCCGGCGCGATGCGTTGCGCTGCCCATTTTGCGCCCTTCTCTTCTTCCATTGCACCAGCGGCGTCTGCGTGCACGAGGTTCACAACCACCGCAGCACGCTCGTCCTGCGGGTGGAGGGGGGGTTTGTCTCTCAGTCGCGCACTCTCTCAATTGCAGCCGTGGATACTGTGTGCGACCCGACGAATTCAATGCCTGCCAGTCCGCGCATCACGCCAAGCCTCGCATACGTTCCGGATGCCTGGCGCAACAGCTCCATCCAAGACACGAGCGCGTCCATCCGCTGATGCATGCTCGCGGGGTGCGTACTACCTAACGCACGGTTCGCCACCCCGCTCGTTTCTGGCGTGCATACCCCCGGATGGCAACTCGGAGACGTAGTGGGTGACCGCAAACGGCCATCACGTTCCCGCAACGGATCGAGCAATATCAAGAAGTGGTGCTATTCAATATCATTGATTGTCGGTAGTTGTGCTTTTGTTCTTGGTGCTTCCTAATCGATTCGAAGATGTCTGTCTTGCTTGATTTCCGCACACACTTCGATGTACCGATTCTAGACGTTCCGCAGCCCGTGTACATAGCTTGGACAACATCTCCCAAGATTGGCTTCCTCCGCTGATGCCAACGTTATCTCGCGTCGTATGGTCCGAAATCAATGCACGCTTTTTGCCTCAGCGCAGACAGGTCAGCGCTGTATCCACCCCCCCAATGTTCGTTGAATGCGTCTCGAACTCTCCGGTCAGGTACGACGATGCGGAGCTGCAGGTTCCCCTCTGCCTGTCTGTATCACGCGCCCGCCCGTCACCAGTATGTACCGTCCTGTATCACATCTGCACACACATCTGCACAAGAGTTTGGCCGCACCGCCCCGGTTCCCTTGGCGGTGCGGGGCATGATTTGGATTTATGCGACGGACCCGTCCAGACGCGAAGTTATTTGTATCATATCATGCAATCGCACGTTTATCATTGTCGCGAACTGTCGTGTGGATCATGCCGTTCATTAAGGAGAGGCCGGCGTGTAGCGGATGAGTCTGGAAACGTTTAAGCCTGGTGGACAAGAGAGGGCCACAGGGCAAGCTTTTGATGGCGCTCGCGACGCGTCTCTCTCGAGTGTTTCAGTTTCAGGTATAGGGGCTCCGCCGCTCCGCAGAGAGATCTCTTCGAAGATTCGTCTGTCTGCGTGGCTTTTGTTTTTCGAAATGCGCTCCCGCGATCACTGCTCCGCGGGAAACTTCTCGCCGAGACGAGGCCACGGCCCCGAAACAGAAGGGAATTGTAAACGATCTCATGGTATGCATAGCGCACGTTCATCGCTGTGCTTTGAAACAAAATTCTGCAAGCCGACTGCACCGGCGAGCCACGTCACAACAAGCTTCGCCAAGCACCCCAAATCGCTCGTCCCTCTCGGGGCCATTGATGGGCCTACTATGCGAATGACTCGTCTCCCGTCAGTTTCGTATCGATGTGATCTGTGCATCAGTTCTCAGATCCCGCATCGCTTGCGTTTTCCCTTCTCCCCCCCTGATTCGCCATCACCATCGCAGCCTTCGCGTTCTGATTCTTCCTTCCTGAGGTTCTGATCGTCCCTCTTGGCTGCTCCGCCATCGGACGTGCCGCGGACAATGTAGATCGTCCGGATAGGCAGCTTGCGCGCGTAGACGCGGTAGAGCGATCCTCCTGACGCTGCGGGCATTGCGGCGAGCTTGGACTCAATGCCAGTGGTCAAACTTTCGCGTGCAACGTGCCGTATTGTTTTATGCGCTGCCCAGAACACGCCACGCGCGCTTTGCTTGTCCTTCTCGTGTCACTGAACGTTCTCTGCAAGTGAGGAAACGACGATCCTCCCGAGGCCGGAGGTGGAGAGAGTTCGCAGCCGAGCACATGTATTGCGAGCCTACTTAACTTTGACTGATAGTAGCGCGATGCGGTGAAACCGAAATCGTCGGCGGACCCTTTCCTGAGAATTCTATCAGAACCCTAACGGTCTCAGCCACTCTGAGGCCTGAGATCTGAGACACCGCTTTTTCAAAACGGAACATTCGAGACTGCGGTATATTGCTAGCCCGCGTCGGGCCCACGGGCAGCAGCTTTGCGACTCATTTCTGCTGATACGGAGCAGCGGGTTCACACAGTTATCGGTTTGCCGGCATTATCGTCGCAGCAGCCTGTGTTACCGCAGCACAGGGAAACAGGAAACATGTCCAACTTGGAGCGTCAAGGTCCGCCGTATCTGCGCTGTGGCTCCTTCTGGTCAGCACTGACTGGCACGCTCTATGCTGCGGCATGCTGTGAGGTATCCGGAGGGCGCTCGTGCGTCGATAGAGATCGAGGGTAGGATCCAGGATCCAGAACCTGGCAGGCCGATCCGCCAACGCACCCTCCGAGGTCGCATGATGCACCCACGACCACAAGAGCGCGTGTCGATTGGTCGCTATTGGTCGATTGCCCCGGCTGGTATGCAATGGCTGTAGCCATGGGTCGCTCGAGGCGCTGTTCTCATGATTATAACGAATGAGGAGACCTCTAACTCTCCGGGCGCATGACAATCGGAGAGGCACCGCGTGCATGTGTCTCAGCGCCGAGCGGTTGACGGACGGCCATTCACCGCAATGAATGCAAGGATGTCAGCTGGCCACGAGGCGCAGCGCGATCTGCACATTCATACGGTCGGCCTGGGCTTCTTCCGTACGCTCAACGATTGTGTGCTGTTTGCGTTGCATACATACATACGGCCCGCGATGCACCGAGTTCCGTGCTTGAGCGTCCAGATTAGCGATACCTTTCTCGTCTCTATCTGTGAGCGCGCACATGGATGTATTTCGCACGTCGGAGTGTGTGCCTGCCGTGCGGTGAAGTTACCCCTGGCTGGCTCGACTTGAGCTATGGCGTCGTTGATGATAATGAAGGGACTGCTACAAGGCACACAGGAACGGCTCTGTACTTTATCTATATATGGATAATATTCCTACCAGCTCGGATACTTATCAATCAGACTCCAGAGTGGCCAATTATAGCGAGACACTGTATGTGGATTCAACGGCCTGACTGCCTGGGAAAACCCCCGGTCCATCCCTCCGACGCCGGAGAACGTAATTGCATCATCGAATGATTTACAGAAAGAAGAACTGAGGAAAGAATGCAGGAATATGTCCGCATGGTATCCTTCGGATGCATATCATGATCGAAGGACTCAGCACGACGTCGGGAAGCAAGAAAAGGCGCAAGCGCCCCCGATGCACTCGCACTTTCTCGCGCTCTGTATCCGCTCCGATGTGACTGTGATTGGGCGGGATGTTACGGATGAGGCAGGTTGAATGAGAAGGAAGTGGAAGATAGTCGGCTGCGGTGCCCCACCCTGCAGTGAATAACTGACTGACCACATCCTGCTTACCCATGTCATGTCTTGAGGCTTCTCGAATCCCGCTCCTGCAGAAGGCCCGTCTGGACAACACAGAAGAGCACCGGAGAAGTGGATGGAGAAGCAGAAGTCAGAATGCTGCACGAGGTGCGCGACAATTCATGATGGATCGGGATCGTCGTCTCTAGTGCGGACGAAGACATCGTCGAGATAGCGATTGCGCCCTTTCTAAGCGCGCCAGCGTCGGGCTTAGGTAGTCTAGGAGCGAGGAAGACAGCCTTTACAGCATGTCGGAGACCGAATTACCTGTTGTATGCGCATATGTATACTCATATCACGGGCTTGCTTCGGCTTCAGTGCGATCGATGGCGGAATGCCGGCAGAATATATGGAACGATTACGAAGAGCGGAAGGCGAATTGAGGCGAAGTTGGAAGCCCAGCAGAGAAGACGGAAGGTGAGAAGCGGTGGCGTTGCGTTCTGAGATGTGAAACGCGGTTGCGGTCGCATGTGCTTGGAACCTATACTGAATGCACGCCGAGAGGAGTCTTATTGTTCTTTTCTCGATCGTGGCAGACGCGTGCAGGGGACGAAGTCAAACTGAGTCGAGGAAGCTCCGGTGAAGGGAATCGGACTGCTGGATTGAGCTGATTCTCACATCCGTGATAGGGAGGAAGCACCCAAAGAAATCAATTGGCAGACGGCGTCCACATGACCATGCCACGTGATTCGAAGTGGAACCGCAGAAATAAGGCCATTGAATGAATCTTGCTGAAGGAACTGAGTTGCAGACGAGTAGATAACGCCGCAGCTGATTTGAATGCAGATGGGCGGATTCGCCTTAAGCTTCCTATCCCACCACTGTGACAGTTCGTGCTGTGTATGTGGATTGCGAGTTTCCGGCAGACTAGTCCCATGAGAAGCCTGTGCAGCAGAAGTTGCACATGGACGATTGATGAGCACGTACCTTCAACTCCGACGAGCCACGACATCCGATGATCTTTGTAGTAGCTGGCGATTCTTGTTTGTATTCAGTCTGCTAAGGAAGAGGAAGATCTCTTGTATACGGGCTGTACGTCACTAGCATGATCATCAGTGGAGCCTGATACCGGGGACGTTGAAGGCGATTGAAAGTCTTCATTGGTGTAGAGCAATTTGGCGAACGCTTCGTTTACGCGTTACTGCATACTGTCGCTAGGTTACCAACAAGATGCGCGAGGTAATAATCACAGTAGTGTTGGTTATCTGTCTGATGCACACGCTATGGGACCACCGAGTCACTTACCATCGCCAAACGTAACGCGTCAACATCCCACAGCGATTGTTGGACAGCATTACTGTGCACGCTCATCAGCAATTCATGCTCGCTGCTTGTCAGGCTTTGACGCACGCGCTCTCGGATCCAAAGGTACGCCGCCATTCATTTCGTCTGCCTGCCAATTGAGAGCAACAATCACACATGCTCGTTCATATTCGAGATGCACTCACGCAGATACTAATTCCCCTAGTGGCATGTATCATATTACACGACGAAATTTGTACATCTTGACAAACCAGACTTGATGCATCCGAAACACGGATTTCTTTGTAAGCACACACCGTCCCCCATCTTGACAACACATGCTGGTTGCTGCGGGAGGAGATTGTGAAACAGATTGCGAGACAGCACCTTTTCTTGAATTAAAGGCTCCGTTGCAACCACAATGCAGTCAGCATGTTCGCGCTAGTATGCAAATCAACAATATGGAAAGGCGGTTTGACAGATCATCGACAATCACTCACTTCCACGATGGGCAGGCGATGCAAAAAAGCGCATCCTATCAACAACTCATGCGACCACATCTCACCCCTGATGCTTGGATTGAGCTTGCCACGAGATCCAATGATGGACTATAGTTATGGTTCATGGGACCGCTGCGTGGTCCGTCCGTCCAAACATGCGTCTGGTCCCAAACTACCTTTTCCGAAGCATCGGCATGGTAACAATTGATCGATATGGTCTAGCTAGAGAAAGTTCCTCGTGCAGTGGACGGATACAGAGCTGATGACGTGCAACGTGTATGGATCCTAGTATGCAGGTATTGTTCTGCCAAGAGTTTCAGCATCTGACGCGAGATCAAGAGTAGCGAAGTCGAACCCGCTGAAAAACTTTCTGTTTAGTCCACATTCTGCGTTACTGGGTAACAGGTGTCACAAGAGTATGTTGATTAGAAGATATCTTCTGCATGGTTCCACAGATCGTGCGGCTTTAGAGTTGCCGTAAGGATAATTTTGTGGGATCGAATCATTCTTTTTCGACCAATCTGAGCCATCCCTACGTGCTGAGAAGATCCACTTCGAGAAATTATGACCACGCGTAATGAGATGTTCACAGAAGACCCATATATGCAGCCGTCAGTGTGCAGAAGAACAATGCGATCTCGGTTGCGGCATTTGAATATTGGACCTTGGTAGCGGTCTCGGTCGTCGGTGGAAAATGACCTAGGTATTGTCGGTCACTGCGTCGTTAAACGACATTACTGAACATCGCAAGGTGAGGTCGATGAAGTTGCGAAAACCGGAGAAACGAAACTGTACCTGATAGTGATTGGGTGAAAAATCTATGCCCGTAGACTATACAGGCTATGCAGGCTGCGGACCCTACTTTGATGATACATGGACCTGTACAAAGGAAGGCATGCAGGAAAGGAGAACAGGTATCGCCTGTAGAGGCTTAGCCGAGCCACCGTGTGAATGTCATACTACAGATGAGGGACGTCTATTCCATACGTAGCCTTTCATTGCAAGTGAGACTGCATCAAAAGATTTACGGACGGACCTCGGACTTGCTCTTTTCGAGATTGGTTGTTTCTGAGCGTTGTTCATCAGCCGCCTGAAAGGATGCGATGCAGATGGCAGTGATGCAAACGTGAGATATAGATTGCGTTTGAGGGTAGCACTCGAGCGTCAGTGCCTCCGTAAAGATGTGTTGCTACTAGCTGGCCCTCATGCTGAAAACATATCGCCCAGGACTTGACATCGCTGATCTTTTATTCACAAGGACAGGCTGTCACAACCCTCCTTGCGGCTGCTATGCCGACGTTCGGTGCCGAATCCTCCCCTGAGATATTTGATGCTGCCAGAATGCAAGGAAGTTCGGGGTCAGGAACGGAAGCCGTCGCTGACAACTAGTCAGTCAGTCAAATATCGCGATTGATTGATCGATTTGACACACTGAGCGTACCTTTACATGCTGCTACGCCACCAAATGGATGTGGATCTCATGAGAACATCCGAGAGTCATCCGGGCGCTTTGATTCTGTATGAGGCAATCCATAGGCTTGGAATGGGACTATCGCATTGATGCAGTCTCAGGGTAGATATCGGCGCATTTCCGGATTAGCATTTGAAAGCGCAAGTACCTCCAATTGTAATCGTGAGCAGCATCAAACGAACAATGTCCGATAACATACCAGGCGTCTCCCATCAGATACTGTTCACTCAAACGGGTTCCATCATCCTAAACAGATACAGGCTTTCCTTTCGCCGCTAGTAAATTGCGCAAGAACGAGATGCGGTTGTCGACGGACGCTTGATCATTGTATGGCAGCTGGAATGTGTGGAATACGGTTATCCTTTCCGAACATGTCGAGTGCAATTGGTGAGCCGATCATCCACTGGCAGGCCGAAGTCCTGTCGTGGAGTGTTTCGATGGTTGATCACTGTGGGAAATAAATAAACATTCAGTCGAGGTGTTTCAGCGGAAGTCGAGAATCGGAAATGAGTATGAGATCCTTATGACTTCACAGACCGAATCAATGATACTACTGCAAGGTCAAATCTAGCGCCATGTAAATCAGTGATCATTCGAACCGCGAGATGGATGCTTCATCTTCAACGTTTGAAGCGCACAAACTCTGTCATTTACCACATCGCAGGTTCAGCTATTAAAACTTGAAGACATCGCTGCTGTTCATTTAATCAAACTTTTTACACGTGCTTACCACGATGAAATAGGATCAGTAACAGAATCGCTGCGGCTAGTAACCTGTGTGCCCGAGACGCTGCAATGGAGTGGTCAAATCTCGGTGTTCGAACTATCATTGGAAAAATTGACCGAGTTAGAATGAGATTAATGCATCATTTACGTACGGAAGACAAATGCAGACGCAAACTCGACCGCCGGGAGAACCGGATATGCTATGGCATATTCAACAATTCTGACATATCGTTTGTAAAGCGGGCTTTGACATAGGCATTACACACGAGCGGCCTCTAGGCTGTCACTCATCAAGATTGTATATGAGCATTCGGAGGTCTTTGTGAACATATATCAATGACCAAATTTTATTCATGCTGCCGGCGGCCGGACACGATTCACGGAGGCGGTTAAAGGACACGGTAATTGTGTCGCAATCTGGCGGCGTAGCGACGAGCGCGGCGGTGGAATGGGCTGGGAAGAGCGCGGCGGTGGAATGGGCTGGGAAGAGCCCGGCCCGAGGCTAAATAGTATGCGTACGTACCTGCGTGTATATAGGGCACGGCGCGCGGTGTGTTGCACTCCGCCGATTTGTCCTCCTCAACTGGGACCGAGGTGGCGGTCCGACGAACATACGTCGCAGAGGGGCGTCAGCCCGTGAATCGCGACAAATTGCACCACAATGAGCGATAGTTGTGTCGGCGTGCACCTAGGCGAGTCTCAGGGCACATCATCAAGACGTTCGGAACAGATGGGCTTGACGAAACAGGGCACAGTGTCACGTGAGTGGGTGTCCGATATGGGCGCTTGCAGCAAATGTTTGAGCAATGCTCTCTCTTTTCAGAATCGGCCATGGTGTGCTGGGTTGTACAGACCGCGAATATCCTCGAAGAGTTATCTCTAGACTTATCATTCTATGAGTGTTTCCACATACAGCTCGCAATGCCGTCATTGCTTCATAGACGTCGGCTCGGGATTTCGTCAGAGTCTAATTGGACATGCTGTGAGTCCTACTAAACACTACCAAGAACGTTGCGCGGTTATATATGACATGCAGTGATCCCAGAATCGCTTATTCTCAACGTCAACGGGAGTCAGAGCTCGTGCTCCTACAATTCAAGTTCAGTCTCACGCTGGGCTGGCTACGCCTCGGTGGGCCGCTCTCGTGTCAGAACGACCATCTGATTTGATACCTGTATCACCGGCATCTTTTGTCGTCTGCAACGAGACACATCGACCAGAGATGCAAGAGAACTGTCACACCGAGGGCCAGCTTCGCGTGAAACGTCTGCTTGTGCTCGCTTCGATTACCCGCAACGTCAATCATCGTCTCAAGCTCCTTGCTAACATACTGGCATTCCAAGCTTCCGGGTACAGTAACAATGGCCGCGCATGTTTTCAGGTAATGGTCAAACAATAGGATGCTGTCTAACCCAACATGTTTGATATTCCCCCCCCCCCAAAACGCATGAAGCAGTTTTCCTCCCTTCACTCCATCACCGTCTCATACAAACCACTGATGCTCGTATAGCCTGAGAAATTCTCCGGGATGTGCTTGCGCCGCTTTAAACGGCAGCGTCTCCCAAAAAGGCAGCGTCTCCCAGTATCGCATTCTAGCATTCTGAATCGCTGCTCATAATCACACACGTTGGATATTCCATCACTGCATTGTCGTGATGCAGTCCCATCCAGTTGTTTGCTCATCGAGTCCATAGCTGTCCGGCAGCGCGCTTCAGCCCAACATGAATAAGATGAGTCATATCCTAGTGAGTTCATGAAAGCCGTACTTGCTGGTATTATTGAGCTATACGGAGCCTGAAGGTCACTAGAGGTGGCCCCGTCTCAATCCTTTAGTCTTCATCGGTGAGTTCTCCATGGCGCTCTGAGAACACTCTGAATTGACCGAGACCGCATCGCAGGAGACACCGGGATGCTGGTTTCATATTGTGGTGCGACGGGAGGTTCATATTTCTTGTCAGAGCATGGCATACCTGTTCTGATATTTCCTTGTATATTGGTCGGTCATATCATTCCGCACGACCTGCAATATGCTCATTTCACGGGATGTCTTCGCCCATCTGACACCCAGCCGAGCAAAAAGGTACCTGTAATATCATCAAGTTGAAGAAGCCTCATGACGGGACAATCTGTTCTCCACAGCGGATCAACAGCGAGCATTTGATATCAGCGGAATGCGAAGCCCGTAAAGCTGATATCGCGGCGTTCTCTCCGTAACCGTGTACGCGAAAACCCGAAATGCTGGACAAGGTACCAGCGTGGCCTCTGTCAATGCAAGACGTTTTCATGAGGACCGGCAACATTACAACCGAGAGGAAGGATCTCAGCCTGTTCTTCTCTGTCAACAGTAACTGCGAGCTGAGGCTTCTTGCGGCCTTTGCTTCGCACACGGAGGGTCAGTTGTATCCTCCACATGTTTTATCGTTTGATGAGAGCTTACTACTATCTTGGTGAACGGTGATGATGCATTGCAGTTTTGCATTGTTCTTGCGGTACACCTACAGACCTGCTTCCCGAACAGATGCGGCGGTCTCCCCGGTACCAGTTTCATCGGCGAACAACCTCCACCACTGCTTAGCGATTGCAGCTGGGCGTTGGTTATTTAACGTGCTCGCAATGCGTCGCACTTAGCATACTCAGCTATCTCGGTGTTCCCGAGTTTTCAGACTGTGCTCCAATGGCTAACGCATCGTCCACATCCCTCGAGAGAGGTCAAGCATGCCTCAGATGTCGGTGCGTCAATGGCTACCTACCAGTCTTCATATGAATTAATGGAAGCATGCCTATAGGAGAAGGAAGATTGTACATTTTCTCTGTTGCATCTCGTCTACCAACTTGCCAACCTAGTTTATCTACAGCGATGCGACGGTGCTCGACCAGCGTGCGGCCCTTGCATACGTGCAGATCGGGCGAACGAATGCGAGTATGCCGACGGCCAGGGACAGACACAGAATCAACTTTTGGAGCAACAGGTTACCCAACTCGAGAGTCGTATTGCGGAGATAGAAAACTCCGTGGCGACACCGATTGTGCTATATGACCCGTACGAGGCTTTTCATCGTTCGGCAGCCGGGTCGCAGTCCGGTCAGCAGCGCGACCCGACTCTGCATTCTCTGTGAGCTCGTTTCCCTTATGATATGATGATCATGTTGCTCACATTTGTATTTTAGCATGGCGTCGTTCTTCCAGCATGTGTCAGAAGTCGGCTTCTTTCTGCACATCCCTAGATTCCTGCAGCAGGTTTCCGCTGTTCCGTCAACTAGCCTCCCGGTACACACCTCTCTTACACTCAACGCGATATACACTCTAGGTGCACACTTTTCACGCGAGCCCCAGCTGCGATCACAGGAGGCCACCTTCCTTTCTCGTGTCCTGGAGCAGCTACCAACCGCTCTGTCCAGATCGCAACCCGTAGCCATCCTCCACGTACTGCAGACCGAAATTCTTCTGTCGTATTACTTCATGGACAATAATCGTTCCCTGGAGGGGATATACCACTCCAATGCAGCCGCTTCAATGGCTCTTGCGTGCAAGCTGCACCAAATTCGCAGCTCTCGCTATCTGGGAGCATCCACAGGTCATGCTACAAGTGCACCATATCGCCTCAACCCCCCTGTGAATGGAGTGGAAGAAGGGGAAAGGATTAACGCTCTATGGGCCGCTTACATCTTGGATAAGAGTTGGAGTATAGCATTCGGGTCATCTACCGCTTTCACCGAGGAAGACGGCAAAGGCATGGTAATTGACACTCCTTGGCCAGTAGATCTGGCGAGCATGGAAATGGTTCGCAAGCGTCTGATTGATTTGTAGCGATGACTTACTCTAAATCCCACAGGATCCACTTCCTGTGAATTTGCGAAGCTCTCGAACTGTGCAGACTTTCCTGCAAAGTTCTGGTGTGCCTGGCGCCACCGTGCAGAGTATCCAGGCTTTATATGCTCAAGCTATCTCACTTTGCGCTCAAGCGAAGAATATCGCCTCTCGCTGGAGCCCTAGTAAGTATATCTTCGTATCTTATGGCTACTTGTTCAAACTTGAGCGTATATGCAGATAATGCGACATTCCAATCCAATTTCACGCATTTCAACAATCGCGTGGAACAGTTCAAAAGCGTATTGCCCTCCATAGCTAGCGTGGATCCCAATCGGCGCGACCTGATTCGGAAATTGCTCGTCATTCACACTTTGGCTCACTCCGCGACGCTGATCTTGTACAAACCTGTCGAAGCGCAGATGGTGGCTCTCAATGGAAGGTCCTGGATGGCAGCTACGGCTATTGCTGCTACCTTGCGAAATGTGGACCTCAACATGATAGACTTTATAAGTCCCATATCGGCTGTAAGTCTCATGTATGACGAGCAATAGATGTGCTGCTGATCGAGCATACCCAGGCTTTGTGGAAGACTGCAGCTGATGTCATCGTCCGTGGTTACATGACTGCTAGGCAGCAGTCAAACATCAGTCCTCAGCAGCGAGCATCGTTGTTGGAACCATTGAACCGCATTCTGTCAGCGATCCAGAAATGGAGGGCTATATCTCCTCTAATGAGTATGTCCTGCTGTCTATACATTCATCGTTATCTAATCCCATTATTAGACCATCACGCTAGCGCCATTCAACAGGCGATCACAGGACTGTAGGGCACCTAATACGACTTCAGCCTTCACAACGAGCCAACGCCAACCGCGAACGGTAATGTACATACTATGTGATAGAGCCATTTCTCGCTATTCTATGCTTTTCTGATTGCAATCGGTATGTCAATTCGCGCCTGCTATTGCTTATGGAATTGTAGTAGCGGGACTATCGTAATGATTTCCTACGCTTCCATTCCACTTGATAGATGACAGACTTTTCGCGTGATATTACTCGTAGATAGACAGGGCCCATATATGTATGTGTTGCGAACCCGATAGGTCTATGCTTGGAGCTCAAATGAAACTATCGCGATGGGAGAATGAGGCTATCCGCCTGCTAGGCTTTGTCCGGGATAGAGGATCAGTCGACCGGAGATACTTAGGTCCCTCAAGCTTACGTATACAAGGACTGCCCTGAGTCGTGACACAAAGCCTTGAATCGCAACTCCCTGCCTTAGAGCATTTGCGGCATCCATCTATCAATAATAATCATCAGATCCCAGGAGTAGGATACTGTTATATATACAAGTTTTGATATATTGCATCACATCAAGCAGTTAGCAGCGGCAGGATACGCACTCCAACGAAGATGGCCACAGAACGGTGATCGTTGCGAAGGATTAATGACATCGTGAAGGATCCATCACTTCGCGAGTTCCGTTGCTCACTTATTTCAGGCTGCAAGGCGGTCAACAGATTGGTGAAGCGATGCTTTGTGACGTGATCGCATCCGATATTGTGATCGTGTTCATGGAGCAACCGCCATTTAGCATATGCATTTAGTATACGCACACGTGTCATCGTGACATCTACAGACCTCTTCTGACCTCTTCTGACAGTGTAATCGCTCTTCCTCCTAAGCTCTTAACTTCGTCAAGATGGTACGGAAAGGGACCGGCATGCGGCTCTTCTGCGCAGTGGAATCCCGTCTGTTCGCGATATTCTCAATCCCCGCTGACCGGTTGTATATCGGTGCAGACGCAGTCTTTAGTCGCCGAGCGTTGGCGGGGTCATCCGTCAAGCTGAGACGAGCGTCTTGCTCCGAGCGGACAACATTCGAGTTACGCTTCGCTGGGAGACTCTGTCGTGCGTTCAGGGACCGCAGAGGGACGCGCTCCTGCTTCTTCAACAGCGTGGGCGAAGGTGTCGAAGGGGAGGCCGGTCGCCCTGAACTCTTGGCCAGAGCACGCACAGCAGGATGCTTGGGCAGGCTGGATGTTCTCTGAGTAGACAAGTCCTCAGAACGGATGTTCGACGGTGAAGAAAACACATTCCGTAGAGGGGATCGCCGATGAGCCGTCAAAGTAGAACGAGTCACAGGTTCAGTGAGCGAGCGCCGCGGCGAGTCGTCCACGTGGTCGTCCGACGGATACTCATGTCTGTCTGGGACGACAGAGAAACGGACACTCTTCTTCTCCTTCAGGATCCCTTTCGTTGGGCGCATACTGGCTGTGCTTGACGGACGGGATTGTACTGGGGTCGATTGTCGGCATTGAGTGCACGAGAACGTGCTTTCTAGAGGACTTTCGAAGGGAATTGGCTCGTGCTCGTCGAAATCCTGGGAAGGCTCCTCCGTATTGTGGGCTACGAGGATGCTCTCTTCTTGCGACGGAGTCTCGATAATGACGGTCTTCCGTCTCTGCTGCTTTATGTCGTGGAGAGGAGGGGTAGCAGCACGTTGCTCGACAGAATTGATCAATGTCGGTGACATAGACCATGATAATGTGTCATCGTCGGCGCTGAGTGGCTCCGTGGATCCCTCTGCGTGGTCACGTAGAGGCGATGGACACGCAAGGTCAACCAAAGACGAGAGTACTTTATCACCGTACTTGTCCAGTAGATCGTGGGCAAATGCCCAGTCGTCCTCCGGGTCAAACACAGAGTACTGAGAATATGGTACAGTGCCCCAGCGGCCCTGATCCGGCGTCTCCGGGGCCGAGCTTGGAGAGTCTGGGCAGCGTGCGCGTAGGTCATTACACATCGCCTCTAAGCCCATGGAATAGGTCGAAGGGTTGCCAGCAGGGATGTCAAAGCTCGGGCTGGAGGACGAGGGAGAGCCTAAGAAGGAAGAAGGCACATCAGGATACGGCTCGGCTTGCGCAGGAAGGATGTTTGTCTGATCCAAGTCCAAAGGAGCAGGTAAATTATGGCCTCTGCGAACAGCAAGAGGGACACGAGTAAGACTTTGGAAAGACTCCAGGGAAAGTGGCAAGATCGCCGTAGAGCTAGAAACCATGATTGTGGGCACTGGAGGCCTTGTTGCACCATCAATCATTTGACCGTCCTCACTGTTCGAGATTTGGATGGCAGGGTTGCCGATCTCCGCTGTTTCGTCATCGATGTCGATGGAAGGCTCTTCGTTCGTACTGACAGTAAGCGGCGGCGATAGAGGCGATTGGAATGTGTCAATGGGGGATATCGGTCTTGGTTCGCGCTCGGGATGCCGACTGTTCATGATCGTCTTAAAGAGTTCAGGCGGGAACAGAGCACCTTCAGGCAACCAAGGCGGTGTCGGGAAGTCAAAAGATATCGCCTCTTCTATATCACGATCTTGCCAAGGAATGTGGTCAGTCTCGAGGCGATGGCACTCCGAGACGCCTTTCTGATTCTACGATTTATTGCTGTTTTGAGTAACGGGAGCATAACCGAAGACTCACCGCCCATTCGCGAACGCAAATCGGCTCGAGCAACATCACTCGCAACCGACGGATCGTCGGAACAGTAATCATGGCACGTGCAAATGGGGAAAGTGTCGTTGACTTGAGAACCGGGGCATCGAAGGCATTCGTATACAATGGGGGCTTAGAACGAGCTGGGAAACGAGGGACATTATCAAAGGATAGTGAGTCTTCCGAGGTGGAAAGAAAGATTGGAGCGATAGAGAGTAAGCTTTCATCATCGTGGCCTGCAAGAATCTTCTTGATGTCCAAAGAAGAGAACGAGCTCAAGATTCCGAGATGTCGCACATCGCCCGGTGGCGCCGTTGGATCAGGTGTCGCCATCGCTTCCGAGACAGAGTAGTACAGACCAGAAGGGATGCTGCAAGCTTGAATGTCGACGAGGATGTCAGCAGAGGCTCATGAGGCTGCCAGGAAGCTTGTCTGGGGAGGCTGACATGTCAGCCCACGTTGCATCTTCCAACGTAGGTTATTGCTCGCCAGTCCGTTTTGAAACGCAGGCTTTCCAGAAGACTTCTTGTTCATGGCAAGGCCATGATTTTATTAATATGCCTTTGAACATAATCAGCGTCGTAGGATTGGCGACATACGCAGCATCTGGCACTCGTATGCAATGACCATCAATTTTCGGTCATAGCCAGGAGATCTCAATGGTTCAAAAAACAGGTTCAACAGAGGTCCAAGAAGGGGCGAGCGTTTTGCAGGATTTAACGCGACCCGTCCAGGCTTGCGAGTGAAGGTGGGAAGGACGACGGGCGTCAACTTCAAACTTGATCTCTTTCTGAGCGCCGATGTCTTCTCCCGCTCTCAATCTGTCACTGCACCATTTCGACCGTCCTGTCGACGGACGGCTGCTCAGCAAATGCCCACAGTCTCTTCCTGTCGATGAAGCGTGTATCGTCCCTGTTGCCCCCATACCACTCCAATAACGCGCACCCGAACTGTAGGATTCTTTGCCATCGTACGACGCTCGCAACGCAGTGCAGAGCCCTTGAAGCCGCTCATTTTACCTCATAACACTGCGTTTCCCCTGCTTTCCGAGACTGCTGCGGAACACACACAATCGTGCCGGAAATCCGAGGGCTCGAATTCACAGGTACGCCCAAGCTCCGAGCCAGCCTATGCAGGATGAGCCTTCTACTATTTTTGCACGTCAGTCTGAGTGCTCTCGGGCACGTTGGATGTCAACTCGCATTTCTGATTCCAATATATTTGCTGCATTGTTGATGTCGGTGCTTACTGGTAACATCACAGGGAAGTTCAAGTCTGTCACTTTCCAGTGCGTGCGGGATCCCGCTAGCTATTCAGTAATCAAGAGGTGAGCATCCGCCTGGGATTTGTTTTTACGTATGAACCTAGCTTGGGCGTGCTTGACGTGCCATATATGAAATCTCGTCGTCGTCGTTCAAAACGAACAACTCTCCATTCGCGAACTTCATTCACTCAGAATCTTGCGTGCGCGACTCTGATCATACTTCGCCTTCAGCAGGTCGCGTCAAAATGTCTGCAAATGGGGACGCTCCATCACGATCGGTCGCATCGCCTGTCCCGCCATCTACTGAAGGGAATGGAACGTCGCCTCAACAGAAAAACCGGGTAGTCCCTACAAATACTGTCACAACCAAGGAGGCAGGAACAGTCCGCGTGCGCATCGTGCCGAACCTGCCCGTCGATGACGTCGTCCGCCAGTTGTGTATCAACTTAAGGCTGAAGGACCATCCAGCGATGTATGCGCTTAGAGATGAGAACGATGAACTTGTCACCAATGATAACCTCCGCAAGAAGGTTATGGCCAAGGCCAATTTCAAGTGCGTGCTCGCACGCCTTGCTGGAATGTATTTGTTCACGTGCCTCATTCTGGCATGATTTAGGTTGGTGAACTCTCCAGCTATAGAGGCCGCTGAGATTGTGGAGAAACTGGTACTTCGCGACGGAAAATTGGGCCTTGCACTCACCTCTCTGCGGAGATATATACGTGTAAGCGTGCTTAGATACGCCGTCTCTTCAGGTCGCATTGACACTAGTACCAGGAAGAACAATTTGCGGACGAATTCCTGCAGCGAGACGGACTCAATGAACTCATTGGCGTGATCAAGGTGTCACACGGCAACATGCTTGCTGTGAGCACTGTCATGTCGCATTGGTTTCCATGACATGTCTGACTAGAGAGAACAGTATGCTTTGACTGCGATGCAGAATCTGATGGAACTCGACCATGGGTGGGACACTCTTGACGACACGTTCATTCTCAAGATCGTGGAGATCCTCTCTTCGTCACAGTCTCTCATTAATGTCTGCCGACCCGCCACCGCCATCTTGAAAAAGCTGGTGGAAGCATCGCCTGCGGCTGCTCCTACTGCTCATATGGCCAGCACTAGCAAGGGCCCTCCTGCTCCGCCACCCGGTTCTGTCTATAGATACGGATTTAACGCAGTCTTTCAGCAGATGCGCAAGGACACCAGACTGCTCGAGACCGTTGTAGACCGCCTGGCAAGTGCAGATACGACGATGGCATTGTACAGGTGAGTTGATGTGATGATCCAGTCGCTAAGGCGCATGTTGAGTTTGTCTTCCATAGTATGATGCTGATCAATTCGTTGTTGGCAAACGTGACGGACGCCTACTGGGATGAATTCACTACCGCCATGGAGCGGTTGAACGTGCGCAAGGCCGTGATAGTATGTGGAGCTGAGTCGTTTTCATCACGGCGTGTCAGACATCACTAATCCTCATTGCAGCGCCTTATGTCTTCACACACTATAGAAGACCTGACGTCTTGCATCTTGGATTTCCAAGCCAACATGATACGTCTGACGTTTAGGAAGAAGACGACGCCGGTCCAGCCTGAGATAGAGGAATCACACAATGCTACGCTAAACTACGTGTGGGTCAGCAGCAAAGTCAGCGAGGAAGGTGAAGGTGAGAATATCGTGAAATGGAGAAAGTTGGGTTTCGATAGTGAGGACCTTACGGAGGAGTTTCGTGAGGTCGGCACATTGGGCTTATATTCGTTAGTAAGTCGTCGCAATTTTGGCGATCTCGCGACCATGCTGAGGGTTCGCTACGCTGCCAGAGGCACTTCGTCGCTAAGGATCCCGATTACTGGGCCAAGGTTTGTGCACAACATATTGGACCTTCTGGCCGCCTGAATGAAGATGTGCACAGATCATTCAGGAACAATTGAGCCGCCCGGAAGAACGTAGGTGCCCGATTGCCAAGGCATCTAACGAGGTCGTCGATCTATTAGCGGAACATTGGGCTATATATGCTCCAGGATGTAGGTATAGCGTGGTTCCTAAGCATCGACCTAACCCTCCGCATTCCCTTATAGACTCGACATCAACGACGTTCCAACCATTCTTCTTGAACTTCTCCAAGGTACACGCTTTAGCGACACATTTCTTTCTGCGGATGTGGAACGAGAGCGGTGCTTCCAGAGGGGATTTCCCGCGCCTCGTTGCGCTGACCCGTAGCCAGTATGTCCTCGTTGCTCTAGTTTTGACTGTTCCTCATATCATATTCTAGAGTGAAAGAAGCGCTGAAGCGGGAGAACGAACGTCAGTGGCACGAAATTGAGCAAGATTTCCTTGAATGCGAGTATCGCGCGGTGCGAGATCGGCAAATGAGGGAGTTGGAGATGGAAGATGACAGTATGAGCAAGGGGCCCATGCGGTATGTTCTTCTCGAATCAAGGATGTGTTCCGGACTCATTCTTTCACAGTGCTCTGCGCGGAAAACTATACAAGGAATCCTTTGAATTTGTCCGCCAGCAGCGGATACACTGCCTGCAGGAGGGTGCTTGGTTCATGAACGGTATCCCCATCATGAGCAACATATCGAGAGATACTATCAGGCGACCCTCTCGCCCCTGGAGATTCATGCGATTGGTGAGGGCACCATTTGCGTGAACGGGCCGTGCATTTGCTCATATACACATGTACAGGACAACAGCCTCAGATACTTGCATTACGTTGACAGCGCCGTGAAGTTTGTCGTTCGGAAAGGTCTGGAAGATCTGCCTGAGCGGATTGATGCCTCACTCGTCAGCGAGGTGGCGACGGGAACTTGTATGCCGTTTCCCTCCAATTTGCGCGATGTAGACGTTGCCGCAGGCCCTAGTTCCCCTCTGGCAGCTTCTCCATTGTCTTTCTCTTTACTCACAGCAGGAGGGGCTTCGTTGGCCGACCAGATCGCTCCTGATCAGTCACGATGGGCTGACTGGACGGATGGTCTGAATATGTTGAGGAAAGATGGTGGTCATGTTGCTTCGCAAGAGACCGAGATGTTCATTCAAGCGCTCACCGATATTGGCTTGAAGATCAAACTTTTGGGTATGTATCATCCCATCTGCCAATTCTGGTCCATTCAAGGCTAATTACGCTCTGATAGACTTGACCGGCGAGAAGATCGATATACCGACTGGACTGGCGGCTGGACCGCCACCTACGAATTGCGACTTTTTCTTCTCTGATCTGTCATATGATACGCAGGCATGATCTACTGTATTTATAATTTACTTTAGGCATCTTTTGTGGAACCTTGGTGTCTCTGCACTCATGATTTCTGCTCGATGTTGTTGGAATGCTGTCAGTTCTCGATCACTCAAGTTCTGTTACTATACCAATCCACCCGTAGTATATTTATTGTGTTCTTTGCCCGTCTGAATGAGGTACCCTCGTTCAAGCTTCTGCAGCAATCTCATGCAGGCAAATCGAGCGCTTGCCTGGCGGCGTGAGTTGCAAATGTAGTACCTCACGCGAACAGTCCGAACTTCATGACGCCACGTTCTTCCAAGTCGTGCTCAGTGTACCATGACTACGACTTTCGACTTCGCGCACTGCGATTGCAGTATCATCCTTTAAGTTCCTTTCTGCTGCGTCTATTGGTGCTCGGAATCCTCAGTTACAATTTATTTTTGAACGCCAACGAGATCTTTTTGATACGCGAGACAAGATTCCATCGGCAGATCAATGCTTCACTGCGTGCAGGCAATTTTATTCGAATATCGTAATCGCTAATATTGTCTTATTCCAAACATTTGGTGCCTGAGAAGACGTCCGACGTGCATGATCAATCTTCTTCGTACAGAGGATATGGCAGGATATGGCCCACTGCCGCCAGCGCCAGCTGCGCGCAAGCGCATCATCCTCAAAATCCCGCTCCTGTCTGGCCCTTATAATCCCTTTGAGATTGTCTTTAGATGTCGGAGACTGAGTCAAAGAGTCAAAAAGGTCGTCATGTTATTCTATCGAAACAGTTGTAATGGAAAGACCGTACGCCTGCGTACATCGAGTGAGAAGCGGCTTAGAGAAATGACGAGACATAAGTCGCAAAACGGCTGACATGGTTGCGAGAACTTTCAACCCACTTGTTCATGGTCACCAACACCCATCAACGAGAACCGGTGACTCTACCAAACATCGCAATACGAGACGTCTATGGCCCAACAGTCCTCTGCGAATGCGTGGTATCTTCTATCTGTGACCGAAACTGCGATGATCGCCAGGCAGCGAAGGAAATGTCATCGAAGGAAACGTCATCGGGTTCAAGTTCATCGTCATTGGGGTCGACCGCTCCTCGTAGATCGAGGAGACAGCGCGAGATGAGAATGGACGAGATGCTATTGCTGATGTCAGATTAAGGCAGCGTGGACAAAATGATGCGCAGAACGCACGGTTCGACGAATAACGTCACGACGTCGCCATATGACTAGGGCAAACATCGTCAGACACGAATTTTGTAGTGCGATGTACGACGAAACAGACCGTGTATAGCCACATCACGATCGCGAGAACATTCAACGGCAGTGAAACACTGAGAGCACATCATCAGGACCGCTGCCATGGTCAATATTTCAAACCCCCATACGCAAAATATACGAATTCTGTAGCATAATTAGCATCGAGTGATTTTTGTCTTTGATGGGCCAGCTCACCATTGTCCAGCAACATTTTGCTCGTAGACCTGTGGTCCTATACAATTTTGACAGCTTTGATATGTTCTCTCGTGTAGTACCATAAAGCCGCCAAACAGACCATATCGGCTGCTATAGAACAAGTGCGCGTGAAGATGACCACTGAGATCGTTATTATCAGATATTGATATTCTCAGGTATAAAGAGAATACTTACTTCTGAGGCATAATCAGATAGTGGTGGACGAGCAGCATAGGAAGGTAGCTTACTTGTCGTTGATCGCATTAGATAATCTTGAAGTAGTTGGACAACCGTGTACGTTGTCCTCGCGTATGTTAACGCTCTCCGTCGAGTAATTGACCTGCGAACGCTGAATGAGCGAAGCCAATTTATCTGAGCATGATTATAGACGCACAAGTTTGCGATAAAAGGGATTATACCGAGCATGATGGCCACAGTTGTTGGCCTCCAATCCCGAGCACTCACAGCGAAGACACGGTCGGCAGAGAACACTGCGCAGAACCCGATAAGATCATATCGCACCAATCGCAAGGACTACCTACCAGCAGAGAAAGCAAAGAATGCAAGCAGCATAGCACTGTCAATTCCAATAGCGATTGCGCAACTGGGCAATCACTAGTATATGATGTGATCGGATGCTGCGCGATGTAGCATTTATTTACCTCTAATTCAGACCTGAGATGGCCGTACTTATAAGCGATACCGGATACCCACCTTCTCAGTCGGTTTAAAGGGAGGAAAGAAAATAAGCGACTGAACGGTGACCCAGAGCAGCAGCGCGTAACGGTTAACAAGGAAATTGGCTTCAGCTATTGACATATCGCTTCTCCACACCAAGCGGACTTCGCGCAGAAACGTCACGGCATAGTCATAGCACGCCATTGCTGCAGGTATGCATTACAACATATCCCTGATCCACGCTAGTGTCAATAATTGCGCACTCACTGAGTATAACCACATCATGTTGTATCGGACTACATCCAGGTCCCTAGAAGACCAGATAAATCGTGAGCATTCTATCACGCGTTGTGCGAATGCAGTATACCTAGCTGCTTTGGTATTGAATGATGAGGCCGGTATCGAAGACATCTACATATGCAAACGCGCAGAATGGACTGAGATCTACAGGTGTGAAGCAGGAGGCGAGGTCCAAGGCGCATGGTGTTGAAAGGCCTTCTTATTAGTCTATTCTACCATCCAGAGATCAGTCACATTGGAAGCAAAATACGGAGCCGATATCACTCACGTTGATAATCACGAAGGAGGTCTAGAGCGGTGAGAGGATTGGGAGCAGTAAGAATACTACATAAGGCTGGTGTGGCGCACCGTGATTCATGTGCAAGGAATCTCCGTTGAATGGAGAACTGCCTTACGAACAATCCATCAACAACCTTTTTTGATAAATATCTGACAGCGCTACTGAGGCCTGAGGACTGCACCTTCAAGACAGCCTCACCTACTAACGCGACAGATCGACTCAACTCATGCGCCATCCCACGTCCGTGCAAGTCGATCTCGGATCCATATAACCTAAACCGACCGACATGCAGAAAAAAGAAGGTTGGGTGCTGAGTCCAAAACCCCAATCAAAGCCGGGACACTGCAGCACAGATTCTACTGGTTGAAGAAGCTCCGTTAAGGCCACGGTAGGAGTATGTGGTGTATCCATGTATTGGAAGAGCACCTAGAAGTAGCTTGCATCCATCTAAGAGCTCTAATCAATGTCAATGGTCATTAAGCATACATTTTTTTTTTTGTGTACAATTTATATCCCGCCCCGAAGGGGCGGTCGGAGGTGTGTAAATACATGTCATGTAACAACGGAGGACCAGACGCATCTGGGGGCGAAGAAGCTTAACGTACGGACACCAGGTCCCCACGGACGCAACAGAGCAGGCGTATAGTAGAAGGGCACGAAGCCCGGTAAGCTGTGTCATGGACCACACAAACGCCGACAACCTAACATATGCATATGCCCGACCAACACGAAAACCGCGCCTCGGCCAGTCCGTTGACTCGTTAGAAACACTGTTTAGGGGGGATCGAACCTCCAAGATACTCCCACCTAACTAACCTCGTCACCCCTCTTGAGGGGGGGAGTTACCCAGTTGACTTTGAGGAGAGCTCGGCGGACCAGGGTTAGTGAACTGCACGACGGCGGACCGAAGGGCGGAAATGAGTTGGCAGCCAAAGAGATGTCGGGGCGGAAGGGGAGGAAACCAGAGGGAGTCGACAGTAGGAATGGGTGATGTGCGGCGAACCCTACCACGCAGCAGGCTGGATAAAAACTGATCCCCTGCATTTAAGTGTTGCTACGCCGGCATGTTGACCCCGTATTCGGTGCGGGCATGCCTTGTGGTGACGGAGGGGAGCGGACGGGGGGCGCTAGAAAAGAAGAAGGAAGGAACGTGGTGGAAATTAAAGTCGCACTCGCCCCTACATAGCAACATCCGAGTCGCCAGTAGAGGGCAGCGCGGGGCGCTCGAGAGAGGAGGTCGGAGCGGGGCCAGCGCTCCGGAAAGAGGTGCGTTTGGGGCACTGGTCAGAGTCGGCATGGTGGAGACCACGGCAGTTCACGCAATGCGTGTGAGCACAGGGTTCGGAGGCGGCGCGATTCTCCTTCGCGCACATGGCGCACCGAGCGCGGTGCACCGATTCGAGATGGCGGCCAGCACAGACATGGCACCGGGGCGGCTTCGTGCATCCTGCAGCGAGGTGGCCATAACCCCAGCACCTCGTACACTGTCGGAGGCGCGGCTTATCACACCAGCGCGACGTGGTGACGGGAGTACCGAAAGCGAAGAGGGGGGTCTGAAGGAGGGCGGTGAGGATGGAGCCATCCGGGTCTTCGAAGCCGAGGACGACGGACGAGCGAGCACCGTCGATTTGCTCAGGTCGACGTGCCCAGCGCAGAGGTTGGGTGATGCGGAGGCGTGCAAGCACGGGGTTCTTCACGAGCTCGGTCGACAGAGTCGACGTCGAGTGGACAGCGTCACCTGGATCTGTCCTGGTGCTGACGTTGCCGATGAGGACCCTAGACCACTTGACGTCTCTGGAGACGTGTTGGTCCGGGTCGAGCTTGAGGGCAGCACGCATGGTCAGGAGGTGTTCGTCGATGCGGCGGTATGAGGTGGTAGCGGGAAAAGCCAGGACGATGTTGCCAGAGGAGCTCGGGTAGGCCGTGAGTGCAGCCAGTCCTCCAGCAGTCGGTATCGCAGCCAGTGCTGCATTCACATCGCTGACAAGTTGGGCAGGGGGTGTCTGAAGCAAGTGTGCCGGCGCGGAGCCAGCAAAACGAACCACATACCTCAAAGGCTCGGGGGCGCGCTTGGGCCCAGGAGCCTTCGGGGGAGTGGGTGGATTCGGGGTCGTCACGGGAGGAGCCGGACGATATGGGGCGGCTGCTGCCGCGTACGAGCGCTTCTTGGGAGTGCCACGTACCTGAGGTTTGGGAGGAGGGGGGGCCTTCACCTGCGACGGGGGAGTCACAGTCGCCATTCGAGTCTCCAAGGCATCAAGCCTGGCATCGAGGGCGGAGCGAAGGTCCTGGAGGGCTGCGGTGAGGTCGGGTCCAGTGGTCGGAGGGGGGGATAGGACAGGGGTGGGTTCTGGTCGAGAGGTGAAGCCGACGGTGGGGAAGGGGTTGTATTTGTCCGTGACAGCCCTAAGGCGCTGTTTATGGAGATCGTCCAGGTCAGGGTTGCGTCGGGTCAACAGCTCTGCACGGCTGATGACTCGAGACACTGCCTGATGAATCGCAAAAGCGGCATCGACCAGAGAGTCGATGTCAGTGAGCAGCTCAGAGGGTCCCTGAGCCTGCCATTGCCGTAAGGCCTGTCGGACAGCCAGTGTAAGTTTGGGGGTGTAGTCTGTGTGTACGAGTTCCGTTGACGAGGAGGACAAGCCCCCGGCGCTAGCGGAAGGAGATGGTGGTTGCGGTTCAAGATCCATGCATTAAGCATACATGAGCACACATAAAACAACCCCGCACTTTAGATCGAAGTATGGGCGAATGAGAAAAGCCAGAAGCGTGGGTCGAGTTTGAAGCAGCTGAGAAGAGCGCCCGAGAAAGTCGTGAGCGTCTCGCCCTCTTCCTCCCACCGCCCACCCTCTCTGCCTAGTCTCTGCATGCTGTCGATGCAAACTAGATCCTAACTTATTATAATACAAGCTCCGTAATTACGACCGCACGTCTTCATAATCATGAAAATCAGCCAGAAAATAGCGCAGGCGGAAAAGGAGGACCGCATCTGGTGGTCTTTTGAATACTTCCCGCCTCGGACGGCCCAGGTACGGTTCATGAAGCTCAGCCTGCGGGCCTTCCAACGTCTATTGCTTGATAGGGTCTGCAAAATCTGCTCGATCGCATTGAGCGCATGCGAGCGCTCGGTCCGGAGTTCATAGACATTACATGGTGGGTACTGGTCGAAATACGGCAGGCAGGTCGTGCGCTGAGACGATTGCAGGAATGCTGGCGGCCGCACGTCAGACCTCACGTCCGAGATGGTCAAGACATGTCAGAAGCTCATTGGCATCGAGACATGCATGCACCTAACTTGCACGAATATGCCGAAGGAGAAAGTGGACATTGCCCTGAGTGTAAGTCAGCTCAGCTGGTCCACGATAAGTCGCGTAATGGCTCCCCTGTTCGCTGTTAGGAAGCCAAGGAACATGGATGTCGCAACATTCTTGCTCTGCGTGGAGATCCCCCGATGGGCAAGGTCGAGTGGGAGGCGGTCGAGGGCGGATTCGTCCACGGCATTGACCTCGTTCGTCATATCCGCAGCTTATATGGCGATTATTTCGATATCGCCATCCCTGGTTTCCCCCAACACGAGCTTCTCCCTCCCGAGGAGTTCCAGCAGGAGTTAAAATATCTCAAGGAGAAGATCGACGCCGGTGCGAACTTCATTTTCACGCAGATGTTCTACGATGTCGAGCTCTTCATTCGTTGGGTGCATGCCGTGCGTGCTGCTGGTATCACGGTACCCATCATTCCGGGTATCGCGCCGATTCAGACATGGAACGGGTTCATGAAAGCGACCAGCCTCGCGAAGACGAAGATTCCCCAGTTTTTCATGGATGCGCTTGAGCCGCACAAGAACAACGACGAAAAGGTTCGAGCGATTGGCATTAAGCTCGTTGCAGACATGTGCCGCCGCATATTGAAAGAGCCGCTCGGCATCCGGGGCCTGCACTTTTACACGATGAACCTGGAGAAGGGTACTCGTATGTTATTGGAGGAACTGCATCTCGTTCCGCGCGTTCAAACGATCAAGCCTCTTCCTTGGAGACAGGCACGTCTGCTCATAAGTGTCTACCGCAGCTTTACTTAATTCTTGGTCTTTGCAGTCCCTCACTCCCAATCGACGCACTGAGACCATCCGTCCCATATTTTGGGCGAACAGAACCAAGTCGTATCTGTCGCGCACAGAGAATTGGGATGAGTACCCCAACGGCCGATTCGGTGACTCGCGCAGTCCGGCATATGGCGAACTCGACGGATACGGAGTGTGGATCAAGCAAAGTGTAGGCTACCCTCCTAGTCATTGCAGTGCAAATTGATGTTAACGCCACGTCTATGAAAACAGAAAGACGAAGCACTTCAGCTGTGGGATCGTCCCACAACCGTGGTCGACATTGGCAAGCTGTTCGCTCAATTTTGCATAGGCAAATTACCGGCACTGCCATGGTCAGACGAGGCGCCGTCCTCGGAAACATCAGTCATTTCAACACAGCTCGCAAAGTTGAACGAGATGGGGTTCCTGACCATCAACTCACAACCCGCAGTCGATGGGGCACGGAGCGATGACAGGATCCATGGTTGGGGTCCCTCAAACGGATATGTCTACCAGAAGGTCAGTATACCCGAAAGGCAACCCCAATAAGCATGGCGCTGATGTCGCCTGTGCGTTCAGGCATATTTGGAGTTCTTTGTCTCTCCGGAGCTTCTAGACGCTCTCCTCCCCAACATTGAGCGCGACGTCAACATCACATACTACGTTCTCAACAAGCGCGGGGACTTGCGAACAAACACCCATTCAGACGGGCCCAATGCTGTCACGTGGGGGGTGTTCCCGAACAAAGAGATCATCCAACCGACAATTGTAGAGGCTATCAGCTTCATGGCTTGGAAGGTAGGTGCAAGCGACGTTGTCGCGTTGCATGCTGTTGACCAAAAGTATCGTTCAGGATGAGGCATACGAGCTCGGACGTCAGTGGAGCAACTACTATGAGCCAGATTCGCCCACGCGCAAGCTCATCAACGACATCATGGATACGTTTTACCTTGTGAACGTCGTGCATAATGATTACAAGAAGCCACAAGCTATATTCGAGCCTTTCTTCAAGGCAGGCGCGGAATTCGCCTCCGCACACGGCCAGGCGCCACCAGTCCTCAACGGACATTGACCTCAGCTCTTCATATCATCTCCCCCTCCTCGATCACGTCTCAACACCATTGCTTTCACACCCAAAGCTTTATTTGTTTCCGGCACCGCCACTGGGTTCAACACCCCATTCGTTCGAACAATGGCCTGTGCAGTCTCATCCCGCTTCCAGCATCTTTTTGCATCTTCGTAGCATTTACTCAGCATGTATCGTCAGCGGTCTCTTGCATCAACTGCATCCGTCATCCGCCCCGCAGGGGCACTGCATCCAACTGCATGTATCTTATTGATTTTCGACAAGTGTGGAATGAAAACGTCTCTCGGAGTGATCATCCTCAAGATTCTTGGGCGATAGGATCTTGATCACCGAGGTCTAAGTTAATGCTCCGATGATAGTTATGGTATCGAAGTAAGGTGCCAGCTGCCTAATAACTACCTAATTTGCAGTGGCTTCGTGCAGGAGTAAGGTGCGCTGATGTCGTAGCTTTCCTCGTCAATGCGTAATTCGTCTATGCTGCCACTGTAGTAGAAATCTGTGTTTCGATTTAAGCGAAACCTGCCCATCGCCTGGCTGTCAGCGCGGCAAGCGCAATGAGATCCAGGCATTCCTTGCCGGCTTGCATGAGTCAGGAGTCGGGTTCGAGTCTGGCTTACATGTGCTTCCGCATCTCGCCAAGAAGCAAATCCTCCCCTGCCAGCGAGTCTGAGTGTCAATACGCTAACATTATATTCAGATTTGCTGTGTAGGACTGATCTAGGAGAGGCATGGCTGGCCTCGAACTCAGTCACTGCCACATCATCAGTTCATTGCAATGGTTGGACTATCACCGAGTCACCCATCTGCACCACTATCACGCCATTGTTCTGTTGCATTGTCATGGCACGGCCATGAAGCACAGGGACAATGGCAGTCCTAGAATGTGCGTTACCGTTGCTATTTTCCAATTCGCAAACAGTGATATCCTGCTGCCCATATATGTGCAACTTCATTGCCACACATAGCATTACATATCATATATATAGCCGACATAGATACCTATCAACCTATATCGGCAACCGCGAGCCACTTTGCATCTCGAGTCTCAGCCCTACCCTCCCGAGTTGAACATCCGCCAATGGCACTGAACATTGAAGAATTGGAGATATAGTAAGCGTACAAGCTTCCCGCGTATCCAAGTTGCACTATATTTCAGGTCCTGCCGTTTCTAGCTGCGTCGGCAGCTACTGTGCTCAAGCGGCATGCGGTCAGTCACCGCCAAACATCTCAAGATCTCAATGATCGTTAACCCTGTTCAACGTGTCCATCTGTTGCCTGCAGTGGTACTGTGCTATGAATATGCTCTCACAGTAGATCAAGAGGCCCGCCTAATATGGAAAGGAAAGATGTCGATGTCTCCGGCCGTTTTTCTCATTAATCGTTATGTGCCGCCAATCTGGGTCATTGCCGTCCTGCTTAGAGTGTATCATGACCCTCAGACAACCCAAATCGTGAGTGTATCTGCTGAGTCACTGTGGATGAGTCTCACGGTATATAGTAGAGGTAAGGTTGACCCGAGCCTCTTACTCGTCCTACATCCTAAAGAAATTGTTGTGATCATGTTCAGCTGTGAGGTGGTGGAGGTCATCGAAGTAATCTCTCTGCTTACATTTTTCGCCGTTTCTGCCGGTGGGTAGTGCTCACCGTGACTCAGCGCGAGACTCATGGTGAGCTCCGTGAAGCCTTCTCCGGTGTTCGTGTTTGGGCTTTGACTGGTCGGGATTGGAGGCCAACAACAGTGACTTTAATCTTTGGTATAGTCCCGTTTGTCGCCAACGTGGTGAGTTGATTCGTCTTTTTCTGCTTGTATACGCGAGGATTACCTCTAAATGATCAGGTCAACTTTTCCACACAACGAGCGCTACATGGTCCGACGCTGTACTCATACGGCCTGGCTTGTGTCAACGAAACGAAACTATCTGTGGACGTGAACCGCAAGTGCGTGTACCCACTTTATCGTCACTTCTGACTCGAGTGATATGTTTTTGATGCAGAAGTAGGTAACCAAGTCCTTCGTCGGGATTTATTGGGAACCTTGTGCACTTGTTATGCAGTGATTATATTCACCCGCACTTGTGCCATGATCTCTGATCTGGTCTATCTGGTGGTGACGTGGTATCATTCCCGGGAACATCTGAAAGCTGTACGAAGCCTGGGGCATCATACATCTCTTGCGAGTCTACTGATGCGCAACGGTGAGCGAGTAATTCTATTTAGCGAACTGCTCCCTCATGAGCTCCGGACTATCGCAGGATATCTATATTTCGCGTAGGAGCATATGAATGATTCGCTGATGAGCCACCACTAAGCGTCTCTTAGCATCATGCTCATCTTGAACGTGATCGATATAGTTACGTGGATTTATTGGGTTTGTTCTGCTACACGCTGCAGGATCTTCAATTGGCTCACACAAGCTTCTCCAGTCTTACGCCGAAGTCATAACAACATTCATGGTGCCGTACGTTTAGCAATTTGTCATGACGCTCTCGCTGAACTTACCTCAGCATATCATCAATTCTGATCTCGCGGTGTTTGCTGGACCTGCGTAACGCTATCGACAATCATGACGATGATATCGACGTTAGTGATATATAATTCGAATTGCCGCCTTCACGCGATACGTCATTTGTCCAGACAATCCGGAAAGGGATGCTCAGAGTAGCTTTTTACAACTGCCTTCCATCGCAGGTGAGTATATGACATTGCAGGATCCTTGATGGCTCTGCGTTTACAATGTCGCTACAGAATAAGCATGCGCTACGCATGCGAACTAGAACTTATAGAGGCTTGTATCAGATCACGTCCAATAGCGCGCTGCTTGTGCCTCCAGAGATCAAACGATTTTCGTGCCGTTGAGCAGCCGCATCAAGTTGATTTATCCACCAAAAGCTGAGGTGCACGGATAGCGAGCAGTTCACTGTTTGATCCTTGCAGACCGGACAATCGCTCACTCCGGACCATTACATGGTGTAAATGATGCGACACGAACTATATGAAGGCTTCGTAAAGCGCAGGATCATGGCAGGCGAAAGAAGTCTTGATAAACGACCCTGTCAATCTGTTAATCTCTCCATCTCGAAGCCGAAGAGGCGTAATAAACTTCATACTTATCGAAACGAAATTCTACTATGTGAAAGGCTCCCATAACGGCTTCAGCGAGACAGCAATTCGACCTTGAGAGGCATCTGCGCCTTGATTGTGTCCTGGCCAACTGTCGGGTACCATACAATTGCGACGTTCCAGAAAATATCCTTATCCGTCAAGGCAAACTTGAAGGTCGAGAGAAGAACAGACAAAACGATCTCTTTAGGATCGAAATGCATGTTAGACGCCAGCCTCAACATGCACGAATACTATAAACGTACTCATTTCCATCTCGGAGAACTTGAATCCGCTGCATATTGATGCTCATAAGCGAAATCGCTGACTAATAGTCGATATACTCACAGGCAACCGCGCTTGCCTCCAAGGAAAGTCATCCTAAACGAATATGAGAATTGAAGTGTATTGCACTCGAGTAAACTCACAGATTGGAGTAGACTCCTGGGATGCGAGCCTCCGTCACCGATGTAGGAAGCGGAGACAGCCAGCGTTCTGGCTTCCATTCGAGAGCATCTTCTCCCCACAGAACCTTGTTGGCGTTGCAGCCCAGCACGCCAATAATAATTTCCATGCCTGCCGTGACGGGGATTTCTCGAATCAACTTGCCGTCTTTGCCGCACACAGGTTCCAACAACGGAAGGACGACATCCTTATTGGGTCTGCAAAAGAGGATATATTTTCAGCGGAAGAATGATCGCTTAAGTTAACTACACGCACACACGGGTCAGATAAGTGGCCGGAGGATAGCTAAATAAAATATGTGTAGTTGAGTAACATATGAGAGGACATCAAAGCTAGATTCTACACTCACAGCCGCAGAGTCTCTCTGCATACAGCATCCAAGACAGGAAGACTGTTCAGCACGTCGTAAGGTATGCTATCTGCAGCATGCGCGGCCAGGACCTCAGCTCGGAGTTTTTCTTGCATATCTGGATGTTCTGCCAGCAGCAAAAGGATCCGTGATAACATGCTAGATGTCGAGTCCAGAGCTCCAATTATCAGGGTACTGTGACAACGTGAGCAGACGGCCCAATGTCGCTTACGTGCATAACGCGCAACTTACGACATCTGAGCAATCAACTCGTCCTCCGGTAGTTTATCCTTATCTGAGGCCAACATGTTCTCTTTGACTGTTAACGATATTAACATAACGCTGAATGAGCAAATAGGAATGGGACCTTACGTAAAATACTCATGACATCCCGTCCCTCTCCGACCTGCTGTACCATGGCCTTATCACCATGGACGAGAGCGTCCTTCTTCTGATTATAAATCTCTTTCGATCGTTCTGTCATTGTATCTACGATCGCTTTGACTTCACGGACCCACTTGCTGGGAAAGCGGTCCATGATATATCGTTGCAGCCACGCCGGACCGACCCCCGAGACGTAAGGTAACAACGGACGAAAAACGCTGGTTTCTTGCAAAACAGGGCTAGCGAGACAACCCAGTTCATGGTAGACAGGTTGAGCGAATTCGGGTCAGTCGCGCGTTTTGAATGAATGAAACTTCGCGGTATACTCACAGGAATGCCTTGACTGCTTCGGCGTATGCGTCTCTCTTATCATTTGTGAGAGGATCAAAAGAATAACCAAGTCCCCCTTGTCCGATCAACTCCAACGCTGCCCGACCTGTCCAGCCCAGTATATCGATCTCATGCTGGCCATCGCGGACACGGGTTGCGATCGCGTCCCGAAGCTGTGTGAAATATCAGCCGCACTGCTTGTCCAACTGAATTTCCGCTGACCTTATGGGCGACTGTGTAGAATATCGGGAGCATCTCACGCATGTGGTTGACTGTAAAGGCCGGGCTGAGCGACTTCTTCTGCTTCTGATGATGCTCGCCTGCAGCCATAAATACAATGAGCATGGAAGCCTTGAAGATCAGATTCACTGGCATACCGACGGTCGAAACCAACGAAGGCCCGAAGACAGTGGCATTAGTTCTATAGTTTGATGAGAAGCATGAAAAGCTATGCAGACTTTCGTACGCACTTCAAAAATATCTTGGTCTCCTCGAAAGTGCTCTCTTCCTTGATAAGCATGTGGTGCAAGGCTCTAGGGTCAGCTACATAAAGCAAAGGCATCTGATGGCATGCATGCGTCAGTTAGAGGGAATCAAGGGTCGAGCATGTACTCATACACCAGCAAGCCCGTGCAGCCTTACAACAAGGCCATAATCCAGTGCAATATGTCTCTGGAATTTTCCTCCAAGGCGGTCTATGTACTGGCCAACATTACCTGAGGGATGTCATGAGTTAATGAACAATTCACGGAACGTGGTTGGCTGCAATACCCTTCCAGAATGACTCCGGTTCGGGGCCCGGCAGGTTCTTCAGGATCGAGTTCACTTTGCGATGTCGCAGATACGTCCAGAATATCCATAGTACGCTGGTAAGTGCGACAACCGTTGGGATCATGTCCATAGGGATAATTATCTGAGCGTAAAAAGCCATCAGCAAAGTGTTCAGCGGTCAATGTTCAGCCAGATGATGATCTGAAATGCATACGATGACCATGATTATATACATCCAGACAGCCCTTTACGTGATGTTGATATGTAAATGAGTTAAGATTTATAATCAACGGCCGTAGCGTCAGGCGTCAGTGCAACAGCAAGAGCGGAAGATCGCGTCCCCAATGGAACCAGAATATGCACGGTTATACTTGATGGGAGGTCGATGCAACATTTTCATATCAGCAGCTAGTGCCGAGAAATATGGTGATTCTGCACACTCCTAGGAAGCCATACAGGCACAACAGTCATTGGCACAGCAGATGAGCTACGAAATATGCTCACAGGTGCATAACATTGGCATCCCAATCTCCTATACGCATACCGCTGGTGGTGTCCACACACCGTCGGTGTCGGTGAGCGGCGCGAGAAAAGTCCGAGTGCCATAGGTGAATCGTGCCATGACACCATTCGGTGTGGCATGATGCGAATCCGACAAATCGGATGCGACCCAAGGATCACCGCGCCTCCAGTGTTTCATATATCGGTGATGCTGGTAGCGTGCCGAACGGGAGATCTTGTACACTTTTGCACCGAAGGATCACATTTCGGACCGGGCACATGTTTGGGGCGGATGTCGGAAAGAACGTCAAGGTCAACACGGACTCGATATAATGCCGTCACTGGCCACATATGTTTCACATGCGGAGGAGAACTTGAAGTGGCTGCGGCCTGCTTGATATCGTTAGCCGTGGGTCGCTATAATATGCGAATATGGTTTATAAATCACTCACCATGCACGGCCGGGGGGGGGTGGAGTGAGTGGGGGTTATTACCGTCTCCGACACGTAGCAGCAATCAATAGCGCAATCGGCACACGCGCCGGCAGACAAGCCGCCATCAGTCCGGCATGAGTTTTATTCCGAGATTCTCTGCACCAAGAAGACCGTCAATTGACCGGCAACGAGAACGTACGAAAGCATCGGTTTGAAAAGAGATATACTTCTGCCACGTTCATCCAGTACAGTGATTGAGTCGGTGCAAGCCCTTCCGAGTCAAGAGCGTTTACCTCGAAAGCGCCGTTGGAGTTGGGGCTGCATCATGAGATCGCCATTATAGGCTTAGAGAACGCGCGTACTTACAGAACAAGGGTCTCATGAGTACAGCGCACATCCTGGACTTTCAACAAGACAAATAAGCGAACCCAGCATAACAGCTCCATAGACAATATGAATCCAGGATTAGCCCAGGGTCACCTTTTGAGATTGAGGCGAAGTTCCAATGGACAGAGAATGCAATTCGTAGACACGTTCATATGCTCTAGAGGTGTGTTTCAGACGGAACCAATGATATGTTCACAGATCTACTCCTTTGAGAAAGGCTAGAAGTTTCTGAAAGTAGACCTCGCACCTTTAAAACAAAGCCATGGGACTCTCTATTAGGATTCAAGTCAACAAGGCGCAGAGTAACGCGTAGGAAAGTGCAAAACAGACCTTTTCCACATTATTCTTTTGATGGGAAAGGCCGAATTCTTCATACACTTCCTGCATGACCGGATAATGCTACTCACCGTGAGCCATAGCTGAGATATCCACAGAGGACCCAACAGAGCATGTATGCTGCGCCGAGGGACTTCGAATGACAATTGATAGATCTGCATCCTCCGTCACCGTCCCTTCAATATGATGTGCCCCACAGGCCGATGATGCTCCGCGGGATTAGTCCGCATGCGGCCGCTGTCTGTAGCGCCCCTGCCCAGAACGTTCCGTTCCCCACCGCACACGGTCCGAGCTGTCCTCTCCACGCCATCTCGTCCAATGTCCAGACTCGACACGCCTATAAGAGCACGCCTGTGCTCGGCAGAATTGCCCCTTACAACCTTTCCTCTTTATTCCACACCCAAGAGATACCCAAAATGACCTCCGCAACTAGCAACGACACTTCCCCGCTTTTTCTCGGCCTTGATCTTTCCACCCAAGGACTCAAGGCCGTTCTCATCACGGAGGACAGCGCTGTTGTCCATGAATCCGCTGTTCACTTCGACCGTGACCTTCCGCACTATGGCACAACCAATGGCGCAATTCGCGGGCCTGGCGCAGGCGAGGTGACCTCTCCTGTCCGCATGTGGCTCGAGGCATTCGACCTCGTCACGAACAGGATGAAGACTGCTGGCATCGATTTCCAACGTATTCTCGCTGTCTCTGGAGACGGGCAGGTAAATAGACTCGATGTACAAATAGACGTGTACTGAGTTCGCTTCATTTCCGTCAGCAACATGGGTCCGTCTACTGGTCGCTACAAGCCGAGCAAATGCTTGCCTCCCTTGACCCAGAGAAGCCCCTCGATCAACTGGCTCCGGGTGCATTCTCGCTCCCCAACGCCCCCATCTGGCAGGACTCATCCACCGCCCGGGAGTGTCGCGAGCTGGAAGCCTCAGTGGGCGGCGCGCAAGCTTTAGCGGATCTGACCGGCAGCCGTGCCTACGAGCGTTTCACCGGAAACCAAATCAAAAGAGTACGTCTGCGGTGATGTCGTATTGCGCCCGTCCGAGGTTGACGCGAAGTTTCGCAGATCCGTCGCCTGCACCCAGAAGCCTACCAGTCGACTTCACGGGTCTCGCTCGTCTCGTCGTTCATGCCTTCGCTCTTCCTTGGGAAGATCGCGCCGATCGAGCTGTCGGATGCAAGCGGGATGAACCTGATGAACGTGTTGACCTACCAGTGGGAGGATCGGCTGCTGGAAGAATGTGGCGGGCCGGAGCTGCGGGCGAAGATTGGTCCCGAGCCCGTGCCTGGTGGTACTGTGCTGGGCAAAATTAGTCCTTGGTGGGTTGAGCGCTGGGGTTTCAACCCAGGTATGTGAAGAAGCCAACCGTCGCTGATACACCACTGATGACTTGTCTTAGAATGCCTGATCGCACCGTTCACGGGTGATAATCCCGCGACCGTGGTAGCTCTTTCGACACCGGGAGATGCCATCCTGTCCTTGGGGACCTCGACGACCCTGCTCCTCTCCATTCCGCCCTCAGACACTCCACCCAAGTGCTTCACCACATCCCACTTACTCACCCACCCCACCACGATCGACGCCTACATCGCCATGCTCTGCTATAAGAACGGCGCGCTCGCCCGCGAGCAGGTCCGGGACCGCTACGCCGGCGGACACTGGACGCACTTCAACGAACTCGTCGAGCAGCGGCCCGTCGGCAACGATGGCTTCATGGGCTTCTACTTCCCGTTGCCCGAGATCATCCCGCCCAACGTCCAAGGCAACTTCTTCTTCCACACCTCGCCCTCGGGCGTGCGCCCGCCGTCCGTCACGTCGGTGCCCGAGGCAGAGATGCCCGCGGTCGCGCACCCGCGCGCGATCCTCGAGTCGCAGTTCCTCTCTATCCGCTCGCGCATCGCAGCCATCATGCCCGAGGACGCGCCGCCGCTGCAGCGGCTTGTGATCTGCGGCGGGTCGTCGGAGAACGCGGTCATCCAGCAGCTCGCGGCGAACGTGTTTGGCATGCGCGCGTTTGTTGCGGGGAAGGAGGGCGCGGCGGAGGGCGGTGCGCAGCTTGCAAGGTACGCGTGGTGGCGCGCGCTGAATGGAGGTGCGGGCACGTTTGAGGAGATGCGTGCGGCGGATGCTGTGGAGGAGCGCATGAGGTGCGTCGCGGAGCCGAGGGTGAAGAATTGCGCGGTGTATGCGGGATTGGTGGATGCGTATCGGGAGTGTGAAGAGCGTGTTGTAAAGATGTGTGCGAGCTATGCGAACTAGGGGCTCGAGGTGGTGGATGTGGTCGTTTTCTTTGTTTTTTGCTTTCTGATGCTAGATCTGGATCTCATTGTATAGTAAGTCATGCATATTAGCCCCTTCGCCTCGTCGCTCTCGTAGTTTTGCGTTCGCCGTACAAGATAAAAGTGTACAGCATAGAAGTATACTCATTTTCCTGGAACCTGTAGATATGCCGGGTGCAGCAACTGGAGAATAATGTCATATGTAACCTGCAGATTGTTTGAGGTCGCCATTCCCGTCGATGTGCTCGTACCTGAGATGTGAGCGCAATAAGTGCCGGGCGTCGACGCTGTAAATGAGCACGGTACAAGTTCTCTTGCCTGATTGAATAGTTATTAAGTGACCGCATATATCATGCCTCGGTGTACTTACACTGGTTCGTGCTGTTTCTACTCTGCGTCATTCAGCGCTGTACATACTATCCCTGTGAATATCCATCCGCTGGACGATGCATTTCAGCTCTCGAGATGATTAATCTTTACGGTGGGCAACACAACACCGTCTAAGCTACTGTGAACTGCATATAGAAGGTGAACACTTTGTCAGATGTGAGTCTCTGACATGTAGATAATGCGTGTTATGTCTGCTCACTGTTGCACTATGCAATCAAAGAACTGACAAGATGCGGTGTAACCTCGCTAACGCATCGGGTTCCCTCGTCTATCTGTCTCTCGCCATATTGGTGTAAATGCACATCCATTCCGACCTGCTACCGTACAGACAGAACTGTGAGATACACCAATCATCCGCCCATATGCCTCACCAAATTCGACCATTGTCTAGTCGACACACCTGGTCGTACCACATACTACCCTCAGCGGCAGAGTCTCCCGGGGCGGCCTGCCCTGGACCCGAGTCACGCACGAATCGTCGTAACGTTTGCTTGCACGCTGGTATCGTCAATGTCGCCATGCAGATCCCATAATGATACTTTGGCTACGCTTCGAGAGTAGAAAATTGACGACCCACTCTTGATCGAGACCGTCGGCGGCGAGGGTAAGAGGTCATGACTGGAACTTCCTCATTGTCTGGATCTCGTCGAGGAGGGCTTGCAGCCTATCATCGTCAATCTTCACGAGACTATTGGATTGTTTACTCTGTGAGTACTTGACGAATGTTCGTAGGCGAGCGTGGCTCACCTCGGGATGATGCTCTTCGCCTCCTCAGCGTCGGCAGGGCAAAGGTTGGCTATCTGTGCGGTTTCAAACTGAGTCAGAGCAGGTTCTCTCCGAAGGGTCCTGTGCATGCGTCGGTGAGATTAATTTGACATGAGCGTGAAGAGGGTTCGTACTCTCGGACAGCGCTGGCGGAATCCGTGGTGTTGAACTTGGCGAACGTCTTGACGTACTCGAGGGTCTTGTTGTAAACACTGACTAGCGTGTCAGCAGTGTCGCATAGATTGCATGGCATTCATGACGCACGCAGTATCCGGGGCATCTTTATCTCTGTTCTCGAGCAGGTACTTCACTTCCGAGATGAGCAGACAACCAGCATTGTTGAACTCTGCACGATTAAATATGAATTTATTTCTTTTAACGCATAGAAAAGATGAGGTATACCAGGCCCAAGCTTCAGCACCGCAGCATCTTCCTCCTCAGGCTGGGGTCGGTGTCGCAGACGGGGAGGCATGCTGCTGGCGGTCAAAGACGAAGGCGGCTATTTGCATCTGTTAGTTTCCAAAGCCTTTAGATAACAAGTGCAAATAGATCCGGCCATCAATTGCGGGTGCAATCGACTATTGTGGCTACCACGCATGCCACTCGCAGCGATCCAGCTGGCACGCCGATACCCGCTCCTTATTGCCCCTTTCGCCTTATAGGAGGCACAAGAACGGCTCGGCCACGTCGCTGCACTCGGAAGAAGAGCACGAGATGGTGCAGACGTACGGTGTAGCGCCCGCAGAGGCTGAGCACGAGGACGTGCAGGCGAGAATAGAGAATTTGGGGGAGGGCGATGCTTTGCTGGGGGCGGAGGCGAGTGCTAGACGGTTGAAGAGAGATGGACATGCTACGCTGTCAAGTTCCGTGGGGAACCTAGCGAACACGATCATTGGGAGTGGTAAGTCACTCTGTGTACTTTATACCGACAGATCACATCATATTAATCTGACAGGAATGCTTACGTTCCCTCTGGTAAGTGTGGGTGGTTTTGATACATTCTTCCCTAACTGATGCCATCAACTTATGCAGGCCATGGCCTCCGCGGGAATTATTCCTGGCATCATAACTTGTCTCTTCTCGGGGGGCGTTGCAGCCTTCGGACTATACCTGTTATCTCTATGTGCGACCAAGGTGCCTCACCGCAGGGCTTCGTTCTTTGCTGTTGCTGAGTTGACGTTCCCACGAGCCGCTGTGTTCTTCGACGCCGCCATTGCGATCAAGTGCTTCGGTGTGTCAATCAGGTGAGCGTTGCCAACATTCCTGATCACATATGTAGCAGGCTCATTTGCCTGCATAGCTACCTGATTATTGTCAAGTCGCTCATGCCAAAGGTCGTCGCTGCTCTATACCATGATCTGGCATCGACTTCTCCGCCTGTATGGGCACAATCCGGCCGAGTATGGATTAGCATTATGATGTCGATACTTTTCCCACTGTCGTTTATGCGCAAGATAGACAGCCTTAGACATACAAGTTATATCGCTCTCTTCTCCGTCGGTGAGCCCTTTTTGCTTCGTCTTCTCATGCTTGGTGCTGAAGAACGTGCATTCGGAACAGCGTATCTGGTTGTTGTGGTCGTGGTGTGCTACTTCTTCCCTCTCGAAGGTACACCAGCTGCCGGCGATATACACCTGGTACATTTCAGCCCGAGCTTTGTCTCTACATTCCCTGTTCAAGTCTTCGCGTACACATGCGCTCAGAACGTACGTGTGATCGCGTCTGGTACCATGGTGCGAACGCTCTGACGCGACTTGCTATGTTGCTCAGATATTTCCAATATTCAATGAGATTAGATCCAACACGCAGACGCGAATGAACATCGTGATCGGGACTTCCATTGGATCGGCGGCGATTATCTATGAGGTCATCGCCATCTTCGGATATCTCACATTCGGCTCGAAGGTCAGCACACAATCTCCTGCTGAGGCTATCAGACTGTGATTGAACTTCTCGTCACTAGGTCGGCGCGAACATCATCGCAATGTATCCGTCCACTTCGCTGTTCATTGCAGTTGGACAACTTTCCGTCGCAATACTTGTGATGTTCTCGTATCCTCTGCAGGTGCATCCATGCCGAAACTGCCTGGACAAGGTCTTCCATATGGGGCATGTGTCGAAGCAGGTGACGGACGTCGAGGACGACGAAATTGAGGATGAGCATAGTGATAACACGGACATGAGTCCTCTCAAGCATGTGTTGCTCACCGTCGGCATTGTCGTGAGCGGATTTATGATAGCATACTTCGTTGACGACTTGCAAATGGGTGCGTGTCTAGTGCGAGACTAAACCGTGTTCAGTCGTTGGTCCTTTCTGACACTGGCTTCAGTGCTGTCATTTGTCGGGTCCACCGGGTCGACCACGATATCCTTCATCCTACCCGGGCTGTTCTACTGGCAGGTTAGCATCATTTTATCATTCGCTATCAGCGCATGTCCTAACCCATGCTCCGCGTCTCCAGCTATCGCAATCTGACCCGAGTGCGAGCAAGACGCTGTCGAGAGCGGCGCTCGCACTAGCGGTGTATGGCGTCTGTATATTTATTTTCTGGTGAGCGGCTCAATCATTCCACGTCAATAGCGAATGCTGAATTGACCACCCTCCCCATGCAGTTTGAGCTTTAACATCTACCAGGTCGTGCGACCGACCATTTCTGTGCACTGAAGTAGAGTGTTGTATTTACGTAGATGATTGGTTACATGCTATGCAAACCCGGACTTAAGTATGAGCGCTGAGCGTACGAGTTGATCGACGGACCGCAACGCGATGGCGCCGGTATGAACGTGACATTGGGCGCTTGTTACTTTGTCGGCGAGCGCTGTATGCTCAGCTTTCACTTACCCTCATGCCCTCCCTCTCCCTCCTCTTCTCCCCGTCCTGCTGACCACGTGAACGACCTCGCAACATCTCATCAGTCGGTGCGTTGTCCACGTCGCTCCCGTAGAGAGCATGTAGCACGCGCTATACGAGCTGAGCCATCTGGTCGTAATTGCAGGCAAAAGCTGCGCAACTCCAAATCCATTAGATCCTCTCGCGTGGCTGATATCGGCGTGGCAAGTATCGAAACTCCATCGATCATACTGCTAGCTGCAATGGCGACTGCGACTGTGAGCGCTGCTTCCCCTCCAGCGGGCACGAGCACGAGCGCACCAGAGATCCACACCAGACACTCGTTGTCGGCGAATGCGATAGGTCAATCTCCTTCGTTGAGCTCCTTCATTATGCAGTCCTCTCGAAACGGCTCTCCGGACGAGAACACTGCCGCGTCCTCGTCCAACGCTGCCGATTCTTCATCTGGGAGCACGGACGCTTCCACGGGGCCAGACCCGCAGATTATCGAAGCCCTTCGGAGCAAAGATCGTCTTTACGTACTGAAGCTGGGTGAGCAAATGGAGAGTCTCATTAATGAGCGAAGGTGAGTGTTTGTGCGGCTGCCGGCGTCGTGCGATCCTGATGTCTTCTCTACCGAAGGACTCGCCTCGACTTCACTCCCGCTACTTCTTATCAGCGTTTACTCGTACATCGGTGCTCTGCATATTACAACCTAGCACCTGAAAGCGACAATGCGACTAAGGTCATCACGGTGTACATTCGCTCGGAGAGCCGCATGTGAGTTTACCTTTCCCGATTCCACTGCAGACTTTCTCACCCAGGGCTGTCTGTTAGTCCTGCAAGACGAATGAGCGAGCTCGTGCCCGTGGAAGAATCCGCGCAGCCCGCATTCAAAATCATGACGCGAAGGACGGCAGAGGGTCCCAAGAGCCGGCAGACCTCCCAAGCGGGATCAGTCGCTGGTGAAGACGCTGAGCTCTCTGATGTAGAGCCATCTGAAACGAGCAGCATTGGTGGACGTAGCAACACAACTGGCAACAGCGTTAAAAGGCATCGTACTCTAGAAGAGCGCGAGGCGGCTTACAATGAAGCCCGGTCAAGAATCTTCATGGACTTCGAGGAAAAAGAGAAAGAGAAGGAACGAGATATGAGCGCCAACTCCTCCACTTTCAGCCTCGTCTCTGGCTCATGCTCCAATAGCGGCGACCGCGGAAGCAGTGTTGGCGACCTGGACGACTCAGCCAGCACTGTTGCAACGGAGAGCGAATGGTCCGGGCCTGTGATCCGCGACAAGAGGGATGGCCGGCGTGGGGGTTCATCTCGAGCAAACAGGCATTATAACGGCTCCGAAAGTTCGCGCAATTCCAGAGCGACATCTCCATCATTCAACTACGCCACTCTTTACGATCCGGTTGCTGGTCCTGAATATGGTGCACAACCTTCTGCTCCAGGATATTTCCCGCCGCCTTACATGTACCCGTATGGTGCCGTGGCGGGACAAATGCCAGGTCCTTACTATCCGTACTATGTACCGTACGGATACCCTCCCCTTCCTCACGATCCAAGTAACCCGATGGGTAACGATGCCATGTATTCTCCTTATCAGCCCAGCACGATGCCATACACAAATCCGTACATGTGGCAGCAGCCACCACCACAACAGCTCCCCCAGCCGCCACAGAGTCCTGGAAGTGCAACTCTAAACTTATCCTCCCAGGACTCCCAACCATCGTCTCCTCAACCCCAAAATGTACACCAACCTCAGCCGTTTCCGCCATACATACATCCAACCCCTTACAATCCGTACGCAATGCAGGGCTATCCTCCACCGCCCCCTGCTTTCCAGCATCCCGGGCAGTATGGCCCTCCGCCGCAGGCACCAGGCCAAACGTATATGCCCGAAATGGCAAACAACGGCTCTTACAGTAATGGAGCTAGTGACAGTGCTAACCACAGTCGAGATTCATCTAGGAGCAGCCATGGAAGTAGGCGCGGAGGCGCGCCACGGACTCGCGGCTCGTGGAGTTATGGCCCTGGAGCCGGTAACAATGGCTATATCTACAATGTCAACGTGATGGGTGGCGGCAGCGATGCTGTCGGACCAAGATTAAGTAACCGAAGGATATCCGGAACGTCCAGTGCTAGTGGTAGTACCGGCGCAAGAACACCAGGCGATGAGACGTCCTCAACTACGGTGAGTACCTGCTCTGTTTCTTCCTATGTACCTGTATATTCCAGTTCTGAGCTCCCTCACTCTACATGTTCCCGGTTATGCTTGTATCTTGTTCTCCCAGTCGTCATCCACGTCGTCGTCGCGGCAAACTTACACGTCCTCTTCCTCGAAGCATCCCCTCCCTGCGCGCCCAGATTGGGCAGTAGGGCTGAAGCCCCAGCCAGGTCTCCACGCCTCAGGTCCCCGACATCACGATCACAGCAACGCTAACTCCCGAACAATGTCCCCTGCGCGCCTCGGCGGACAAAACCACTCGACATCTCAACACCAGTCCCATCCATCACTACAATCAACCGACTTCCCACCGCTGCCTTCAGGCCCGGAGAAACGGTTACCGGTAGTGGGCGGTGCTTGGACGAATACGTCCACGACAAGATCTATCATGACGCCTGGCGGCTCCGTCCAGGGCACTGCGCTTGTGCACTACCCCAACTCCTCCCAGCCAGCTGCCCAGAATGCTTCTGAGGCTGGCCACGAAGATGACCAGGAGTCTGGATTCGAGCGGCCGCCGCCCAAGGCTAACGCCGAGCTGTTCAACCCGAAGAGCGGCTCGCGCTCGCCTGGAGCATCGAACGGCACTGGCAAGGGCAGTCAAGGGCAGATGAAGGAGGACATGCAGGATAGCGGTTGGAATGGGGATGCGGCAGCTGGTTTGGCTGACATAGTGGGCTCTATGACGATCAGCGGCTACTTCGGCGAAGTCGATGGTGCGTCGTCGGGAGTGAAAAGACCTCCTTCAGCTGTACCGCCGCCCACGAGCGCCACGTCCATCAGCGCAGCTGACGGCGAATCCTCATAGTGTCTCTGAGAAGGGGGAGGGAACATCTCGTCTGCTTTTAGGGACTTCTGGCATGTAGTTTTTGCTTGGTGGATGCATTACAACAAGCAGTCATATACGTTACGTGGTCTGTGCATCATCGCATCGTCATGGTCCCATTCGTGTTGTATTCGCATATCTTGAGATTAGCTTAGAGAATATAACGCAGCATAATGGCACTGTATTTGGTACGAAGTCACACTCGACATAATGGTAGAGCAAACAGAGCGGGGATATCTGCGCGCAGATGCACGGAAAACAAGCGACTGGGAGTAGTAAGTAAAATGTACAATGTACAATGAGTGATGAGGCCATGAGGCCATGAGTCAGTAGCACGTACAGGGCAAAAGTCTATCGTGTCCATCGGCGAAACCAGCGCACGAAGGAAGCAAACACTGCATGCCGGCGCACAGGATTGCGGCCAAGCATGGGGCCGTTAGTAGCAGGCGGGCTCGCAGGCGAAAGGAGAGGTCTGGTGGGATACCGAGTCACCAGCGGCTTGTCCGCTCTCTCCAGCGGCGATAGCTTCGGAGACCTGCCGATCGCGGCGACCTGCACCGGGGCGACTCTGAGTTTCGGCTTCTCCTTCGCCTTTGGCTTGGGCTTTGATCGGGATTCCATGGGGCCCACGAGGAGCTCGAGGGCCTTCAGGTCAAGATCTTGCGGCCGCGGCGCCTGGGGCTGGCGTGAGCGTGAGTGGGAGCGTGAGCGTGAGCGCGAGCGAGAGTCGCCCGTATGCGGCGTGGAATCTGCAGGCGTGCTCTCGTGGCCATCATCGGAGCCGTGATGGTCAAGCTGGGAGCCGAGCGCGAGGACGAGCGCGCCGGGGCGTCGGCGGGGCCCATTGCGTCTGCGGTGAGCTGGGTGTGCGCGGGGACGGACGATGCTGTGGTAGCCTGGGGTTGCTTGGACGAGGAGCGAGGTGGAGGTGCCTACGAGGAACTCGGGTGCGTTCTACACGGGACATGTGAGCGGGAATGTAGACAGCTATGAAAAGCACGAACGGCTGACATGAGGATCATATATGTGAAGAGGCTCCAAGTCATCAAGATTTGGCTCTGCAGGGTGATCTTCGACAGGCTGCATTGTCTATGAGGGTTACAGGATGTCAGACGGCACATTGTCAACCACTTGGCGGAGGGCAGACTCACCCCTTCTGGCACCTGTTCTTCAACATGTTCCATCTCAATCGAGGCTGTCTTGCACTTGCCCTTCGCCGAGGAGCAATAAGACACGGATTCGTCCATCTGCGTTGTCTCCATCTCACTCCTCCCTTCCATATCAGCGCCCTCCACCGGACCACACGCGGGCGCCTGCGCCTGCGCCTGGGACACCGGCTCCTTCTCAACTCGCGGATTCCCTGCACGCTGCATCGCAGGCTGCAACTGCGGCGAGCATGCGCGTGGACCATGCTTCGGACTGGAAACGCGCACGAGCGGACGCACAGGTGTGTAGACGGTCTGCGTGGGCGCTGGGGAATCTGGAGGCCCGTTGGACCCGACGCTCAGCGCGCGGAGCCCCTCCGCAAGGGTTTCCAGCTGGTCGATCATCTCCTCTGAAAGAGCCGATGCGGGCCGCGAGGAGAGGATGCTCGCAGAGTCCAGTATGGAATATCGAGGGTTGGCCGCGTCGACGTGCTTTCCGGCGACGTCGGTGGCGGCGGCTTGTTCTTTGGAGCTTGCGAGGATGCTGTTGACGAGGACAGCACGGGGCAGGTCCTGCTTGTGGTCACTTCGTCTGTCGAGTGCACTTGTACTTGGCCGCGAGATGCTATGAGCCTTTGCCTCCAGACCTCGCCCTCTATCCGCACTGCCCATGCCCTGCCCATCGGTCGACAGGCCACCTCCACGTTGTTCGCCGTCCCCGCCAGTTGTCGCCCTCCTTCTCCTCCTGTGCAGCGTACCACGATCGTCCTCGCTGATCTTTCTTGGAAGCGAGTTGGGCACCGCATCGGACGTGGATCGGCTCACCCCATCAGCGATATACGAGGGCGGGGTTACCGGAACTGGGCTGTAAGGTTCATTATCGACATATGCATGTTGTCGCGTCGAGCTCTGTGGTGCAGGATCGTCCCGCGAGTCAGTGTTGGGCGTCGGTAGAGAGGCGCCACGGACGGGAGGGCTGCTCGGGATAGGCGCCTGCTGTGCCGCGAGGCCGAGCGCGAGTCCGCGCTGGAGGAGTTGTCGTCTGCTCAGACGCGGACCGTGCAGCGGGATCCTGGTCGAAGCGTGCCACGGTCCAAGCCCATTGCGGTGCGCATGCGGGCCATCACTTGTGCCGCGTCTCGCGCTCGCACCCGGGGGCGTAGGAACAGGAAGAGCAGCAGCCAATTCGGGCTGAGTTACACTGACTGCGAACGGCTCGAATGCGAGCGGCGGAATATAATCGTGGGCATCGACGGACATCATAGCAGAGGTACATGGGGGAGGGAGTGCGGTTGGCAGTCTTGGGCATGCGAGACAGGCGAGGCGGGGGCGAGGGGGCTGTACTGCTCGAGCGGCTGGACAATTGGCACAGTGTTTGTTGATAAGTATGACAGCTGTGTGTTGATCAGTTTCTCGCCAGATATCATGACAGATACATTCGTGGCAAGTGCGGGAATGAATTGGGCGACGCGTGCGGCTGGTGAGACATAACCGCGCGCAGCACCATCTTAAAGTGGTCCAGCTGTGTAAATAGGTATTGATCATCATCAAAATGACTCTTCCGCAAGTAGCACGATACATGTCGTAAGTACAACTGCTGCCACCAACACCATGATGGTAAAATGTATCCTACAAGTTGGCAGAGTGACGACCTCTGTCAGTCAGGATACACTGGCATATCAATGAAACGATCACGTACTTTGTCGCCACGAGGAATCCACGCATGGTCTTGAGGTCATAGGATGTCCGATAGTATTGAAATATCCCCACGCACAATGCCAGCACCGCCGCTATATACTCAATCGTGGATATCGGTATTCGGATTCCGTGCGGATCACCCCCAGCGGAAGCCCCAGTGAGACGGACCTTGAGGAGGACAGACGACGAAAGCAGGGATAGGAGCATGCCAAGCTTGACATGCGACAGGAGATTGCGTTCGAGCATCAGGTAGTCGCGAGTGGTGCTTCCGGAGTTCTCGACATGGACTGGCATCAGGAAAGTCGTGTAGACTTCGCGCAGGTCGTGTGAAGTATGGTTATAATATCTCTATATGGTGAATGCCGTCTGATGGCGCAGCCAAACTGTCATCGATGGTACAGCCAAAATGAGAACGAAACAGAACATTTTTGAGGGAACGACTCACATCCGTGCTGAGGTGGCGAGCGTGGAAGCCTCCCAATCTGGAACTCGGTCAGAGTTCAGATGCGGGTCCAATGGCAGTGAAATATGCTCTTCTCTATGAAGACACACAATGCCGTTGAGGGGCGAAGAGATGCGGGAAGAGTGGGTCGAGAATGGAGTCGAGCGTCGACTCGAGGAGCGGTGACTATTGGGTCTCCAGTCTCCATTCGGAATTAGTATTGCCACTGTTATAACAGGATGCCGCCGAGCCAAGACATGCAGGCCATTGGGGCCGACGCCCTACTAGCAGTGAAAGACAACGTGAAGCGGGATGATGGTGTGCAGAGATCAAGCTTCAAGGTTGCCTTCACGATGTCGAACCGACGCAGCTCGACGATGCAAGCCAGTGTGTGGATTGCGCCATTCAATCCCGTGACCAAATTGATTCGTCCACGTGATCAAACGCGCGACGCGTCTAGCAGCGCTCACGTCTGAGTCCGTCTAGCGCCGTCGACCAACGAACTAACGTTCCCCCCTCATGCTGTGCATTCATGTAGATGAGTGAGTTGGAATGACATTTTCCCCTCTTCTCATGAACGAGCATCCTCAGGCTGCAATTCCGGTTGTGATCGCCGGTGAAGTCATGTTATTTCGAGCCAAACTCGTTGGGAATATAGCAGAGTTACTGACGCTCCATAGAACCTATATCATTCGTGCCAGAGTTGCCGGATTGACGAAGCTGCTCAGGTATGCCGTTAATTTCAGGGTACCGACGTCCTGCCCATCTGACTTCACTTGAGAAATGCAAAACTCATCACTCGTCGGACACAACAGTGAAGAAGCACGCGTACCAACCACGCAAGCTATGGGAAAGGATCATGACTTTGCTGTAAATATTCGACCTCAAGTGCGAGACGATCCAAGAAATCAATGCGAAAGAGGTCAGAATAAGGAACACGGGGACTCGAAGATGTGCAGCACTCACTCAGTCACAAATATGATGTAGCAAATAAGAAGACGAGATGGCAAACTATAATACACGAGCTAGACAGTATCGGCGACAACTCATGAGCGATTCTACGTATGACAACAAGACAAACGATAACAGTATGAGCACCAGAGAGCAGGTATACGATGAAGGAAGAGCATGCAAGAACAAAGACAAACAATGAGAGCAAACCCAAATAAGATCCCTTTTTATCGCGATGCAAATCGAGAATAGACAAAGAACAAAACAAAGATTTTGACCGAAGCGAACAACGCCGCCTGATGAGATCCAGCAAGACACTAAACTTTTAGTATCGCCATCCAGCGCTCCCATTTCAAGAGCCCAAACACGGAACGCAGCATCCAACCGATCGCGGCGTGCGTCGCCTCAGACATCACCTCGACCAAGGGCGCAATGAACTGCGATGGAAATAATTGGGATGGCGGCTACGATGCGAGAAGATGAAGAGGCTCACGTTGATTAGACGAGTCATTTTTGATAGCGGGAGAGGTGGATGCACGATGGCAGGATCATAGCACTGTTTGACATCAAGCTCAATGCAGTCGGACTCGTCCAATTCCAGTGACGAGACGTCATCGTCCGAACCGTCTCCACCAACGCGTGTAGGACGCTAATAATTTGCCGGCAACTCAAACTCAGATTTTCGACGCGTCAAAATCGCACAATGCTCACCAACATGACCGTCGGAGGTACCTCCAGCCTCTGTTCCTCATCATGGCGATGGATATGGTCCTATGCGGAACGTTAGAAAGTTTTTTTTGCTATATGTAGCGTAGCTAGGCTTACTCTTAGTAGACACGGACGCTTCACCATCGAGTAGGGGTGGTATCTGAGCAAATGACTCGAGCAGTAACTGGGGAGCCGTAATGTGGAGCAGGTTAAGGAGGCGGACATCTTCGCCGAGGAACTTGAGGAAGGGATGAAGCAGAAGAGCGTTGAGAAAATCGGCTAGACGGTTGTCGTCCGAGAGATTTCGTGGGACGGAAATGGCGTCCTCAGCGGTGTGGTGGATATCGCTGGCTGATGAGTTCGTCCTAGTCTCCGTCGAGTAATGTAGTCGAGAAGAAGGAGCGCGGGAGCGTCGTAAGCCAGCCGGGTTCATTTTATATCTCCCCAAGCAATCAGTCGAAGAACGTCGCGTGCGGAGTCCGTCGCTCTAATTTGGGTGGGAGACTTCCTGATGAAAGGGCGTACAAGCTCCGTGGCTGTGATGCGACACTCTTGATTTGATTCCGCGACTCCTCGAGTATGTTCCGCGCATAATGTGCATTCGCCGTACGAGGCTACTCTGTCTCTGTGTTCTTTACAAAGTCGTATGAAGACCAAGAGGGACAAGCACGACATTCCGACCCAGGGGCCTAAAAGAGAGGGAGCGGGCAGCATGAGCAATACACGGAATCCCGCAACGCTGCGAGTCCCCTTGTCTCGGCCTTTGTGAAGGCACAACGAGGTCTCTCGCGAACTTATTATCATTAAAGATAACCTCCTTCATACTGAGTTCCAATTGGAAGGACGATAGGGGAGCGGACATCCCAGCTCAGATTTGTGGACGCATCAATCAGCCCACAAATCCACGGCGTCTCATCAAATACATAACAGCGGGATTGCGACCAAGACAAGCCCCTCAAGCCGAAATTAGCGTCTAGGAACGTCCTTATGCACATTCGACCATCACTCACCGCATACGCCCTCTCAATCAGAGAAAGAGTAAGGCAAGTGTACGCGGGCGATGACAGTAACTACGTCACATGTGACCCGCCGCGATGTCGCGTCACGGTGGCCGCCAACCACGGGGCGCATCATGCGAGTGAGTGGCTTATTTCGTCCCTTTTGACGGAGGACAGTGAAATTTCCCGTGTGTCTCAGACATTCTATACATGTGGTTGAATGAGCGCACGAAAGGCTGCGAAATACGGTATATTGCGAAGTGGGAATTCAAGAGTAGCCTCAAAGGCAACGAGCCAGCCAAGGCCAGCATGGAACAGAGCAAATCCAACAACCATCGGAATCATCGCTCAATTTTCCGCGACAATAGCACAAATCATGCAAGAGGATACGAAAGGTAGCCATCCTCCACTACTTCCTCTCCCAATATGCGATATTCACGACTCATTCGCCAGCAACTGCCACGAAATCAACCTTATCCACCAGAAAACAGCATAGAATTGGCGAAAGTACAGAAAGATTAAAAAGGACCAAGACGCACATCAAAAACCTCTGCTCCAGGACGAGCAACGTCGCTTATCATCTTTGGCGGCGCATGCAGAGGGTATAGCTGTGTCTTTATCGCAGGAGCAGACGAACTAGATGTCACTCGTCAAAGAAGAGTCATTGCCAGGCACGTCCGGCGGCAGCAGACGGGGTAGCCACGTTCATAGTGGGCCGAACTTGTCGCAAAGGGAGGGAGGGCTAAGGGAGGGAGGGCTGCGGGAGTTGGCCATCGCAGCAGTGCAGTCGACCATATCCCGCAGTCACTTGATGACACAGCGTTCCAAGGGCAATCGATAAACTCTACAAGAAATCCTCAGAGGGCTTCACCGCAAACGCTAACGAGCGGGAGTCGACGAGACAAGGAGTGTCTTCAGCACAGGAGCAAGAGCCGATATCAATGAGCTTAGACTAGAAAGGGTCTCAGAGAAGTCATTATGGGTGCGCAAGACTCAATTTGACCACTGAGAGCAATTATAGACGTCGAGTATCAATTGCAGCTCAACGAACGAGACAACATTGGTGAGAGGTGAGGTAGTATGGCTGTCGCGGAAGTGGCCGCATCGTGGCCCACGACCGACACGCGGCTAAGACCTTTTGCGGACTACCTTTTGCACATTGCACTCAACGATGAGCAGCCCTCTATTTCTCTCCAGACGGCCTCTCCAGTCTTCCTATCTGGATTTCTTGGCTAAAAACTGTGCCCGTCTCCTTCGTGTATTGCCTCTCTGCCTCTATCTAGCTCGCGGCGTGCTGGAACCCCTGGAACATCTTAGACTCGAGTTCACTTTACCCTTTGTGCTGCGCATCCGACAATCCGGCCTCCAAAGGCGGCGAATTCATCAGTTCTACTATCCGAGTGGACTCCGAAATAATTTCCGAGTCATGTCTAAGAGTCTTCGGTCGTTCTCAGTCTTTCTTCTCCTTTTCATCACGGACTATTTCGTCAGCACGGCCTTCAATACATTTTAGTTTCCCGAGCAGCCTCCTCATTGTACGGAGGAACCCCACTCCTCATTCATGACCGCTCAAGGTTCCCTCGGCAGCCTTCTACAACACGCTGGGTTCAAGCCTCGAGGCCGAACCGCCAGCGGCGCTAATGTCCTCACCCAGTCGGCTAGTGTCGAGCCAGGATGATTGAACTTCATAGCAGCATGGCTCTTGCGACTCGAATCTCATTTATCAGCGATTCCATGCCTAGTAGCCATCATAATGACCGAATTCTTGATTATCCATTGCAAGCCGCATAACGGAGCTTAGGAGGAATGTTTTGATCGCTCGGAACGGACGCTTGCAGTATGCTTGCTTCGAAACTGGTCTGTTCCCATTGTCTTCGTGAGCTATATTGAAATGCCGATGATTGAACAGTTTGCTTTGGCCGTGCTCGCCATGAACTATAGTCTGGAATGCTGCGGATTTGGCCAGAAAGCGGAGATCATCGCATCGCACGTATTATGAGAGATGAACGAGGTTAAATGCGCCTTGGTGGCATACCTGAACTGCCGATCCTCGCTTCTGGGTCCAGGCTCGTATCTCCATACCTCGCTTTCACTGCTTGATACTTCCAGCTGCAATGTTCTTCCTCCTCTGAGCCCCTAGAACGCCACTCTTTGACGTCGATTGTCTATTGATCGCGCGCTCTCGACATTGTCGCTGATGAATTGCCGCCACGCTACTTTCATCCGGCTTTATCTTCATCATGCTCTTATCTTGACCGAATAACGTCCGAGTGCTAAACTGGAGGCCGTTCATGGCACCTTCGCACACACTCAAAAGAAGACGTCTTGAAGGGATGAAGGCTACTTATCACGCTTAATCTGCAGTCTCAAGCGCACGATCGCGCAAATGCGACGCGGCCATGAAATAGGCTGTAACGATGGTGAATAGGTAAGTACATCCGTACTAAGTCGAAAAATTGGTAGGCAATAGACTTCCGTGCTCCAATAGTGAGATAGATCGCATGTGGTGCAGGGATGGAAGAGAAGTGAGAAGCGAATAATCAAGACTAAATGAGCGTGTACGATGTAAGTAGGAGAGAGCAATCGGAGAACAATCGATAGCAGGATCAGCGGGGGATGGAGGGAGGGTGTCACAATGGGGTTTCCGGGACGGCCGGAACAAGGAGCGTCGCGGGTAGCACGAGGCTAGTACACGCTGCATTTGTCGTCTGGAATTCTGCGTGAGGAAACCATAGAAGTGCCGTAGGAAGCCTCCGCACGCACCGAAGTCTGAAGCGAGATCGCTATCGGAGTTGATAGCCATGACCTCATCTCTTTCATCATCACCGACAGCCGCGTCGCTCCCCTCTTCTCCGACATCGTCAGAGTCCTCGTCCATAGCGTCCCGCTCGTCGCACGTCTCGCACGAGTCCGAGTCGTACCCGTCGTCGGCGAACTGGAGACACTCGCCCTGCCAGGGAGTGTACGTCCCGTCGTCGTAACGGTACCATGCCGGCTTGGCGGCAGTTTTTAGCAGGTAGGCGAGCACACGAATGTTCTCGTCGGGCACCGTGCGCGAGCGGTGCACGCGCTTCGGCGGGTAGGGACCCGACTTGTAGTCGACAGAGAGCGCGAACACCATCTGGCTCTCGCCGTCGACCCAGCAAGAGAGCACGTCTTCGACGCCGCTTCTGGCCGCAATGTACTCTAGTGCCGCGAACGACCGATCGAAGTCCGAGGGGCGGTCAACACGCTTGGGGACACCGTGGTCCTTTGCGAACTGAATGGCGTATCTGAGGGAAAGTGGGTACCCGAGGATCCAAGTCATTCTGGGACGGAGCACAAAGAGGGGGGAGAAAGCGGGAGCATGCTGGGGGCCGTGGCCCATCGCGTCGCGCTCTTGTACCTGGATCGCGGTCATGTGACCGTCGCTAAGCGCTGCGACCGATCATCCGATCGCTCCATTGACTGCTTAAAATGGAAGGCGTACAGAACGCTCCGGGTACGAGAAGTTGTTTCACGTCTCACAGTGTCACCTCAGCCGCATCTCAGATTTTATGGGCCGATTTTTCACTCGAAAATGTCTCGGACGGCAGGGGCGTAGGACTGAGAATTATCATCCCGAATCATTGTGTCTAATCAATCCAGCATTACGGGTGCTTCCGCGTACCGCCCCCATCTCGGGGGAATGCCATTGGGCACCGGATGTTGCAACCGCTGAGGAGATGAGAACATCACCGAAGCGACGTTTGGGGAAACTTGACTCGTGTGGAGACGGCGCTCCGACTGTGGCTGTTGTTAGGCTGCCAGCCTTAGAATCAGATAGTCTCTTGATAGCGGAAGTTTTTAACGCTTCTTGCGTCGACGGATACGCTGTGGCGTTGGTCATGTTGGCATAGGAGGCCGATGCATGCGAATTCCTCAAGAGCATTAAACCGGTCCGGTGATGAGTAGCAAGTCAGTGCGGTGGCGGCGGATAGCTTTAGTAACACAGCGTCTCACATATCAGTACTATTAACACTCAGCCATCCATCTCGTCCAGCTGTGCCTTGTCCAGCGACATTTCTTCGCCCTCCTCCTCCGCCTCCTCTTCAGAGATGTCTATCTTGTCATCGGCGCTCCGGTCAGCGAACGTTGTGGCGTCGAACCGCTTGCGCTCTTTGAACGGATTCGCCCTGCGCTCGCCCTTTTTGATGACGGCTGCGGAGGGGATGACTCCCTTCGAATTCAAATATAAGAGATCGTTGCCCGCGTAAGCGTCCACGGAACGGATCCATGCATCGAACCTGATGCTCATCAAGTCATCGGATCAATACACAAAGACAGGCAGATAGACGCACACTCCCTCAGCATCTTCAATGCCACGCATTCGCGAGTAGATGTAGTCTCGTTTGAACTGGTCGATTGCTTCCCGATGGACCTCAAAATCGATTGATGGCCGATACTCCGGGTCGGCAGGCTGATATTTCGCATTCGCGATGGCTATTTTCTTGGTATACGTGTCAAATATAGGGTATTCGAGCAGAAGGCCGAGCGCAGGCATCTTCGGCATGAAGACCATCCGTGGCCCATAAAGCTGCATATGGAGCATGAGCAACCTGAAGAAACAAGGAGAACTGCGCGAGATTACCTCCTCAATAATCTGAGGCGGCGATCCTGTTCGACTTGCAAGCACCAAAGCAGACATCATCTTCCGCTGAAGATCATTGTAATGAACGAGCACTTATGTGTCGCAACAGGTAGTACCCACAATCTGGCAAAATTTCAGCATCACTCTGGGAACGAAAGAAAAAAAATAAGAGAGACTGACCTGATGTAGCATGAAGCTCTGTCCATGGAACAACACGCTGACCCATTCCGTATCACCATAGACCACAGGGTCAGCCACCTATGCCATGGTCAGTACGTTGCGCATCATGAAACAAACGTTATGCATACCTGCACGCTCAGAATATGTCGCATGCAGCTTCGATCGCGGAAATCACGCCTGACTGTGAAGTTGTGGAAGTTGTGTGATTTTTCAAACTTCTTCGCCGCCACACGTAGTCTCTCGACAAGCTCCGGAGGCATCCTGTATACTCGCTTTCTTCGCAGATCGTCTTTCACGGTGGTCTCGGCTTTGCTGTCTGTCCAGAAAGGGTGCGGCGCCTGTTCTGTGCCGTTTTGTTGCAATGTTTGATGCAGAGAGCTCCCCGGCTTCGAGGGGATCATGAGGTAGGATGGGAAGAAGTAGGTGTACTTGCGGCTGTCGCAAGTGCTGTACACGAGTTCAAAAATGAGTAAAATACTGAAAGTAACAACAACACGCACCTTCTCGCATCGAACGACTTTTGCACACGAAGCTTCGGACGGTGAGATGACGATGTGTTCGCGTTATCATGAAGGAATGCACACGCACGATGTTCCAAAGGCGAATCTCAGGAGGGAGCTCCTCGTTCATTCGCGCCACCAAGTTTGGGATGGCGGTAATAAGCATCATGGACACGACGTTGCCTGCGGCGTGCACGCCAGCGTCCGTTCGTGCAGCGCGACCCAGTTTCACCTAGAGAAACGAGGTCAAGACATATTTGTCGGAAAGCGATGGAACTAAGCTTTACGCTTACCTTGCCTGAGTTATCTGCATTATCCTGGGACACGGCTCCCACTTTCACGAGGGTGTCGAACAAGACGCCCTCGATCGTCCGCAACTTTGGATCAGGCTGTCTACCAGCTCAGTAATGTCAATGTAGCATGATAACATGCTCTGCTGAACGTGCGCACATTTGCATCCCATTGAAGCCTGAGCCACAGAAGCCGATGAGCAGCGCACAGTGCCGCTTGGGCAACCGCGGAGCCTTCGGTTCTTCGCTATTTCTCGACTCTGATCCTTCGGGGTGCGTTCCCTTTCGCCAGTACGTCTGATCTTTCTTCTGGTTGGGGGCGCGCTGCTTGCCGCCTTTCGGCTTCGCCGCTCCGCCACCATCCTTTGTTCTATCGTTTCCCCCAACAGGCGCAGCGTCCGTCTGCATTTGTTCCTCCTCCTCCATTTTAAAGCGTTTGGGAGAGGCAGAAGAGTCGGGCTGTTCCTCCTGAAGCCGTTTGAGACCGGTGGTCGACGAGGAAGATGTATCTGCACGTTCTACCTCCATGACGGAATGACGGCGATAAAACAAGAGTGCAGCTGTGATTTTACCGCAACGGGGCTGCCTCAATGGGTGTATGGTGCATGTCACGAGCCTCCGGAAAAGGAGGGTAGATGTGAGGGGCGAAATGTCCGTGGCAGAAGGAATACGTGACAATAAGGTGGGCTGTTAAACGATCGCAAGGTTTTGCAATTGATGAACGTGAACCGGTGAGCCAGCTACAACCCAATGATTGCACAACTTCGGTTCTTTCAATTGAATGCTGCACGTGATAATACACGACTGCATGCCCTGCTCAACGTCCTTCCGCCCTGCATCTTTCTGTGCCAAGAACCATGGTGGCGCCGCATTGGTGAAACCCAGCTTCATGGCGCTGAAGACGGCTCCCCCGTCTTTGGTACTGTGAACCATCCCATGTGGACTCCATATTTTATCCCGCCTCCTTCAGCCGATGCCACCCCACGTGCCATCACATTTGTTCACCGAGACATTCTTTCCACCTGGACCGTACATCTGCGCCGAGATCTAATCTCGAACCTCGATATGGTTCCCCTCCAGTTCATCCGAACAGACCTGTCCTTTTTCGTCGTCAATGTCTACAACCGTGGCAGCTCTGAGCGCCATCATACAGTTGAGGCACTACTCCAAGCCCAGTTCCCTGTTACATCACTGCTAATTATTGGGGGCGATTTCAATCTGCGCCATCGTGCATGGAGCTTATCGTCGCAACCACAGTACGCTCATTCGGAACTCGGAGAGCAGCTCACTGTGTGGGCTGCCTCCCATAACCTGCTCCTCCTAAACGACCTTGATCAACCAACGCATCGCGGCCACCAGCACCAGGCAGATTCCATCATTGATCTGACCTGGTCTGCAGCCACTGACACTTTTGCCTCCTATGACTGGGATGTCAGTGATCAGCTGCGCTTTGGTTCTGACCATCGCGCCATCTCGTGGACAACTGACCTTATCATCCCACAGACCGATGAGCCCGAACTGGACCTCGGCTATCGCATCGACCCTGAAAAGCGCAAGGACTGGACAGACACCCTGAATGCCCTCCTCACCATGAACCCTCCCCCAGAGGCCTACCACTGCATGGAGGATCTGGACCGTGGTGCTGACGTGCTCATTGGAGCCCTCCATGCAGCCATCTGTGAGGCTATGCCTCCACGGAAAAACTGAACGTCGCGAACTGCGCTGTGGTGGAATGCCGCGTGCGATCAGGCTGCTGCTGCTTACTCAGGTGTGGACCCCCGGCACGGTGCACCCCTTCGCATCGCACTGAAGGCCACTTTAAGTGAGGCCAAACGAAACTGGGCCACCTCTGTTATAGAGAAAATCCAAGATCGTGACCCTTGGTCACTCACCTCATGGTCAACTGGTCGGCGCAATGCTCCCATGCCCCCTATTCAGGGTGGCCAAGGACTGACGTTCACCACCGCAGACCGCACTCGGGCCTTTGTCAAGAAGTTCTTCCCACCACCACCTCCTCCTCTACCAGTGGCACTCTTCTCCGACCCTCCAATGCGCTTGGCTCGCCCTTTCAAACTGGTGACCCACTATGAAATTGCTGCCTGCCTGGCCGAGACATCCAACACGTCTGCCCCCAGATTTTCTGCGACCACCTGGCGTTTACTGAAGTGGGCTCTGCAGTCCCCGGTCGGCAAGCACTTCATATCGTTCGTGTCTTCATCCGTCACGCTGGGATACCTCCCTCCCATCCTGAAAAAGGCAGTGGTAGTGCTCATCCCCAAACCTTGCAAGCCTGACTATGCTCTTCCCAAGGCCTATTGCCCAATAGCACTAATGGAAACGCTGAGCAAGCTCATCGAGAAAGTCGTCGTGAAGTGACTCCTCTTCGAGATCGGCAAGTATGAGCTACTGCCTACGAACCAATTCGGTGGTCGTGACAAAAGCTCCGTCATCGACGCTGGGCTATCCCTTGTCCATGACGTCAAGTGCATTTGGGCTCGTCATGAGTCCGCTACCTTCCTTGCCCTCGATGTTGAGGGGTACTATGACTCCATCCGCCATGAGCGACTGATCTACTCACTTCACCTCCTCGGTTTTCCAGCACCCATCGTGTCATGGGTCCTGTCATTCCTTACATCCTGCACTGTTTGCCTCCGCATCGATGGTGACCTCTCAGACCCGAATCCTATCTCGGGTGTCAGGATCCCGCAAGGGTCCCCTGTCTCCCCAGTTCTGTCGACGGTGTACTCGTTCTCCGTTTTCAACCTCTTCGCTGGTGATCCCCATGTCTGCCTTAAGGGCTATGTGGATGACATTGGCCTCCTGGCTGCAGGCTCAAATCTCTATCTCTCCACTGACCGTGCTATACAAGCTGTGCCTGTCATCAACGACACACTTACCCAGCTCGGTCTTCAGGTAGGCATGGATAAAACTGAAGGCATACACTTCCCTCGGGAACCTCTTCACCGCATCGCCCTCCCATCTATTCGTCTGCCTCAGGAAGGGCAAGCTGACTTTGTGGTGAAGGCCCGACCATACATTCGATGGCTCAGCCTCTGGCTCGACCCCAAACTGACCTTTCATCACCATGTTCGAGTGATGACAGCATGAGCTGCCTCGCGAGTCAATGCCTTCCACATGCTCGCTAACACCATTCGAGGGATGTCTGTGAAAGCTGCCCGGACCATATACCTGTCCAACATCCTATCGGTCCTCACCTTTGGGGCTCCAGTGTATTTCACTGACCATCGCCAGAAGACACTCATCAACCCGCTGCAGCTAGCGCAAAACCGCTGCCTCCGATGGTTGTTGGGCGCATTTCGCACCACACCGACCGATGTCACACACCATCTCGCGAGCATTCTGCCCATTCGGTGGCAACTCAACAAAATCTGCGACCGTGCTGTGATCCGCCTGCATACACTGCCAGCGAACTCTCAGGTACTCGCTCGCATGCCACACCCCTGGCCTCTCACGGCAGTGCAGGAACCGTACCCCATCCCATTATGCAGCCTGTCTGCGGCCAATGCACCGCTAACCATCATCCACCACCTTGCATCGCGTACGGCCCCAGATGTCGTGTCAACCAAACCGTACTATGCACCTCCGTGGGAGTCCTACCACCGCTGGGGTGAGCGACTTGTCATCACATCTCCACCTCCATCCAAATCTGCATCCAAGGCGTACATTGAGCATACTCTTGGGCCTAAAATGCAACAGTTCACCTCAGCCCCTGGCTGGTTGTGGGCATACACCGATGGTTCACGCTTTAAGCATCGACAGACCAAGCGCTCCGGTGCTGGTGTCTGTATCCTGCTAGACGGCCTTAGTCTCCTCGAAAAGTCCTGGGGTCTCGGGCGACAAACTGAGGTTTACGACGCTGAGATGTTTGCTTTGGCAGCGGCAGCAACGCATGTTGCTGCCCATCTGCCAGCTCATCCAGAGGTCACTCATATCGTCTTCGCCTCCGATAACCGTGCAGCTGTGGAATCCGTGCTCAACCTCTGCCCTCACGAGTGCCAGCTCCACTCGATCATTTTTTCAAAACACGTCAACACCATGCTGGAAGCCCACCCTACCCTCCGGATTGAAGTCCTCTGGGTTCCGGGACACAAAGGCTTCTATGGCAATGAAATTGCCGACCGACTCGTCAAACGCGGTGCGTCGAATCCGTCTGTTCATCCACCTTCGATGGTGTGAGCAAAGGGTCGTGCACGACAGAATGCCCTCCACCATTGGAGGCGCGAATGGCGCGCCGGCGCACACCCTTCCCAGTTCCGTGCCGCTGTCACGACCAAGAGCAGCATGCTTCTGCATCACTATTTCAAAGACAACGATGACCCCCGTAATGTGGAGTGCCGAGTATGCCACCTCCTCACTGAACATGGCCACATCGGCAGCTACTATCACCGCTTTGTACCTGAGGAGTCTACCTCCTGCCAATGCCAACATCCTGGCATCCAAACCCGCAACCACCTTCTTCTCGGCTGCCCGTCTTATGTGCACGCTCGATGGCACCTTTTTCACCCCAACAAAGACCCACACATCCTGGACTTGTTTCGATTCAAAGATGCTTGGTCCACTCTGGCCGCTTTTCTTCGGGACAGCGATGCCTGGACCAAGGCATCTGTACTTTATGATCCTGATTAGGTTCTGACTCGGACGTGATCTGTTCACACCTTTATATATGCTCCTACCTAGGTAGTTCTACATCAAACTTGTACCTAGACACACCCCCGACCACCTTCGGCGGTATATAAATTGTATCAAAA